GTATTTGCACTGTGTCGCACACCCGACTATTCGTCAGCTTCGCCGGCCTTGAGGGAGAAGGGAAGGAGGGAGGAAGGGAGGAGGGAGGGAGGAGACGAACGTTGTTCTTGACCGTGAAAGTGCGGTCGGCTGACACGACTGAGGCGAGAGCGAGGAGCGTGAGTGAGAGGGAGGTGGAGAGCATCGTTGCGTCGCTGAAAGAGGGGAGGTAAGAGAGGGTGAGGAAGGAGGGAGAGAGAGCAGAAGAGCAAGCGGAGCGAGGCGACGAGGGACCGAAGAACGTCTGTCGTTGGAAACGCCGAGAGTCCAGGAACAGCCTCGAGACGGGAAACGAGCCGGCGCTCCTCAGCGAATACACGCGGATCCTGCGTCCGTTCTTGGTTCGTCGGAAGGTCCGAGGAGCAGGGGCGTGCAGGGACGACGTGCGTCGGATATTTTGGCCGAACGGGGGGTGTGCGAGCGAGAGGGCTGCGGACGGGAGGCGGACAGGAGGTGGAGGAGGTTTGGAGGCTGAGAGGTTGCCGAGGCGAGAGGTGGAAGGGAAAGGGAGTCGCTAGGTCTTCCCGGCGAAGAGGAGAGAGGGAAAGGAGCGCGCGGCAGACTGCGAGGAAGAGTCAGCGTCCGGTCCACTAAGGCGAGAAGGAAGATCGCACCTTTACCCGGCCCTCTTATCCATCCCTCCCTCCCGACCACAGAAGCACAAGAGAGCGAACGCAGCGAACGAACCATCGCGGGCGGTGAAGAGCGCACGAGACGGAAAGGGAACGAAGGAAGGTCGTCGGGAGGGAGAACAACAATGCACGTGGGCAGGAGTATACTCGGAATCAACAGGTGTATGATGGGTATCGTAGAGGGTATCTTGAGGTCGGGTCGTCGAGTGGTCGTGAACCGGTACGCGAGGGCCGGAGGGAAGGAGATAAAGGGAAGGGAAGGGGAAGAGGCGGATCAGAGGTGCCCACCGACGACGCGGACAAGTTCATCTTGCAACGCCGTCATTCCCGCTTCATCAATCTCCTTCAACGCCTTTACGGACTGCGCGAACCCAACCCGTCTGATGAGCACATCTCGGTCTCGCAGGAGACGCAAAGATCGCAAGGAGAGGGCGATAACGCACCTCGGTGAATTGCGTGAGGATCTCTTCGTTCTGCGTCTCTTGCGCTGAGACGGCTTGGGAGAGCGCTGCGATGCGCGCGTACGTCTCGGCATTCTTGTTCGCGAGCTGCGCACGATAAACATTGTCAGCGCGAGGCAGAGAAGGAGGAGGGGAGGGAGGATGGGGGACGTACGGCTTGGCGCTTTTGGCGCAGGGAGGAGATGGAAGTTTGCAGGACGGGAACGGTAGCGGAGGGGACAGTGATCGTGCCGTCCAGTCCCATCCTGTACGCGCAGACCGAAAGCGAAGCCGGACGACGAGGTCAGTTCCGTCCTGTTGCCGCGGCAGAGGTACGTTCGCGCACTGGTACAAGTTCCGAGGTTCCTCTCCCGCGTCTTTGCGCGCCTGCGCCTCTGCAATGAGCCTGTCCAACTCGTTGGCCTTCTCGACGAAGCCGGCCGTGCGGACAAGATCGTTCCACGCGAGCTGTGCGACCAACAAGGTCCGTGAGTTGTAGAAGGGGGAGAGAGTGAAGGCGAGGGTCCACGCACGGGCACGCCGTCGTTGTAGGTCGAGACGACCATGTCCCTCAACCCGGGTATCAGGTCGGGGTACTCGTCTGCCCATCGCTGGGGGAAGCACTGCCTCATGGCCTTGTCGCTGCGCACGCGTACTCTCCGTCAGTCGCCCCAGTAACCCCCGCGAGCGAGTGTGGAGCGCACTCGAGCGTCTTGATGACTTTGGACGAGGCGACGACGAGGGCGTCCTGTGTGAGTTTTGCGCGGCGCCCGAGCTCTGTGTGCTCCTGTGGTTGTTGCTGTTGCTGGTGTGAGTCTGCCATGGCTTGTGGTCGGGCGAGAGTGAGGGTGCGCGAGGGGTCGCGTCTCGAGGCGAGGCGGAGGAGCGGGCGGAGAACAGACCTCGCTCCCTTAGCTGAGACGAGTGCGTGAAGTGGATGCGAGACAGCAGTCACACAGCTTGACACACGCTTACACACTCGCACGACGCATGCCACACCCAGCGACACCCCGTCCCGCAGTCTCTCCCCAACCCTCGCTCAACCCGCTCATCGCACCCCTCGTCGCTGCCTCGCTCGAACCACCCCTCAAGCGCACAAAGCACGCCCAGCAACCCGCTCTCACACCCCGCCCAAACCCCTGGTCATCAACACCGATCCCTCAAGGCGCACAGATGCTCATCGGACAACCCTCACCCGGCAACTCGCACTCGCACGCCCAGGCGCAGACGAAAGTGTGGACGAGGCCGCCGAACAAGGTCGGGCACGTCGAGCGGTGGAGGCTGTGGTGGGGTTCGGGAGTGACTCCTACTGCCATGCTCGAGTGGGTGAGTGCGCACCGTCTTGACGAGCAGTTGGCGTGTCCCGGGCCGAGTGAGGCAGGCTGCGTGGGATGCTGCGAGGTGGACGGATTGCGAGATCGCCTCGAGGATGCGAGCGTAACTGACCTCGTTCTCCTCCCTGTTCGTGCGCAGTGGGAAGTCCTCCTCGTCAGTACGTCCCACCTTTCTATCCCCGTTCCCGTGGCCCTCTTCGCGCTCTCTCCCTGTGACACTAACCAACGCTCGTTTCACCCCCGCAGACACAGTCATCCTCATCACCCTCTCGCTCTTCTACTTCGCCCTCTCCTCGCTCCCTCCCCACCTTTCGATCATCGCGCGACGGGCGAGGTACTACTTGTCGGGGAGTGAGGACTTGCTTTAGGCGGCGCCGACGAAGGCGGTCTATTCTTCCCCTTTCTTTAGCGGCGGTTCTTGGGTTCCCCTTTCTCCTCCTCGTTTTGGGTCCACTCCTCCTTCCTCTCCTTCGACGTTTCTTTTCATCTCTTTCGGGCTTCTATCCACAGCAAATCGGGTTGTCATACGGCGGTCGTATCAGTCTTCCCTCCTTTCTCCGTCCTCCTCTTCCTCCCTTCCCTCCTTCCTCCTTCCTTTCGGGTGCTTCACCAAACACCCATGTCTCTACTACTCGCAATACCCACTCTCAAATGTCCTACTACACCCTCTCTTCCCTCCATCTTCTAGCACCCGCACACTCTCTCGTTAACCCGCCTCGTCCTTCGTACTTTGCAGTTCCCTCCCTTTTCCGCAGCCTTTGTCCCACCCGTTCCTTCGTGCAAAACACACACGCCGGCATAGATGCACACATCGCATCGCCAGCCCGCAGTTGGGAGTGTGAGAGCTCGCGGAAGGTCGCGGAAGGTTGCGAGTGGGCGAAACCCGGTTTCTGGGAGCGAGAGCGTAAGTCGTAGGGCGGACGTCAGAGGGGCCTTGTGAGGGAGGCAAGGGAGGAAAGCAGGGGAGGCGAGGTTGGTCTTGCTGTGCGCGAGGAAACCGGAGGACAAGAGGGAGGAGCAGGGAAGCGACACCTTCGTGAGGCGTGAGGCATCGATCTGCAGCAGCGCTTCGCGAGCGCAATAGAACCGGAGAGAGCGGAAAGCGAGTCGTGGAGCGTAGGTTGAGGGGAGGGAAGTTCCCTCGAGAGCAGCGCAGTCGGAAGGTTGCATGCGAGACCCACCGCCTCCGGCGCGACTCTTTCTGATCCGTAACCTTGGAGGAGATCGGAAGCGCTGCAGCCGTGCCTGGTGCGTCCACGATTGGGAGGGGGCGAAGGAGGAGGAGGATGCGAGCGGGCGCAGGAGCCTGTTGGAGCGCGCCAGCGAAAGAGGGGGCGATGGCGGGTGAATGTGGAAAAAGGAGAGTGGTGAGTTTTGAAGATGGCAGCGGAAGAGGCGGAACCGAGCGGGGAGAGAAAAGATGCGGTCGGGAAGCGTGCCGAGGGCCCTTCGTCCGCGCATCGTGCCGATGCTCGGTCTGGTGCTTGGTGTGAGAAAGTCTTGATTGCACTTCGTGCCTTGCGCGTTAGTGTATGTCGGAGTAGAAGAGCGGGGTAGGAAAGCGAGAGGTGGAGAGCCTCGGGGCTTTGAACGAGAAGGATCGAGCCTGGCGGCGGAGTGTGGAAGGAGTCCTTGCTTCCTAGGATATGGAAGAAGCAGAGGGGAAAGGGAGACTCAGGGGTACGGAACCAACGAAGCGCACTGAAAAGCGGGAAAAGCGGGAGGGAGCAGGCGACGTCTTCCGTCGGGCGGCTGCCAGGAACTCGTCTCGACTATCGGCGTCGAGTGAAAGCATCTGCAAAAATGCACAGTTTAGTTCGCGTCAACGGAATCAAAGCCCAAGCGGAATGGAGAACGCACTGAGTAGTGTCATGAACGAGAGGAACATGAGCGCGCACTCGGTCATGTAGTGTTCGACGGTGATGCCGCGCCTTGCCGCGCGCCTGGCAATGAAGGCAGAGAAGTCGTCGGACCAGGACGGCGGATGAGCGGGTCTGCGCCGGAAGGACGAAGGACGAGGACGAGGAGGCGGAGGGTGGGTCGCTGGGCGTGCGGCAGCGGATGCACGAGGCAAAGCGGAACGAAACAGCTTGTCTCTGAGTCCTGACAGCCTCATCGAGTCCCACGAGCGAGCGGAGTGAGCAGTTCGTGGTCAACCCATCCTCATCAGCTTCGGCGAGGGTTGCGAGTGCGCATGTCGTCGGCATCGCTCGCCGGGCAGCTGAAGCCCTTGCTTGCACTCGCTGGGATTCTGCTCGGCCTCTCGCAGCCGTCGAAACCGCCCCCAGTTGGCGCAAAGAAGCCGTCGCTCGAGGATGTCCTGAGGAATCGGTTGGAGGCGTTCTACGCGGCAGGAGGGCAGGGACAGTCGAGCGCGCCCATTAGAGCAGAGCAGGAGACGGCTGCGGCGGCCCTGTGGCTTCTCGAGCAGATCGCGCTGGCTTCGCGCTCCTCTTCTTCCCTCTCGCCGTCGGATGCCTCAGCACCCTCGACTTCTGCTCCGCCACCGCCCCCAACCGCGCCCATCTTCGGTGCGAGGGATATCAAGGCGATTGGGATGCTGGCAGGAATCGTCGGCCGATGGGGGATTGGCAGGGTCTCGCCATTCGGCGCCGGAGGAGGAAACGCCAGGTCGGGACCGCCTGCGCTGGGCCCAAAGATCCAGGAACTCGAGGAAGACGCCGAGGACGATGTGGGAGATGCGCGGACCAAGGAGGAGGAGCTCGCTGGACACGCCAAGCGAGTGCTTTCCGTCCTTTCGCTCAACGAGGAGCGATTGCCGCAGTGTTCGGAAGGCGAGAAGCAGTTCTTCGCCATCGTAGCGCCGCAACTGCTCAGCGCGTTGCTCGGATCGCTCGTACATTTCACCCAGAATCTCTCGGCGGATGAGAACTGGGCTCGAGAAGCGCTGGACCGGCTCTTGCACCGGTGCGCCGGTCCCCTTTTCTCCACTGTATGCAGCCAGCTCACTCAGTACATTCTTTTCCGATAGCCACTCTCCCTCCGCTACCATCTCTCACCTCCTTACCCTCCTCGGATCTGCCCCATCTTCGCTTCGCCAATCTCTCACGACGCAGCTCTCGACGCAATTGCTTCGACCGGGCGGCGTTCGCTCGCTTCTCCTTGTAGTCATCGGCACAGGAGCCAGTAGTGGCGGAGAAGACGAGGTCGGCGTACGGAAGCTGGAGATGGTCAGGCGGGTCATCGAAACGCGGCCGACTGATGCGAGTCTGGACGCTAAGGTTCGTCCAGCTACATTGCTGATCTTGGTTGCCTGCTAATACGTGGTCCAACAGGCCTATTACGCCAACATCACAGCCCAGTTGCTCGACATTCTCCGCGCAGCCGCCTCATCCTCCCTTGCAGCCAGCCTGTCCACCTCCTCCATCAACAAGGGCAAGGCACCTGCCGCATCGTCATCTGCACCCACGCCGTCCATCGTACCCGTCCCCATCATCCGCGCAGCTTCGTATGTCGTTGCGCACTTGCTCGTCCGCCCCGCTGGACAAGGCGGAGGTGACGAAGCCAAGTCCCTCGTCCTACAAGCTTTGCACGGCCCGCTTTTACCAATCTCGCATCCCGGCGGCCCGCTCGACGCGAAGAAGGAGGAAGGCGTGTTGCTCGACTCGCAGGACCTTGCGACGCACCTCTCCCTCCTCTCGCTCCTCGCCCTCTACGCCCCGCCACTCCCATCACTCCTCTCGACCCTGCTCGCGCCTCTTCTCGCATCCCTCTTCTCGCTCCTAACCCACCTTTCCCGACCTCCTCTCGTCGCCCTGTCTTCCCCGACCTCCGATGCCCTGAAAGGCGTCATCAGCGACGAAGCGAGTGCCCTCCTGCGGACGTTCGCGAAGGGCGAGGAAGTGCCGGAGGCGGTGAAAGCTGTGACTGCGGCAGTCGAGCGGTGGGAGAAAAGGGACGAGTTTGGCGTCTTGCCGCGAGGAGCGATGCTGGTCGAGGAGGACGTCGCGGACCAGCAGAGGGTGGAGTGGGGATGGTCGAGCGAGGGTGCGCCGGTGCTTCGCTACGCGGCAGGTTTTGACGAGGCGGAGGACGATATCCCCGTTATGGGCGGTGTCGACGAGGACGGCGAGGAACCCGACCTATCAGCTCTGTCCCTGCAGGTTGATGCGGTCTGGCTGGTCGGCTGGCTGAAAGACGTTGATCGCAAGGAGCTGAGCGCGCAGCTGTTCCTGCGCTGGCTCGACGAGATCAAGGTTTTGCGGGGGGTCCAGGACGTTGAGGACGCGCGACGGTGCGTCAAGCCACCGCTTCTGCGTGTTTGAGATACTGACGAGCACTTGTCGCGCGCGAACAGCTCGGTCACCCGTCTCCAGCTCGTCCTACAGATGGTCGAACAGCTCGGCTCGGACATCCTGAGCGAGCCAGGCGAAATCATCGCCTTCGTTGCGCACGCTCTCGACGCCGAAGTCGGCGAAACGGACGCGAGCAAGCCCGCCGCCTCGAACGCGGGACAGGAACCGACTCTCGACGCGCCTGCCGGACTCGCTGGTCTGCGACTCGTCGAGGAACAGGAGGGGGAGGCGAAGCCGAAGATTCGGGAGACGGACGATGCGGCAGACGCGGATGCGGGACTTGGAACCGGTCTTGGCAAGGACGAGATGGCGATGACTGCGTTGACTCTGCTACTGGCGGTACTCGAGGGTGCGCCGACTGTTTTCCCCCGAAAGTGCGCAAGCTAATCACGGCGTCTGACAGCGAACGAGACGCTCGACACGTCGAACACGCCGCTGCTCGCGGTCATCTACTCGCAGCTCGACACTCTCGCTTCCTCAACCTCGTCCCAGCTCATCCCTCCTCTCGCGCGAGAAGCCAAGATGGTCCTCTCGCTGCGTCGAGCCTCTTCCGCCTTCGATTCTGCCCACCCTGAATCTACGCCAGCGGAATCTGACGACCCGCTCGCCGCCTCTCGCGCCAAATACCGCGAAGCCTTGAAGCTCTTGCAAGACCCGCTGCTCCCCGTACGAGCGCAAGGCCTACACCTCCTTCGCACGCTTGTGCTCGACCGCAACACCGCCCTCCTCTCGACCGATCCGGCGCTCCTCCCTGCCGTCCTTGACATCTTCGTCCAAGCCATCGAGGAGGAGGACTCGTTCCTCTACCTCAACGCCGTGCAAGGCCTCAGCTCGCTGGTCGACGTTTTCGGTCGACAGGTCATCGGGCGCCTGCTTGAAGTTTACACCGGCGCAAGAAAGGGAGACCGCGAGCCGAAGGCTGTTGGCGAGGGCGAGAAGGGGACACGGGAGCTGGACAAGCGGTTGCGAGTGGGCGAAACGCTCGTACAGGTTGTCCAGCGTGCAGGCGAGGCGCTCGGGATGTTCGGTGGGTCCTCGTCGCCTTGCTGCAAGCAATTTCCTGCTAATCTTCTTCGTGTGCAGTCGACGACGTCGTTGCACCTCTGCTTCTCGTTCTTCGCACGGCCACCTTGCCGATCCCGCTTCGCGCATCCGCCATCACGATTCTTGCGACTTGCGTCGAAACCGCCCCGGTTGCCCTGCTTCAGTACGCCGACGTTCTCGCCGAAGCGTGCACAACACTTCTCAGCCTCGAGACGGTCCCCCTCGCGCCAAGAACGCGTCCGCCGGCACCGGCGCCATCCAAGGTCGACCACCTGGCGGGCAAGGGCAAGAAGAAGGCTTCTCCGGCGGTCCTCATCGAAGAAGTCGACTCTTCCGACGAGGAAAGCGATATGGACGAGCCAGAGCCTGCGCCTTTGGGCAAGGATGGCCAACCTCGGCGTCCGGAGGAGCTACCGGATCCGACGACTACCGCCTCGAAGCACCCCGCCTTGCGCAGGAGTGCGGCCGTGTTCCTCGGGTCGCTGGTTAGGACTGCGGCGCACCAATCGACTGAGCGTCGGGAAAGGGAGGAGAGGCAGGCTTGGGACCGGATCGAGGACGAGACGCAGCCCTTCGGACGCGAAGGTCTGCGCATGCCGTTCGGCGGGAGCATCTCCTCCACTGGCGGCTTCCTCGTCCGCGAGCGCAGGGCGGGCGGCGAAGCGGTCGGCAGCTTGATCGGCGCAGAGCAGCTTGTGCGGGCTCGGACGGTCTTGCGGTACGTGAGCGAGACAGACGAGGACGCGCTCGTTCGCGAGCAGACACGGCAAGTTCTGCAGGAGCTCGAGGATGCGTAGCACGTTGCAGTGAGGACGACGACTTGCACTCGAGCAATCCTAGCGTCATCACCGCTTCTCCCAGCGCCGCCATCCATCCTTTTCTCGCTCGTCTCGCCGGTCCTTCCGTTCGCCCCACCCGCCTCTCCGCCGCTCCTTTGCTTTTTTCGTCTCCTCCCGATTGTACATGCCAAATCCGCCCGCTTCGCTTCGAGCTGGTGTTGTCGAAGCACTCGAGAGCGAAGACGAGAGCGCAGCCTTGCGACGCGATGCGAGGAGGGCGACCGCTCGTGCGCGCTCCGACGAGACACGATCGGTCGCCTCCCGCTGCGGGTCGCGGGTCGGGGCGCTACGGTGTCCAACGATGTTAGGCTCGTCTCGTCCAGGTTCTGATCGCTCGGCACGCGTGCCTGCCGACAGAGGCGGTCGACGATGTTTCGGCAGAAGGAGGGACGGCATCTCGGGCTCAAAGGCGTTCTTCTCGCCGCGAGAGCTTCGGTGCGTGGATGATGAGACGCTCGACCGAGGCGTGTCGTCCCACGAACGGTTCGAGCCCGTTCTTGCTGTCGGCTCGATGTAGCGGTCTCGCGTCGAGGGCTGTCGAGGTGTCGGTGCAGGCTTGCCGGAGAGAACGTCTTCCCGTCGTTTAAGGTAGGTGTTCATGAGGGCGAGAGGGTCAGACATTCGCTTCGATTCGTTGTCGCGGTACCTGCGAGTGCCAGACAAGTCAGATCTTGCAGGAAACTCCAATCGGAAGCGAAAGCGACGCACGTCCGCTCGAGAGTCTCCTCAACCCCTTGCTTCCGCTCCTTCTCCGTCTTGCCGTCCTCAGCTGCGTACCAGCCCTTCGGCTCGCCCTCTCCCTTTTTCGCCAGGAAGACCTTGGTGAGCGAGTCGTCCGGTTCCGCTTCCAGCACCTTCTTCAGCCGTGACTCGAGCTTCGCAGAACCTGGTTGTCCCCCCTGCCGCTACGACTCGCGTCAGTATTGAGCAGAAAGGTGAGCAGGACGTGGGACGCACCGCTTCAAGGTCTGCCCAGAAATTGAGGTGCCCGTTCGTCGTCATCGGCACCTCCTTCTTATCGCCCTTGCCGCCTTCTGGTCGCACTATCGTCGCCCTGACCTGCTCTTCCTCCTCGTCCGCCCGATGTTTCCCCTTCAATTGGCGCTCAAGTTCCTTCTCGCCCTCATCATCCCTGTCCCGCTTCCGCTTCTTCCCGCTCGCTGACTCCGCCTTCTTCCGCAGCCTGTCGAGCCGCGCCTCCGAGTCGGCCAGCATCGTCCGCTGCTCATCCTCCTCCTCTTGCGCCGCCGCTCGCGCCTCGTCCCGCTTAACGCGAGCGATGTTTTCGGCACTGTAGACGTGCCATGACTTGTGCTGGAGAAGCTTGATCGGCATGGCGGTCCAGCGGGGCGGAGACTGGCGACTTTGAGGTGTGAAGGAGGAGAGGCTGTCGAGCGAGGCGGAGTCAGCGAGGATTAGCCGGGGAAAACTGCAGGCTGAAACGCACCGGTACTCTTTTACGGATGTTCAAGGCAAGTAAGGGACAGCACAGTCCGTCAAAGCGCCTGTAGAACCGTCGCGGTTCGGAAACTGATGAGGATGGCGAGGAGGAAAGAAGGGAGAGAGGACGGTGCGGGGTGTGCTGAGGCAGCTTGAGGCGGTTTTGGAGAGCTATCCAAGCACTGTGGCAGCCCAAGCGTGCCTCCAAGCGGTGTCGAGGCGGATGTCAACTCGTCAAGAGTTGGTTCGCCTCCTCCAGCAAGGTTGCTCTCAGCCAACTTGCTCTGATCTGCTTCGCTTCACGCTATGCCCATGCTAGACAAGCCAAAGAAGGCGCCAGGCTGGTCGAGCTCTCTCCGCGACGACGACTTCTCCTCGGACGACGATGCCGGACCTCGTTCGCTCTCAACGTCTCGCGTTGCTCGGACGGCTGGATTGGGGGACGAGGACGACGAGGAAGGCTTCGTGTGGGGCTCAACAACAGACTTCGTGGACATCGGCATGGTCGACGAGCCGGCCAGCTTGAAGTTTGTCGAGACGCCGTTGACCTTGGCGAAACGGACGGGCGCGACGGGCGGTAAGGCGGCGCAATCTGACGCGAAGCAGAAGGAGAAGCCTAAAGCTACCGTGGTGCGTTGCGAGCGAGGCTCTTCTGCGCCCTGTTCGTCTGCTCACCTATCTCGCATTCTACCGCAGCCTCCTCCGCCTGCAAAAGCCCGACCTGCTCCCCCGCCAACTTCGCTTCTCGATCAGAATATGTTGGCTCAGAGTGCATCAAAAGCCGGCCCAGCAGCAGCAGCGCCGCCAAAAACGCCCGCCAAGGCGAAGACCACGGCGACCTTCAAGCCTCTCCAGCCTCTTTCAGCCGCGCCTGTCGCGCCTCGTGCCCCAGTTGCGCCTAGACCTGCTCACAAGGCTGTTCCGCCGAGCTCGCCTATCAAGACGCTCGACCGCATTACCGCGCCTCCTCAGCATCCGATGCCTTCGAAACAGCCTGTTCGCGCCAGGCCTGCGCTCGGCACTCCTGCTGCAAACCCGTTCCGTCCCCCAGGATCTCGCATGGAGCCGTCGACCTCTTCCAAGCAGTGCTCGCTTCTACCGGTGACGGCTGTGCGCAAGCCTGCTGCGTCTTCGGTTTCTCTCGTTTCCAGTTCTGCTTCTTCTTCTGCTCGCCGTGCAGGATCTCCTGGTGAGCCCGCCCTCCTCGCTTCACGGGAGCGCGCCCGAACTGACCGGACCGTGGATGCGCAGATGGCTCGACTCCTCCGACTTCTCCTCGCCCTCGCTCGAAGCCCTCGAAGGCAGCTGTCGTTCCCACTTCCCGCGACGGCTCTTCCAGCCCTCTTCCGCAGTGGCAGGCTCCTCTGCTGCGCCCTCAGCCGGTCAAGGGCTTTCAGCAGCCGGCGTCGCCTGCGCCTGCGCCAACGACTCCGAGCGATCGCTTGCTGAGCGCGCAGGCAACTGTTCCTCCGCACCGTCGTTCGCCCAGCATGGATACGACCGCTAGGAAACGCCGCTTTGCCGAAACTAACCCTACTCACGCATTCGCCGACCATCCGAGCGCAGGTCTCGCTCATTCGTCCAGCGAAGTTAGCCACGAGACTCGTGCTCGCCTCGACCGCTTCCGCTACATCGGCAACTTCGGTACGACCTCGAAGACTAGCTCGCCTGCTTCTACGACTCACACAGAACCGGCGGCTAAGCGTTCACGAGAGGCTACTTCCGAGAGCATTGCCTCGTCCACAGCTCGCGAAGGCAGCACGTCTACGCCGACAACCGCACGCTTCACACTTCCCGGTCTCGCGCCTCCGTCCGCCCCGAAGCGCCCCTCCAACCGCCTCGCTTTCGAGCCCGCCGAACCGCTCTCGTCTTTCCAAGCGCGCATGTCTTCCAACAATTCGCGCTCATCCTTCGTCAGCTCAAACTCGCACGACAACAGGGACGGGAGGGAGAAAGTCCTTCTCGGTGCCGCGGTTAGGTCTGTCAAGCCGATTCTCTCGACGAGGTTTGGCGGTAGTGCGGGCAAGAAGAGGAAGCTCGGCAAGGGCGTGCCGCTGGTCGTGCCGCGTGAGAAGGCTGCGCAGGATGAGGAGGAAGAGAGCGCTGAGGCGAGGTTGAGAAGGTTGTATCGCAGTCTCGATGGGTGAAGAGGTCTGGAAGGGCGAGCAAGTGAAGCGCCCGCGGATAGACGGGAAGGAAGGACACTGCATGGACTCAGATTCGCTTGTAACGACGTGCATATCTCTCGCTCGACGTCGTCGCACCCGCTGAGAAAGACCGGCTGAGAAACGCAAGCAATGCACTTCAAGCCTCGATCATTACTCGGTCGTCGTCCTCACTCATTTCCGCCTCCTCCGCATCGTACATGTCCGCCTCGGGCGCCGCCTTAACCTGGGCAGGTGGTGGTGCGCCCTCGACGCCGTACTTCGTTTCGACACTCTTGCGAATGAAGGCGAGGATGGTTTGGCAAGCTGATTGTGCGAGGTCTTGCGCGTCAAAGAGCTGTCGAGAACGGGGTGTCAGCGCGGTAAGCGGAACATTCGAAGTGCAGGTTGCGCACCTGGTCCTCCGAGAACGTCCCGACAGAGTCGACGCCGGCGCATGTTCCTTCTGTCCCGCCGACACCCTGACCGAACGAGAACGCAAAGACGTGCGTAGACGTCGCGTCCTCTTCTTCTGCCGGCGTCGGGTCCAATCGCATCTCCTCGTCGTCCGCCTCGCCGTCCTGAACCGGCACGAACGCAATCGCCACAGCCACGAGCATCCCTCGACATTGTACTCCCGCATCGACGAGCGCCATCATCGCCGCATTGATCCGCGCAGCCTTCTCGCCTGCTCCCACTCCAGTCCCTCGAGGTGCCTCGAGCTCCTTTCCCTTTCCCTTGGCATCAACTTGCAGTGAGGGGTCGGTCGAGAAGGGCTTGGTGAAGGTTGTGGACGGGGATGAGATCGTTTGGAGGGTGAGCTGGATGAGGGCGCGTGGGTAGAGGTGCAGGAGGATGAGGGGAGCGAAGAGTTGGGAGAGCGTCGATTCGGCGGCCTTGACCGGCGGGCCTGTGTGTGAGCCACGCGGACCGTCAGCATTGTGCTCGTGGTTGTGAAACGCAGGGAACGCACCCCCTTGCCCTCTGAGCGGCCGGACGTTGATTTCGAGAGTCGCCCGGTCGACCAGCTCGTCTCGCAGCCTCACCTCGGCAGGACCGGTCACGGAGCCGAGGACAGACACGTTGCCTGTGCCCATTCAGGTGTTGTCAGCGTCACTACGAGTCGCACCGAGCGAGAATGAGCGCACCAAAGGTGAATTGCGCCGACCCATCTGCTCGCGACAGGGTTCCCTGCGAGAGCGCGAGCGGGCGAAGAGCGGTCGCCTGTCTGTCTGTCCGTGCAGTCATAGCGAGCCTGTCACCGTCCTGGATAGCTCTCGAGCGAGTGCGGCGTGGAATGACCTCTGCCAGACGCTGGTCTCCTCCTCGACCTCCGCCAAAACAGCCACTCCATCAAAAACATGTCTGGTGCGCCACGCTGACCACTCCAGAGCGCGTACACGGGCTGACTGAGAGCACCCACGCTCCCGCCATCGCCGCTCGCCCTGATCCCACCCTCGCAGACCAGGAGCAGGAACGAACTGAGGTCAAGCCGGAGTCGCAGCACATTGCGCTCAAGGTTCGTCGCGGGGCGGTTCTCTAGCTTTGTAGACGCTACTGACGCTGGTCTGCGCGCACAGATCCAGGGCTCGGGCTTCCCGGAGCTTGTCATCAAGGTCAAGAGGTCAGTCCTTTCTGTCCGCGATCCGGGCCACTCCTGGGCGTGCGCGGGTCTGTGAACGGTGTTAGATTGCGGAGCAGACTGGCTGACGTGTTCGATACCCGCTCGCAGGACCACCAAGCTCTCGAAGATGATGAACGCCTACTGCGACCGTGCCGGCAAATCGCTGAGCGAGGTCCGCTTCATGTTCGGTGCGTCGCGCTTTCGAGTCACATACGAAGCGCGGTGCTGACGGCTCTCACGCCCCGCGCGCAGAGGGCGACAAGTTGAGGCCGGAGCAGTTGGTGCAGGACGTGCGTGCACGTTCTCATGCTCGCGGACTCCTCATGACTGACTTCCGCCGCGTCGTGCGCTACAGCTCGACTTTGACGACGAGGACTTCAACGAGGAGAACCCTCTCGTCATCGACGTTGCGCAGGAGGCGGTGAGTTTGCGTCTTTACGCTGCGCTGTCTCCCCTCTCTCTCGCACGAGGGATTGCTTGCTAGCTTTTTGAGGACATGATACTGACGCGAGTCCCGATGTGCAGGTCGGCGGCTCGCTCTGAACGGAGGAGGACGCGCACGACTCCCTCTTCGCATGACCCAGTCTCGCTTGATGTTCCCTCTTCCCGCTCTACGCATATTCCCCTTCTTCGTTCCTTCAATGCCACCCCTACCCGCTCTCTTCCTTCGTCAGGCTCGACTCGCTCGACGCCTAACCGTTTACCCCTCCCCTCTTCACCTTGCGTTTGCTCTACCTCTCTGTACGAAACCCCGTGAAAACGAAGCTTCTGTCTCTTTGTCGTCTCATTCCCAACATCGACGTATTCGCAAGCAGTAGAGTACGCCCGAGCGCCGACAGGATGGCTGGACTGCTCAGTCGTTCGCGATCGCTCTCGGTGAACAGAGGGAAATGAGGAGCGGTTCTGCGTTGCGTACGTGTGACAACAGGATGCGGTAACGACTATGAAGGGCTTGCGTGCGGTGCGAATGGGAGGAAAGGGTATGGGGGTTCCGAGGGTTGCGAGGGTTGCGGGTCGCGAGGGTGATGCGACGGTAGGCGAAGGCGCGGATAGCTTACAGGATACGATATCACTGTTGGGGATGATCATGTTAGCCGGTCACAAAGCGAACGAGGCGGACGCTCAGGACGCACGTTCAGGTGGCGGATCAATTCGTCTCCGTCGCCTCCTGCGAGGCATCCTCCTCCGCAAAAGGCTCCGAGATGACCCTCCTCATCGCCTCGTTGAGGCTCGCCGAGACAGCCTCAATACCGCCATCTTTCCCGCCAGACTGGACCATCTTGAGCTTGTCCTGAGCGGCGAGGTGTACGAGCGAGATAGGGAGGTGCGAGGCGCTTGCGTAGCGGAGCGCTTGTTCGGAGAAACCGTTGAGGGAGACGAGGATGCCGAGCGGTTGGGGGTGGACGCCGCGAGATGGATGTGAGGGTTGGCGGGAATAGGGCGAACGGAAATGTGCCATGTTGCGCCGGTTTCGTCGCCGTAGATTCTCCGCTAGGATCGTCCCTTCTAGTTCACGCACGACGGCGGGCCCGAGTGCCTTCGCCTCGGCTTTGCACTGAACGGCGACCTCGAACATCCGCAACAGGTCATATCCCTCGACGTCCTCGTCGTCCTGCCACACTTCCTCCTCTGACATGTCCTCTACCCATCGTTGCCGGACGTCGGGGACAGGTCGGACCTTGGCCCAGCCAAACAGACCGTCGTTGTAGTCGAGCGAATCCTCATTCTCCTTCGACGGCAGACCCCATTGCCACCTCCCTCGCAGATCGATCCCCTTGTCGTTCGCGCCGCCTACTCGTATCAGTCCTCGGACGTTGAAAGGCCGTGCGGAGAGGTACTGAGCGGTGGCGAGCTCGTAGGCAGTCCCGAGAGCGGTTGTCGAGGGTGCGAGAGGAGAGACGGGTTCGAGCGGGCCTGAACCTGATGCTACGCGCTTGGCTGCTGTAGCTAGCCGTTTGGACACCCTCGCGGCCATGCTGAGCCGCTCAGTAGCCTTGTGAGCCGATAGCGAGTGAACAACAGGAAGTCAACCTCGAGGAGGAGGGTTGGCAACGACGTCAACCTGCTCTCGCGCTGTGCTGGTCTGCTGAGATGAAGTTTGGCTTGCTACAGACCGACTCGAGCTCAGAAGACGACGACAACGTCCCCAAAGTCCCGCTCAAGCCGACAAACCGGTGCGTCCCATCCTCATCAGTTCACTCGACTCGGGAGGAGCTGACAGGGCGGCGACGCCTTCTTGCAGCGAAATTCGACGCGCGCCTAAACGAGCAGGCTCTGCGGGACCGTCTGCCGCGTCGAGCGCACCACGAACTGCCGCTGCCGGCGAACCGTTCAACCCCACTCCAGTTCGCCTCGTCCGTCCACCGAATCTGAAGCGCGTCGAACGGCGGGAACGAAGGCCTTTGCACTTTGTAAACGACGACAGCGATGCGTCGGGAAGCGAGCGGGACGAGGTGGACTTGCTGAGCAGTTCGGACGAGGAGGGCGGACGGTTGCAGGATGAGGAAGACAGCGATGAGGACTACGACAGCGAGGAGGAAGAGTGGCCTGTTGGGCCTGTCGGGAGCATTGGCTTGGGCGGCTGGCGGAAACCGGGAGTCAGTTCGGGAAAGGGCAAAGAGTACGTCCTGTTCGTTCACTCATCTCCAAGCTCCGACTCACTTCCGATCTTCCAACAGACGCGCCGACGTCATGTCGCCGACGCGATTATACGGCGGCCCCGACGAGCTCGAGGAATGGGAGGACAAGTCGCGGGCTTCCACCTGGGCGGCCGCAAACCGCGCCTTCCACCTCTCCCTCGCCCGCTCGAAGTCCCTCTCACCCGGTCTCGCACGATCAACAGCCTCAGCCGACGTCTCCTCCATCCAGTCTATGCTTTCCGACCTCGCGCTCCAGCAATCGCGAGAAAAGGCTCAGCTCGTCAAGTCGTTCGAGCAGCGGAACAAGGCGTTGTGGGAATCGATCGAGGCATCCATTCGACAAGCGGAGCAGGAAGAGGGTGAGCGGCAGCGAGTTTTGGCGGAGCAGCGAAGGAAGGCGGAGGAGGCGGAGCGAAAAGCGAAGGAGATGCGCGAGGCGGAGGCGAAGAAGGCTGAGGAGGAGCGGAAGAAGGCTGAGGAGCAGCGACAGGAGGAGGAGCGGAAGAAGGAGGAAGAGCGGAAGAAGGACGAGGAAGCGAAGGCGCAGCGGGCGAAGCAGGAGGCAGAGGCGGCGGCCAAGGCGAGTGCGGTAGGCCTGCCAGCGTCGGATGCCGAGGGCTCGCCGAAGGCAGAGTTTGAGCGATGGAGGGCCAAGATGACGGTACGCTACAGGCTCCAGCCCGTGCTGGCCAACTCACGCTGACGAATCGTTCCGACTTGCAGCACATCAAGCAGTCCGTCCTGCCAGTCGTCTCGCAGAACCCGGCTTGGCGAAAGTCGTGTTTCCAGGCCAAGCGAGCCATCACGCCCAAGATCGGCCAGCTCACCTCGTCCGCCGAAGCCATCTCCCGCATCATCGGCCAGCTTGACGAGCTCCTTACGTCGCTGCGGCCGCCCGCTGGACCCGCCGAACCGTACACCTGGACTCTCAACCACCTTTCGAAAGCGCTCGTCAAACAGGCGGAGACGGAGGTCACGGCAAAGCTGGGGACGGCGTACCCGCTCGGGCGAGTCGTCATCGGCCTACTCGCTAGGGGTCACACCGAGCTCGGCGACGTCCTGATGGCGCGACTAGTCAAGAAGTGCTTCTGGATCACGGCTTACTGGCCGCCCAAGCAGCCGGTGCGTGACTCGCCCCGCCTTTGCCCTTTCCGTCGCGCTCACGACGCTTCTTTCGCAGGGCCAATCCGACGAGTCGTACCAAAAGACGCTCGGCCACGCCCCGCCGACCTCGTCCGAGACGCTCGTGCAGTATGGCGAGCGCATGTCCGGCCTTGTCGCCCTCTACGCCTCGATCCTCCAATCCTCCCCTCTCGACCCTCCCCAAGGTCCCTGTCCATCCGACCGTCTCGCCAACATCCCTCCACACTTCCGACCCGCAGCAGGATGGCGCTGGCTCGTCCTCATGCTCCGACCACCCCTTATCGGCCTCGAACCGACTCCCTTGCTCCTCGTCACTTTCCTCGAGATAGCCGGTGAAGGCTTGCTCGAGATCTACGGTCGACAGCTGGCGAAGTACCTCGAGGTGCTGCTGCGGGAGGGGATGCGGGAAGGCAAAGCGGGATTCTCGGAGAAGGCCAAGAGCAGTACGGTCAGGCTGCTGCTCTGGCTCGAGGACTGGGAGAAGAAGGGCGTCGTCGAGAGTGCGCCAGGACGGCAGGTGGATCCGTAGCCGTTCGCTCGTAACCCGCGCGATCTCTCACTCTGGGTTTCGTCGATGCGGACTTCGATGAGAAGGAGGTACTGCTGTTTTGCTGGTCCGTCTTTTTGCTACAGGCTGCGCTTCACACCTAAGCGTCCGCCCTCAAACCGAAGCGATCCTATTTTGCCGCCATCGTCGTCCTGCTTACTCGTCCTTGGTCGTACGCCTCCTCTTGCGCTTGAACGAGTCCTGGTAGCTCTCAAAGAAGGCGGCGGGGAGGGTGAGGTCCTGGCCGGTGATCTGCTTGAAGGTCGGGCGGCCGGCGACGTAGTTCGTCTTGCCCTCGCGGACGAGGGAGTCTGCGGCGGAGGAGGGAGCGGTCAGTCGGATCGAAGGCAGGAAGGAGAGGGACGAAAAACGCACAGTACTCGAGGATGTACGCCTTCTCGGCCTCGTCAATCTCCTCGCCCTGCTCGCTCGACAAGATCTTCTTCGCCTCACTCTCCTTGACACTCTGGAACTCCATCTTGGTCCCGAGCGCCTGCGACGCGGCCTCGGCGAGTTCGGGGCCAGCGACCATCTGAGGACCCGTGAGAGGGATCATCTGCCCGCGAACGTCGTCGGAGAGACCGTGCTCGCCCTCGGAGGTGAGGATCTTGGCGAGGAGGAGGGCGACGTCGCCGAGCGAGACCTGCGCAAGCCGAAAGTCAGTTTCGGTTTAAAGTCCTCCCCCTTTTTGTCGTTGCAAGACTCACGGGCGCGAACTTGTGGTGCGGGTCGACGGGAAGAGGGAGCTTGCCCTCGCCCTGCGCTTGCTTCGAGTCTGCGTACGTGAGAAGGTCAGAACGGCTTGAGTCATTGCGAGGCGGAGGACGGACAGAGAAGAAGGTTCTCGCAGTAGAAGCCGGCGCTGTGAACGTCGAAGCGTCAGCGGACCGCACGATAAGGTTGAGAGGGAGGAGGCAGACGCACCGAACGATGCAAGGCGAGTGGCCGGTCTCGCCGGTCGACTCGTCGCTCTTGGGCGCCATGGCGAGGACCTCGAGGTCGATGAACTCGCGGAGGTGCGGCTGCTTGTCGCGCTCGGCGTAGTCGCAGCCGGCGGACGAGAGGAAGACGAGGTTCTTGACCGACTTGGACTTCTTGCCGAGCTCGAGGATCTGCTTGACGAGCTTGGCCTTGTCCTGCGCGTGACACCGTGTCAGTAAAGCTTGACGCAGGGTCGAAGGTTGAGCGCACCTTGCGAGCGGGCGGGATGAGGCAGAGGGTATCGACGCCGAGTTCCTTGAGCTTGTCCTCGTCCATCTCGTCCACGAGGGCGGTCTCGACGCCGTACTCGTCGAGAACAGCCTTGGTGTCCTCCTTGGGCTCGCCAAACGTCAAGCCGATGATCTTGGTGATCTTGCCCTTGTAAGAGTTGTCCGACATGAGGAGCTCGAGGACAGCGCTGCCGGTGAAGCCGTCTACGGCGGTGATGGCGAGGACACGTCCGGAGCTGCTGTTGTTGCTCGACTCGGACTTGGCCTGAGCCTTGGAGACCTTCTTGGGTGCCATTCTGCCGGGACAAGGCGAGTGAGTGGGGAGGAAGCTGTGAGAGGGAGAGGACGCCTCGGACGCACGTTGCGGTGTGTGCGGTGGGTGTCAAGCGTCGAGTTGTGCGTGTAGAGCTGTTCAGTCTGAGCAGCAGAGGGTGTGGGAGCGAAGGAAACGAGCGAGAGAGGAGCGAAGTTGCTCTTCGCGAATCGTGGGCGTCACTTCGCCTCGCTCGACGACACGGCCCGTCGGAGTGACCGTGCGGTGCTGGAGCATTCGAAGATCGACGTTCTGTGAGCAAGGCACCCGTCGCAAGCCGTGTCCGGAGACGCCGTAGACGCTGCGTCCCTCTCCTCCTCGTCTCGCTTCCCCCTCTCCGCAGCGAGAAGTGAGTGAATGCGTCGACGGAGAATACACGGGTGCTGCACGAACAGGAGACACAACAAGAGGACGACGGGGAAGGACGGCGAGAGAGGATGGGCGACAGTCGGGTCAAGGGGATCCACCGCGAGTCGAAGAGAACTTGTACAGGAAAAAGAGGAGGACAAAGGCGACGACAATGCCGAGCTGGATCCGCCCTGGCCCCTTGCCGCTCTGTACGGACCGCGCAAAGCGCGTGCTGGTGTTGGAGAGCGAGGTCTTGAAGCTGTCGAAGGTGTTGCTCTGCGAGGAGGACAAGGTGGGGTCAACTCGCCGACCAGGCTTAACGGGAACGCTCTTCGGCTCACTGTACTGTCCAACAACGAGTTCTGCCCCCGCGAATCCTGGTAGATGTCTGTCGTGACCTGCGAGCGTGGCGAGGCGGTGCCGACGACGACGAGAATCAGCACGACGAGCTCGTTTGGCGGACTGAAAGCGGGTGGAAGTGGTGAGTACACTCACACTTCGTAGCTGGGAGATCTTGCTGTGCAGGTCGTTCAGGTGCTGGTCGTTCTGCGCCTCGAGATCAACGTCCGACGACTCCTGCGTCTTGCCCCGACCCCAGCTCCTGTGGGCCAGTTCAGACGGTGTCAGAGTGCGGAGAGACGACGAAGCAAGCGACCAAGACGCACGACATGGCAGCAGCGGCGGGAAAGTGAGAGCAGCGATGGCGGACGGGAGGGAAAGGGCTGTCGGCAACTCGCGGTGGTCCTCACAGAGACGCGGTGACCCAGAAAGACGACGATAGTTGCTAGTTCGCGGTATATCTACTCCCCCATGCTACGCCTGAGCCTTGGCCTTGCCCCCGGCCGTCTCCGCCATCAACCGCTCCGCCAAATGCGCAAAGAACTCGGCATTCGCATCCTTCCGCTCAACCAGCGCAACCGCAATATCCCGCATCTGGGTGACGAGAACGGCGACCCACTTGTGAGGGAGCTTGTGCTCCGCATACGCGACTATGGGCCCCTCGTGGCGAACTGCGAGCCGCTTGATCATCGCCTGCACGCGCGGTGAGTCCGTCTCGCCGTTCTTGAGAGCCGTCGCGAGGACGAAGGCGTCGATCAAAGGGTTGTTGTTCGCTTCGGGGTGGTAGACGAGGGTAAGGGTGTGGAGGGTGAAGGCGGCGTCGACAATCTCCGTTGGAGAGGCGGCCGAGTCGAATCCAGCCGGTGCCGGCGTTTCGGATGCGTTCGGCTGCGCCCTGGAGAGACCGCGGAAGACAGGGTAGAGATTGAGGAGAGACGGGGCGTCCATGCGATAGATGTTGCGGTTCGCGAGCATGTCGACGGCCTTGACGGCGGCGCCGCCTCGTCCGAAGCGCGAGGCAACGACCTCGGGCAGTCGCGAGTTGGGCTTGAGGAAGTTCCGCTCGTGCCACTTCCTGATGGCGTCCTGAACCTGCGTGAACTGGTGCGGCTCGGCGTTGTTGGCGAGGTTCTCGAGGATCCGGGTACTGGGAGGACTGGCGCGGAGGTTGCGGCCCTTGAGGCGGAGCGCTCGTCGCAGTTGCCGCTGTGCTTCGCCGTACTTGGACTCCTTCGTGTCCTTCGTAGCCTTCCCCGCCTCTCCCGGCTCCTCCCCTACCGACCCGTCGAGCTCATCCTCGAACTCGTCCTCGACAAACTCCTCGTCCTCGGCTGGCAGCGTCTCAGCCTTCTTGGCCTTCTTGGCGTAGGCTTTGTACGCGGTGCGCCAGGTCGTCAGCAAGGTGTAGCGAGAGTTTAGCGAGCGTGAGATGAGACGAACCTGGCGTGGTCGGGGCAAGGGCAGAGAAGGCGCGAGGGGTTGGGAGGGTTGGCCGTGGCTGACTGTGAGCAGTTGCTTGCCGCACAGTGCGCACGCAAGCCGTGCAGACGCGAGCGAACGCCATAGCGACGAGCGGTGAGCGAGAGAGTCGAATCTCGCCAAGTCCGCAAAGTCGCTCGCTCAAACTGCTCGCGGTGAGCTGCTGTGCCGTCTAAGGATGTACGAGAGTGTGTGAAGCAATGCAACAGGGCAACAATAACGCAAACTACATCTGGAGGAGAAGGTCGAAAGTAAGGGTATATCGCCGTCGTACAGCGCTCATCGCCCCATAGGCCTGAAGTGTCCGCCGGTCGGCTGAGGAAGAAGCATGCCGCGCGCGCCGCCGACACCGACGCCAGCCGTTCCGAGCGTGGGCGACATGGCGGGACTACCTGTCCCTGCCGCAGACGCGCCCCATCCTGCTGGTATCCGCATGCCGAGTCCGACGCTGGACGCCATAGACCCGTTCGACGACTGTGAAGCCGAAAGCGGAGTTTGCGCAACCGATGCACTCAGGGTGCCGGATCTTGCTCGTCCGGTCATTTGCGGCTTGAGCGGTGCAGGTGTCGCGGACGGCGTGTAGTGCAAACCGTTGGCGTCGCCGAGTACCGACTTTGGTCGTGCGATGCGGGCGGCGGCCGGTGTGGGTGCAACAGATCCGGCGGCGAGACGCTTCGCGGCGGGCGGACCCGTTGAGGTCGACGAGCTGGTTGAGCGTGCCGAGGCGCCCGTCATCTGGCGCTTGAGCGGTGCAGGGGCGGCTGCGCCGGTGTGTTGCGGCTTGAGAGGGCGTGCTGCTGAGGCGGACATGCCCATCTTGGCTCGCTGTGAGCGGTGAATGGTTGGTGTCAGCTCGTGAGCATCGGCAGCGCGGTGCTCGGGCGCACCTTCTTGTTCTCCTTCTCGAGCTCCTCCGCCCGGATCTGCTCGTCGAGGCCGTCGATGAACGAGACGCCATTGACGAGGAACGGCCGTCCGTTCTCCGCTTCCCATTGCGGAATGAGGGCGCGAAGTTCCGCTTCGAGCTGCGTGAGGAGTGGTACTTGTCAGTTTGGCGAACAATGAAAGCAGGGGGACGGATGCGCAACGCACCCTCGGCTTCTCCCGGTCGACCTGTTTCCGGTCCTTCGCTTCTTGCGCCAATCGCTTCGCCGCGCCGCGACTCTTGTCCATCAAGCGACTCGGATCTGCCGCGGCAGCCTAGAGACCACACAGCACAGAGAGTCAGCAATGACCTCCAGACCTCGCGAGCTAAGCACCGTGGGCAGGTGACGCACCTCGAGCTCCTTCATCTTCTCGACGACAGCGAAGTACTTCGCCAGTCGCTCCAACACCGGCGCCGCCTCCTCGACCTCCTTCTCCAGCCGCTCCCTTTCCCGCTCATGCGCGACCAGCAGTTCCTCCGAGACGTTGTCGTTGACGACCTCCTCGTCGTAACCGTGCGCGGCGTTCCAGACTTTCGTCGGCTCGACGCTGATCGAGTATGCCGGGAATTGAGCGAGGCGTTGAGGGTACGAGACGTAAAGGCGGTCCCACAAGGCGGTCATGGCCTCGCGCTCGCGCTGGATGAAGGTCGACATGTTGCTTCGCTTGAGCGTGAGCATGCGGTTGAGTTCGTCTTGATACTGCACCAGCGAGGAGAGCGTCAGCAACGTCAGCGAAAAGCGCTGCACGGGAAGAGACGCACGGCGTTGACCACGTCCTGCGTCGAGCCCATGTGTCGATTGACGAAGTCCTCCATCTCCTCCTCCGTCACGCCGAGCATCGTCCAAAGCGGGTAGAGCTTGTCGTACGTCGTCTGGATGAGCATGTTGCGCGAGTCCTTCTCGTCTTCAAGCTGCAAAGTGATCCGCGTCAGTCTTGTGGGTCTCGGTCTCGGTAGATCACTCGACGCACCCATTTCCGCTTCGCCTCAACGCGCTGCACGTTCTCCGCCGTCGGCAGCATCTCCCGCTTGGGCTGTCGCGCCTCGCCCACACCGAGATGCCACAAGATGTCCTCGTCGAGCGGGTCTCCGCCTGGATTGCCCTCTTCCGCCTGATGGATGCCGAGCTCGCACCGCAGAGCAAACACCTCGGAGGCGTGCGAGTTGAGCAGTTCTTTCCGGTGAGACTGTCGAGGAGAAGCGTCAGCGGTGGTAGAAACCCAGGAGAGCGCGCAGACTAACGATCTCGGCCTCGCATCTCAACAGTTCCCGCTCGAGCGCGCCCATCCTGTCGAGCTTGAGGTTAAGGTCCTCCCACTTGCCTTCGGCCGCGGCCGCCTCCAACTCGACCTGAAGCCAGTCCTTCCCGACGACCTCGCTCAACTCCCTTAGCTTCGCCTGCAGTTGCAGTATCCGCTTCCCACGCTCCTCCATCCGTCCCTTCATGCCCTCCTTGATCTGGTCCACCTCCTCGACGAGCGACAACAGCGGTCCGTCGCCTCGCTTCTTCTCCTGGCGCAGCGGTTCCCCCAGAGCCGTCTGCCAGTCATGCACTCGTCGCCATCCTGCTGATAGCCGCGCCTCAGCGTCTGCGACCTCTGCCTCGGCTGTCGTTCGCTGTGAGGCGACCGCTTGGGAGAGAGTCGAGTGAAGGGAGGTGAGGTGGGTGTCGATGAGGGGTTGAGGGGACGGCGAGAGGGCGGTGTAGAGCGCTTGTAGTATTTTCCGGTGGCTTGCAATCAGTTCCTCTAGCGAAAGTGGCGTTGTCGAGGCAGAGTCGGCCATTGTTGACTGAGAGGTGATGAGGAGGAGAACGTAGTGTTGCGAGCCGGCGTGCGGCTGGGTGCCGGTGTGGATGTGCTCAGAGTAAAGCGAAAAGCGTCTGCGAGTCTCAGTCAAACGGACAGAGCTGGTGCGAGAGAGCAGCGAGATGATGCAGGGTCAAGAGACGAGGCGGACGTCGTTTTCACACCATTCTCTTCCCTGCGAATCCACTCGATGTACGCAGGAGTGCAGCTTTCAGCTACAATAGCATTGACCCTTCCACTACAGCCGTCGCTACGATGAGGACGATCCCAACTCCAGCCGTCCACCTTCGCAGAACGGTTTCCGTCCTGCTGACAGTCACTCGGGCTAGTCCAGCTCGCCGCAGTCGGCTCAAGACCTCCGAGAGTACGCCATCGTCGGCCGGCGCTGTCTCCCCGCGTAGAAGCCGATGCTGGCGGTCGAAACTCGTGGGGAGAGTCGGCTCGCGGAGGCTGCAGAAGAAAGCTGCCACGATATGCGAGCCGTCGAGGTGAGGCAAAGGAAGCAGATTGAAGAAGGCGATGGCGAGCGAGATGGACATGTTTGAGCTGGTCGCAGCCAACGTCAACGAGAGAGCGATTTAGGGCAAGAGACACGACTTACCGGATCAGTCGTTCGAGCTGTAGGGGGAGACTGATAGGCACGAACCAATAGCGGGGTCTTCGGCTGGTAACCGTGACTGGAGGACAGACCTGCGTCAGATCAGCTCGGGGAGAGAAGGGAGGAAGCGACGGACCGTCATGCAACAACCTTTGCCGGCTGCCCTGCCATAGGACCGTGCGGCTGTCTTCTCCCCCTCCGCCACCCACTTCCGCCGAGGAGGTGTTCCGTACCCCAAGCCGAACGACGTGTTCGTCCTCGCTGATCCGGCCGCAAATGGTCTTCGAGCCGCCTTGAAGGCTGCGGCATGACTGGTCGTCGAAGCATCTGGGTGGTATGTCGGAGGGTGACGTAGGCGGAAGAAGAGGGAGCGGATCGAGGCAGGCCTGGCTGCGGGGTTGATTCGGCGGTTCCGTCAAGGCTTCGAAGCAGAGAAGTCGTTCGGCGGTAGCTGGTCCTCCCGAAGGGGACATGCCATCGAGGTTCGGCTTGTTGCAGCATTCGGCACCATCCGAAGTGGAGAAGAGGTCGGCATCGAGACACCATCCGAGGTTCTGGTAGCGGTCGAGCGGATTGGACGAGGACAGGTGGTCGTGCCAGAGGCGGGCGGGGTCCGCCGAACGCGCCGTCGCCGCATCTAATTCGAGATCGTCTATGTGGTCGATCAGCATGCCAGTAGCGAGGTGAGGTGCGAGAGGCGAATGCTGCGAGGGCAAGCGCGGTCAGGCGAAGTCGAGCTTGACAGACGAAGAAGAGCGCGCCGAGTCAAGCTCAGCAACGAGCACGCCTTCGTCCAGCGTGTCCCAGATTCCAAGCGCTCGTCCCATCCAGTTTGTAAGTCCTGCTCCGGCATCCGACCAGGTCCATGCCATCGACGCAAGGAGGACGTTGTGCCAAACTCCGGCAGACGAGATGCGGAGGTCGGTGAGAGGCGAGACATCGAAATCGCTTGCAACCTCGACGTGAAATGTCGGAAAGACGAGCAGGAAGAGGCGGAAGCCGGTCGAGAGGAGCGGGATTTGCTCGCTGCGAGTGCGTCAGGTCAGCCGATCAAGGCTACTATCCGAGCAGGATGACTCACGCTGCAGCCGCAAGCCCGTGTCCCAGCTCGTGGAACGATTGAGCAACGAGGAGCGAGCCGAAGAGGACAGGCAGGCCGGAAAGCGATGTTGTCAAACCGGGGATCTGTCGATTGGGAATCAGCGACGGAGGTAGCAGAATTGGATAGCTGTTACGCACAGCAGGCCGGATTATTAAGCCCTGGGTAGGATTGGGCATAACGGGAGATTCGTCGAGGGAAACGGGAACGCGTTTGAGCAGTCGAGGAGGGGGAATTTTAGCATCGTCGCCCGGCAAGAGCACTTGTGCCGCCGAGGCGATGGCTCGCCACGCCGCCCAAAGGAGCATGACCTGCGCGACCACTAGACCCGCGAGCGCGAGGAGGGCGCCCGTGTCGTAGCACCAAGTCAAGCGCCGCTTGCTGCTCGTCCGCCTCGTCCTCGTCGACCTGATGCGCGGCAGAATGTCCAGCAGTCGGCGTGGGGCGTCATTGAGCGATGTTGTCGAGATCGAGAAGGAGAAGGTGTCGAGGGTGATGAGGTGTCGAGGGGAGGACACGCGGCTTAGGAAGGGCTGGATGCGAGGTCGAGCGATCTGCAGTGCTACACAGAAGACCAGCCAAGCCAGCAGCATGCGCTGGCAGCCACGAGCAGCGATGTGGACGAGGGAGACCACCGTTGCTTTCGACTCTCCCAGCTCATCGTTCGGGGCAATGAAGAGACGAGGTCCTGCACAACATCTAGCAAAAGCGAAGGAGTGACATCAGGTTGCGCCAATCTCGGGGTGTGAACCGCAACTCCGCCTCCCTCCTCCGCAACTCCTGCCCTTCTCCCTCCCCTCGCAAGTGCATCACGCCCGAGGCCGCCCACATCCACCACTCACCCGCAAAGGTCATGCTCGCGCCCTCTCCAACCGCCGCCTAGCCCCGCACGCGGAACGGCCGTCCTTCCGCCTCCCTTCGCAAGCCTCGACGTTCGACCCGGAGGACGCTGCGCTGCGCAGAGGCAGACACAGACGCCCACCCCTCTAGCACTCGCTCTGACCGAGACGGAGACCCGCGAAGGGCCCCTTGTCCACCCCTGAGCCACACGAGGAACTGCACGCTCCAGCAGCCAAACCACTCGTCGCTGCCTCGTCAGGCGCATCCTCTACTCCAGTCAAGGAGGAAGACACAGGCGAGCACATGACTCTAACGCAGCGCGTGATCGGATCGAGGCCACCGTCCGTCCGAAGACGAGCTCGAAAGCTGCCGCTCCCGAAGGAGGCGGAGACGAGCAGGACACGCTCCGCTGAACCGGCCCGGACGTGCTTTCCCGCCTGACCTGTTCCTCCGGCCACGCGAAGCGAGAGCGCGGAGAGAAGCAGGCCAGGACTGAAGGGAAAGCCGCGTCTCCGAGCTGGCCGACGAAGCGAAGGCCGACTGCAGGGGTACCCCGCCTGCGGGTCGTCGACCTTCTCGAGCGATGCACGACAATCCCGAAGGAGCTGCGTTCCCGACGAGGCGGACAAGCGGCGGCTGAAGAAGCGGTTTCGACTCGGGCACCGAGGGAGGCGGCAGAAGCGAGGCTGGGCGAGGGGTTCCGGATCGGCCATCGAGACCGGGTCGAGGAGGGGTCAGGCTGTTGCGGCATGCGAGGAGGGCGAGGGTTAGCGAGCACGACCTCCAAGACCTTCTGAGCCAAGCCGAAGCGAGGCTGTCCTTGAAGGCCCCAGTGCGAAGCGAGTGCGGACACGGGCGACCGAGTGAGCAGATGAAGCGAGAAGGCGAGGAGACGGACGTAGAGAACGAAGAATCGAGACGACGTGCGCACCCGTCTTGCGAAGGCAACCTCATCATGCATCACTCGCACACCTCTTGCTCCTCAACAGCAGGGCCAGGTCCTTCCGAACCGCCTCTCTGTGCTGCTCCTTGACCCGCGAGCGCGTCGAGAAGACGAATGAACACCGCAATCCCAGGCGTACAGAACCTCTTTTCTGCTCGCTGACCGCGTCCCTTACGGCAGCAGACGAGCTTTTCCCCTCGTACCCCTTGAGACCGCCAGCGCAAGCCAGCTGACCCACAGGACACCAGAGACCGGCGAGAAGAAGCGATTGCAAAAGCGCCGGGTTCCTCGAGGGTGACAAGGAGGACGGGTGTGCCTCGAGCGCGAGGACATCCCGTCTGTGCGTAGTCACCGCTCGAATCGAGGTAGGAGCGCGACAGGCATGTTTCGCTCGTGCGAACACGGAGCGATAGACCTGCCGCGTCCCTTCTGCGCCTCTGCCTCGTCCACCTTGCCGCTCTGGCGGTGCGCGAGCTCCGCCTCCGATCACGTCCAACGAGCGAAGGAAGCCATCGATCCGCCTTCAACGTCTTGACCAGACCGCGAACGGCTGGTCTGTTCTCGCAGCGGTCCCGGACAGCGAGCAAGCGTCCGTTAGACGACCGTTCCGACGACCTCGCCCTTAACGACCCAAAGCGAGCGACCCAGAAGACGCATAGGCCCACCACTCGTCATCCTGTCGTCTTGCTCGTGGTCCGCCTCAGCCGCACCTCGCACGAAAGTCCAGCGCTGGCCGCCGCACCCCCTCGAACGAGCAGAACTCGCCGGCTCCTTCCGGTGCTGGTGTTTCCTTCGACCGAGCACAGAGCTGCGCCGTCCCGAATCGTCGAGAGAAGCGGGACCAGGCCTTCGTCTCGCACGGAAGCGCGGGTTTCCGGAGGGACCAGACAGAATCCTTCGACGAGGGCGGGCGTGCGTCCTCCAACTCGCCCTCTCCGAGCCAGGCGAGCCGTGATCCGGCCATCCTTCGAGAGCACTTCCCCGTTGACCCTGTCCAATCATCCCGCGAAAGACGCCCTCCCGCAAGAGTCGACGAACCGACCGCTTCCCTCGTCCTCGCCGTCCGCAACCCGAAACAGGCTCCAGCGCATCCGCGCGCGCGTCAAGGTGGCTGGGACTCGGACCCAGCGAGGCATGCGAGGCGCAGATCTGAGTATCTTAGGGTTAGAGCGCCGGACTGGCCGGCTTGGGGGCGACGCGTCCAGGGCGGGTGTTTGTGCGCTCGCTCGCGGGCGAAGGGGGAGATGGACCGCCGGCTGGATGCGGTCGAGAGGGCTGGAATGGTTCGACTGTGGCAGCAAGCCGTGCGTCCTCGGTAGCAAGAGGGTGTGTGGGAGGAAGGGAAGGAGCGAGCGGACGCGTCCTCGCCAAGTTGGTATCTCGCGGGGTCAAAACTGCGATGGCGAGAGTGGGACATTGCGAGGGCGACAACAACACCGAGCACTGCAAGCTGATCTACCCAGTACAACCGAAATAGCCGGCCCGACCCTCACTTTGGCTTGAGCGTCTTCGGGTCGAGGTTGAGGTCCCGCACGCAGTCGTCGCAGTACCACGCGCCGTCGGGCGCCTTGTCGAGGCCGACGCACTCGAGGTGGAACTGCAGGAGAGTAGGATTAGCGGGAGTGAACGGATCGAGTGGCAAGGCGACTTACCCATTCGCGCGAGCAGTCCTCGTTCTCGCACGCGATCATCTGCCAGCGGAAGAGCATGAGCGGATGCCCAAGAAAGTAAAATGGCGCAACTTACCTCGCCGAAACTGACGCGACTGCAGTAGCAGTACGTTGGCTCGTTCGGATCGACTGCAAGATCAAGCAAGCGTCAGCAAACTTACAGGTGGAATGAGTTGGTGTACGCACCTGGCATCCCGCTCTCCGCCTTGCGCTTCTGCGCTCGCTCCTGCTTGAGCAGCTCACGCCGCCGCTTCCACTCGCGCTCCTTCTCCAGCTCTTCCGCCGTCCGCTTCTTCCGCATCGCCCGGCCCGCTCCGTCACTTCCAGATCCGACTGTATCATACGCTTCGCGCTCGCCGAGTGCTATCGCACCGAGTGAGGTAGTTGGTCCCGGAGGCGACTTGCGGATGGCGGAAGGTGCGTCGTGCGAGGGTTGCGTACCCTCGCGCAGACCGATGACGAGCGAGTCTTCGTATCTCGCCAAGTCGGCGTCGAGGCGGCGGATGTGACGGTCAATCTGCTCGCAGCAGATGCGTCAGTGCGGGAGGAAAGGCGGGAAAAACGCGGCAGCACGCACCGCTTCGTACAAGGTGATGGCAAGCCCGACCTTGTCTTCGCCTGCTCGGACAGCGGCTGTCGCCAGTGAGGAGAGCTTGTTGAACCGCGCACGCATCGAAGGACTTGGTTGAGGAAGTTCGTCGGAAGTCGAGGTCGACGGCGCGGGAGACGGAGCGGATGAAGGGTTCAGCGTCGACGCGACGAGGGTCTCAAGGGACGTTTGTAGCTCGGCAGTGTGTGCTGGAGACAGGCAACGGCGCTGTCAGCACAATGTTTGGCTCTAAGGAGAGGGACGCACCCTGCTGTTGATCCTCCAGTTCCCGCACCAGCCGAAACGTGCGCTGATACTCCAAAGGAAGCTCGTTCAGGACTAGTGAGCGCAGTCAGGCAAACAGACGGTCAGCTCGTTCGCTCGGATCGAGGTGGGGACAAGGAAGGGACACACTGTCGTGGTACTCTTCCGCGAGCATGTCGTAGATGCGCTCCAGCTCCTCCAAGTCACGCTCCTCGACCGCCCCTCCGTCCACAGACTCTGGCTCAACCGCCTTCTCCTTCTTCTTCAGCGCGACTGTTTGCGATGAAGACTTTGCCGCGTTCGACGCGTCTGGCGCGGCTTTGGTCGCCTTTGGCGTCGCCTGAGGACCATCTGTGCGCTTCCGCTTCGCTGGCCGGGGCGTCGGAGCCATGAGAGCGGGACTTGAAGCTGATGGCGTGAGGCGAACCTCCTCGAGACGGGTTGGCTGCCACCACACTCCAGCTCAAGCGCAAGAAGTTACGATGAACCGCTGTGCATCCTCAGTACGGTCTGCGCTCGCCCGACCAGCCAGTCGCGCAGTTCGAACGGCATTCTCTCGTCCCGCCGCCATCTCCTCATCTCCCTTCCTTCGGTCGGCGTTCTCTGCGACGGCACGACCACAGAGCGTCCCAGTCTGCCGCTGCTTCTCATCTACACCTTCAAGACTCGGGAACGAGCCGGGTAAATACAAGATTGGGTGCGTGCTCGCGTCCCTCCTCCTCCTCCTTGAACGGGCATACGCTGATTTCCGTCGCCGTACCGCAGCCAACTTTCGGACCGAGAGTACCACGACGTATCAAATGCAGCGATGGACCACCTGACGGAGTATCTGGAGGAGAAGCTGGACGAGCTGGACGTGGACGGAAGCGACGTCGAGTACTCGGTGCGTCTCCTTCCTCGCTGTACCCTGTTTCGCCGCGCTGAGGACTGACTTTCAGCTGTCTACATGTGGAAAGTCGGGCGTGTTGACTGTCAAGCTGGGTGACCGCGGGACCTACGTGATCAACAAGCAGCCGCCGAACAAGCAGATCTGGCTGTCCAGCCCAATCAGGTGCGTCAGCTTGTCTCGCGATTGCGCCAGCACTCTCGACGGAGCTGTATCTTCCGCCAGATTGCTTCATACAATCGAGGGTGGCTGACGCTCGTGCTCTTCGTTTCGACTTCGCAGCGGCCCGAAACGCTACGACTACGACCTCGACCACCGCGTCTGGTTCTACCATCGCGATGGAGACTTGATGCACGACTTGCTGAACCGGGAACTGCGGGAATTGTTGGGCGACGAGACGATCTCGGTGGACTTGGCGGAAGAGGAGGACTGAGCCTGCGATTGCAACGCTGGTCGAGCATCTGAGCGATTCGTGCCGCATGCTGTGTTCCTCAGAATACGCCGGTGCTGCACTACGCGTCAAGAAGCGACGTTGTGAGCTACCTCGTGCTTGGGAAGGTCGCTCCTCGCTGTTCTCCTCTCTCCGCTCGCATCGTTGCTTCCCTCGAGCCGCAGATGGCCGACGACGTCCTCGAGTCGCTCCGCACGGCCACACAGCTGTCGCTCGCCGACCTGCGCGACCTGCAGGCACTCGCCTCGAGTTCCCCTCGATACGGCTCATCCGAGGACGAGCAGCTCGCCTACAACCTCTGGAAGGAGGAGTTGGAGCGCTTCACGGTTACTCTTGCGGACAGGCAAGTCGCGCAAGACTTGCAGACGGCGCTCCGGACGGGCCAGACACTCGAGCAGAGGGAACAGCGCAGCGCCAGGTTCGTTGTCCCTCTCATACTCCAGCTCGTCTCGGATGTGGCTGAAACGACTTTGGTGCAGGCTTGCTGCAACTGCGCACCCGTACCGCCGCAAGACACCCGACTCCGCGTCGACTTCCGCTGTCCCTTCGACTGTCCCGCTCGCCTCTACCTCCGGAGCCCTCGGTCACGCTCAGAGGCTTGTCTCTTCGACGCCGTATTGCATCTCGTGCGCGGACGAAGTCAATGGCGACGCCGCGAAGGCAACCTGCGGCCACTTGTTCTGCCGTCCTTGCCTCGTCCGCCTCTTCCGCCTTGCCACGCGCGACGAGTCCCTCTTCCCACCTTCTTGCTGCAAGACTCCTATCCCTAGCACCCTCGCCATGCCTCTGCTCGACGTCGAAGACGGTAAGGCGTACAGGCGCGCGGTCCAAGAGTACAGCACACCCAGGCGTCTCTACTGCTCGAACGGCAAGTGCGCCGTGTGGCTCGGCGCACTACCAGCTTCGAAGCAGGATGTTGCGTGCGGGAAGTGCGGAAGGGTGACTTGCTCGGCTTGCAAGGCGCCTGCTGTGCGTTGACCTTCTCTCCTGACATTTCCAGACGCTCTCGCTCACCGCATCCCTTCCCGCAGCACGATGCCAAAGTCGCTTGCGCAGACGACCTAGACGGAGACGCCGCGCTCAAGCTTGCTGCTCAAGTCAACGGCGTTCGCTGCCCAAAGTGCCATCGAGTCGTCGAGCGGAATGGTGGTTGCCCGCACGTGTGCGTATCGCTATCCTTCCGCTCACTACGACGTAAGCTGACGCGCTACCTCTCCAGCGTGTGCCTCTGCAGGACTGACCTCCAGATCCCGGCGCCTGGCTGAGGAGCTTGATAAGGATGATGCTTGAACGAGGCAACGAGGTCTTGTAGCACGAGTGTCGCATGCCTCTGCAACTACTCTACCCGCTGTCGCTTCACCTCGACCTCCCCATCCTGCATCGCAACGTCCTCTTCACGAGGTCGCTTTGGCGTACCGGGTGTACCGGGCATGGTAACGTCCTTTGGCGGTGGCGTCCCAGGCTCGTCCCCACCTCCAGCATTCTTCCGCGCCGCATCCTCCGGCTCAGGCGTCCCCGCCTCCTGCTGCTGCGGCTTGACATCCGATACCTCCTTCCCCTTCGCAACTTCCGGCGACTTCCGCTCGTGCAACCCTAGCACGCTCGAATCACTGTCGTACTCCTTCTTCGGCGTAGCCTCGTCCACCGCCGCATCCTTGCCGTCTACCTCCGCAAATCGCTCCTCCTCTTCCTCCTTCCTCCGTCGCTCGTCGTCAACGAGAGACTCGAGCTTCTCGACGTCGCCTGCACCGATCAAAGAGAAGTGGCGGAGATGCTGTGTCGAAGCAGCGCGGATGGCGCGCCAGTGCAGAGCTTGCAGGCGAATCCGTTTCTGCGAAACGAGGCGTGTCAGTCGCTCCTTTGGCCTGAGCAATGCAGGAGCGTACCTGCTCAAGGGTTGCCTCAATCTCGTGGCGTTGCGAGCTGTTAGGTGCGGCGCGAGCAAGCTGAGCCTCTTGCTGCTTGACGCGGTTCTTCTCGAGTCGATATTCTCGCAAGATGTAGTTGAGCTCGTCGTCCCTGCGCGGCTTGCAGTCAGTCGAAGACCAGATCAAGAGGAAGACGCGGACACACGCGACATTCGGCTCGAAGCCATCCAAAGTCGTCGTGTTGTGCTGCCACGTCCGGTTCAAGTTCGGGTTTCCCATCTTGTAGGGGAACTTTTTCGTCTTGCGAGTCGCAGCGCGGAGCTTGGCGCGAGCCTTCTCCGACTCGGCGGCGGCGTCGAGCGAAGGCTTGGTGAAGGGTGCGCAGGAGCGAAGCTTCCAGTCCATCTGCAAGTAGACGAGTCAGTGTCGGAAAGCGGCAGACAGAGAAAGGCGGACGCACCCAGTTCTGTTCGCGCTGGAGTACAAGTTGAACAGCCTTGCGGAACCGTCGACCGCCGTCCATCGAATCGAGCTCATCGAGTGTCCGGCTCCGCATCTCGCGAATCCAAGTCTCGTTCTCCGTCTGCAGGACGAAGGGCGAGAGCGCGGCGGCGTTGAGCGGGTGGAATGACTGTACGCGGGTTCGCTCGGCGGGCGTGAGGCTGAGGAGGTACTGGAAGAGGATGAGCATTTGGACGAGGATTTGGCGGCGGAAGTTGGAGTCGGCGAGCTGCGAAGCGTGGCGTCAGCATGCGTCTCGCAGCAGGTGTAGGAGACGCCCAACGCACCTCAAGCTCGAGCAGGTTGCGGCTCGTCAAGAACTTGGGGAAGAAGTACTCCTCCAACCCTTCCTCCGCATCGACCTCGCTCTCCTTCGCCTTCCCGCTCACTGCACCCTCCTTCGCAGATCCTGCAAGCTCCTTCTCCTTCTTCGTCGCAGCGGCGAAAGCGGCGAGCGTCTGTCGCAATCCGTTCTTGAGCGTCCGGAAGGGGTCAGCGTCGGCGGATGTCGATGCGGCAGGCGGCGCGGCGAAGAGGAGAGGCGGATTGTTGAAGACGCGCTGGAGAGACCAAAAAGTGGTGTAAAACTGGGAAGGGTTGCCTGCGAGACCCGGTGACCGACGTCAGCCGGGAGAACTGATCGAAGGGGAAGACGGGCAGACGCACTCTCCGCTGGGTTCTCTGCGTCCTTCGGCAACTCCTCCTCTTCGCCCTCCTCGACCTCCATTTTGACATCCTCCTTTTTCGCGTCCTCCTTCGCGCCCTCCATCTCCTTCTCCGCCTCCTGCTCAAACACCGTTCCCTTGCCAATATTGAAGTTGCCCCTGAGATTCACACCGCTCTTCTCGCCCAGCGGGTAGGCGGAACTGAGGAGCATGAGAATGCGGCCGCTGAGGATGACGGACTGCGATTGGGAGCGGGGAAGTCGGCGGAGGAGGTCGTTGAGCAGGCGGAGAAGGATCGGACCGCGGCCTCGCTGGTACTCCATGCCCTGAGAGAAAGCAAGAGCGTGAGAAGAGACGCTCGGCAAGGGAAGACAATCTCTACGCACCTTCGTCAAGGGTCCGACTCGCGACTCGATATAAGCGACGATAGGCTCGCATGCCGAGATGGGCCTGACCTCCATGAGCGCGGCAAGGACGCTCAAGGGCAACGTCTCCTCAGTGTAGCCTGTTCGGCGCAACATCAGCACTTGCACGAGAGGACACTCCTGTGCAAGCGGACGCACCCTCTTCGTATGCCGCCAAGAGCAGGTCGAGCGCGTCTTGCAGGTGTGCAAGTTCGGCTTCGTCGGCAGGATAGACAGCCTGTCGTATGCATAATGTCAGCAGACAGCAAAGAGGGTGGAGTGGCAGGCGAGTACTCACCGTCTCGTGAACGAGCTCCTCCAGCGTCCGGTCGACCGTGACGAAGCAGACGTCCGCCTTTGACCGGTTGTCCTCCGTCAACTCGCTCCGCTTGAGCGCCCCACATCGCTCGAAAGACTCCTTGACGAGCTGCCGAATCTCATCGCCTGAAGCAGGCGATCCGGCGGTTCTCCGCTCCTGCAGCTGTCCTGCCAGTCCGCGCACTACCGTCTGGATTCCTTGACGATATGCCGTCAAGCCCGTCGCTGCCATCGTGTCCTGCGAGGCGATGTCGAGCCGGGTTGTAAATGTTGAGGAGGGAGGTGGAGCTGGATGGACAGCGGATGGAAGGGGAGCGCTGGTCGGAGGCTGGCAGAGCAGCTTAGAAGCCCTAGTAAACCAGCAAGCGGCCAGCGAGACGAGGTGGAGGGACTGAAACTCGTCGCTCGTTCGCGGACGAGGTTGGTCTCCTTCCGCTCGCTGCACACGGTAGATGGGCGCGTCAGAGGCGGTGGCAAAGTACAACGGGTAGTATGAAGCAGGTAGGCGGCCCTCGTACGTGCTCGCACGCCCGTCTCGCGATGGACTCGCTCGTTTCAGCGACGGCGACCTCCTTTCGCTCAACTCGGACAGGATGGTTCGCTTGGGCCGTGGAACGCTGCCAACGGATCTTCCACGCTGTGCATTCGGAGCTACACGCAGATCGAGCTTGCGGCTGGGCGAGCATCGATGCTCTCTCCCTCCTCCTCCTCCTCCCTCGCTCTCGCTCTGCACCCGCTGCTTGCGCCCGCAGACACGCTCGACTGGCTCACAGACGACTTCAGGAGAGCCCCGTCGCCGTCGCCTGCTCACACGAGCTGAGTGTAGGCGTCGCTTGGACCCTTCCCTCTCGCCCTTTCACGACCAACCTCGCACGCTCTCCCGCTTCGCCCGCCGAGTCCAGTAGCACATCAAGCGTGACATATCCGCCTCATTCAGCCGACCACTCGCGCGCGACCACCGCCGAGTCGCGACCCACTCGTTGACCTCGCGCGACTTTGACATCTCCCTCCTTCCCTCGACTTGCGCCACCGCACCACCACTCGGACCCGCTGTGCAGCACCACGCCGACATGGCTACCGGTCCCAACTACCAGCAGGTCCTGCCGCCCGGGCTGCGCTGGGCGGGCGTCGAGGAGGAGCTCGTCGTGCGCGACCCGAGGGGCGAGGGGGCAGTCCACGGCGTCTACCACCAGCCGCAGCCAATTCAGCAGTACGGTTCGAGCCTTCAACACCGTAAGTCGCCTCACGAGCGCGAGCGAGCCCCTCCGAGACGTGCGCATCGAGCTGACCGCACCGTCTCGCTCACCCAGCGTCTGTCCCGCCTACGCGCCGCTCTTCCACAGGCATGGTCTCGCTCAGTCCGAACTTCACGTCTCCCAACGCGACGAGTGTGTCGTTCAACGGTACCGCCAGCTTCGCACCACTGCCTTTCCCACCGAGCGAGCACCCGCTTCCTCCTCCTCCCGAAGACAACCCTGTCTGTCCCGTCTCGACTGCCGCCGACACCGCCTCGTCGCACGACAAAACCGGCCCTCCTCCTCCGTACAGCGAGCAGCCAAACCTGACCGAGCATCAGGCAGCGATCCCCGGCGTCGTCCTCTTCCAGCAGCCCATCGTACCGGCGCTTCCGCCTCCCTTGCCTGCCCCTTCGTTCCGCCTGGCTCGCCCGCCCTCGCATCCTCAACCGGTCTACGCACCGATCCTTACGCCTTGGCCACCCGTCCCGCTGCGCCATATCGATGCTTACCTCGCCGGCGCGCACCCTTACCCCCAGGTGTACCCCTCCGTCCCGGGCTACCCCCTCCTCGTGCCGGCCTCCATGCCTTCCCCTCCCGCTCCTCTCATGTACCCGATTGGGAGCGAGAACGTCGCGCATATCGAGCCCCGCGTCGAGCCGTCCCCTCCTCAAGCCCAAGTCGCACCCATGCCTGTCGCACCCATCCCTATCCCTGCACCTGCTCCTCTCCCGCTTGCGCCGCTCAGCGACATCACGACTGCAGTCGCGACGTACGGAAGCCCAACCGAGCCGACGCTCAGCGCCTGCATGCACCGAGGCTGCTACGCTCCCGTCTTCTGCGAGCTCTCGCCTTGCGGCTGCCGCCTCTGCCGCGACCACCTCGGCTGGGTGATCCGCAACGTTCGCACGCTCGACGTCGAGGCGAACAGGTTCCTCGCGCCGAACGAGGCCAAGGAGACCAAGGCCAAGACGAAGAAGGTCTTCCGCTGCGTCTCGTGCGGCGCCGAGTCCAGCAAGGCCGACCCGCCGAGTCGTCGCACGCCGTCATTGTCGACTCAGCACCCCGCTGGACCTTCGGGCGGAGTCGCGCAGGAAGACTTTCGCTCCTTCTCGATCAAATACTTCTCGAGCGGACCGACTCCGTACGCTCCTGCTGCCGAAGAGCCGGCCGAGCAGTCCGCTGCTACCAACGACGCCTATGCTGCGGAGGCCGGCGTGACGGGCGACTCGAACCCTGTTCATCAGTCTCCTGCGACGATCGTCAGCCCGTTCAGCTCGATGTCGTCGATGTTCGTCCCGTCGTCCCACGAGCTTGGCGTCGTGCAGCACACGCAGGCTTCGAGCATGATGCCGCCGACTACTGCGCCGTCTGTCGCGCCACCCACGGCCGCGTATTCCGGCCTTCCTGCGAAACCGCTCGTTGCCCGCCCGCCTTTGCCGCCCTTGCCGCATGACTTCCGCTTCCCTGCGACGGCTCCTCCTCTTCATCAGGAGCAGCAGCGCGCGCAGCTGGCGACGACCGCCCCGCAGCAACAGCAAGTTCCGCCTGCATCGACCTCGAGCATCGGGCTTCCCAGCGCGCTATCTGCCACCGAGCGTCCAAGCAGCGCGCTGCCGGCCCCTCAGCCGCGCACGCTCGAGCAGGCGAAGGTCGAGGAGACGCAGCATGGCGGTCGCAGGTCCGCAACCTCGCCGCCCGACCTCATCATCCCGAACCCGCTCGAGACGAAGATCACGGAGACGAAGCAGGTCGACACGCCTTCGTCGCTCAGCAGCGAGTTGACGCTCTCGTCGACGTCGCCGTCGCTTCCGACGAAGCAGCAAGCCGATCCGCCCGCCGCACCAGTCGGGCCGCCTGCCACGCCGCCGACGCAGCCGCTCTTCCGACACGAGCAGCTCCCGACACAAGGTCAAGCGTACGCGACAGGCCTTCCCGTCTTGACTCGCCCGTCGTTCCCGCCGGGCAGCATCTGCGTCGTGCCGCGCTCAACCTCCGGTCCCTTCCCGGCAACTCACCACGCTGCAACCGTCCCGAACGTGCCGGTGATCACCTGGACCGGCGGTCGTCAGAAGAGCCACAGCTTCCACGCCTCGAATGGCGTCTTGCGCCCGGCTGCCAAGTTCGACGGTCCCGTCGCTGCGCGCAACATTCCGCCACGCCAGCCGCCTGACACCTACCCGGAGGCCGACAGCGTCCAGCTCGAAAAGACTCGTTGGCCGCTGGTCAAGGCTGAGAACGTGAGTTTCCCTCCCCCTCCCGCTCAGAGTCTTCGCTGACCGTCGCAACATGCAGATCCCATTCCACACCAAGAAGAGCGAGATTGAGGCTTGGCTGCCAAAGGATGCTCTGCCGCCGAAGGACGAGGTCGAGATGCCCATCCATCTCATCCTGCACCGGTGCGTCACGCTGACCTTCCCAAGCTCGCATTCCGCTTACGGTACCGTCCACAGCGCAACCGGCCGCACGCTCCCGCACTGCTACATTGAGACTGCCTCGATCGACACGGCTCGCAGGTTCATCGAGTTGAAGGACAAGAGCATTCTTGGCGACCGCACCGTTCGCGTCAAGTGGGAGCGGCCGGGCGAGCTCCTTCGCGACGTGAGTCCAGCTGAGGTTCGCCTCGTCGTTGCTGAGCTGATCACTCGGCGCGCCGCAGCTCTTCGGCCAAGACGCCTACTTCAGGCAGCCGAGCGTCACGCCCGCCGCCGCGCCCCTCCCGCTCCTTCCGCCGCAAGGCTTCAACCTGCCGGCGCAGCTCATCTCGCACAACGACTTGTGGTACTTGGTGTCGTACTGCGAGAAGCCGGTGCGTTCCTCCTGCCGTTATCTCCGGAAGTCGTCGCCAACGACAGCTTCTCTGCAGATCGACTGGCGCGAGCGACCGGTTGAGCGTCCGTTCTACGCCATCGTCTCTGTCATCGCCAAGGTGGGCGAGGCTTCTTCGCAAAACCTGATGACCGTGAGCTGATACGGGCCTGCCTCGCAGTTCCCCTGGTCTCGCGAGGACGTCTGGAACGCAGAGCTTCGCGACAAGGTCTTCCACGCGACGCTGGGTACCTCGAGCGCGTGTCTCAAGCTTGCTTCATCCTAACTGATCCGTTTGGCTCGGCGACAGCCATCTTCAACAAGGCTCAGGAATGCTCGACCTGCGACGAAGGCATCGGTTTCAAAGCGATCTGCAAGTCCATCCTCCACGCAGCGGAGCACTGTCCCGGTGAGTTCGTCTTTCCATCCGCGCACATTCGCCGCTGACGTACTCGTCATCGCCCAGCCTTCACGGCAGAGCAGAAGGAGATGATCCGCAAGACGAACCGCACCTCGTTCGACCCGTCGCCAGCGAACTTCCCGACGCTCCCCTCGAGGCTGCCTCCTCCACGTCCGATGCCTCTGCCGCGAGCCGGGCTGACCACACCGCCTCAAGTCGCGCGATCGCTCCCATTCACGCCCGAGTCGCAGTCCGACTCGCCCACTCGTCCTGGCAACTCGCACGTCGTCCCCTCGCTCGACTGCGACGCCTACCCGCCCTCGCCGCCTGAGCAACGCTCGCCGGTTCAGCCTCGCAAGAGGCGCACGAGCTCGTCGGCCGGAGGAGAATCGCCCACCGAGGAGACGTCTGCTCTCGCTCGTCACTGGCGCGGCGGAATCGGCAGGGGTTCAGGAGCGTGGACGAGCTACACGTACAAGGCGCCTCTCAATGTGGCGAACGGCGCGAAGATGGTCGAGGCGCTTCACCAAGGCGGACAGCCTCGCTTCCCCCCGCCCTCCTCGCCGACTCAGCCTCGCGGCCCGCCTCAGCTTCCCGACACGCCGCCCGCCTCGCCGCAGACCGAACGTCGCAAGGTTAGCAGCACGGCGCAGCAGCAGGACGCGGTCCACTCGTCGTACGGCGGCGAGAACGTCGTCGGTTGGGCAAGCGGATGAAGGCGGACAGGCGGCTCGACTCCCTCGCAAAATGTACACTGCCTTCTGTACATAGTCTTCGTTGTACGACAGACCCTAAGCCGCTCTCTTTTTCGGTTGTAATCGACGTTGTTTTCTGTTCAGCGCGAGGTCGACGCGTCCTTTCGCGAAGTCAACTTTCATCAGTTCGCTCGTCCTCCTCGAGGCATTGCTGTGCTTGTTGCTACTCGAGTCTAACTCTTGCTAGCCTCGTACTGTTCTGCACCCGTCCCGCCCACCGCAGCAACCGCCTCTCTCGCCCGCCTTGACCCCCTCCTCATGCTCGCTGTCTGACCTCGCCCACACCGCCGCGCGCGCACGAGGAGACCATGTCGGACGACGACTTCGACATCGAGATCATTGACGATGCGGCCCTCGGCGAGATCGACGCCATCGAGTCGGCGTACGCGACCGGGTCTGCCCTCCCTCCTCGCTCGCTCGTCAACAAGCCCGGCCTCATGCAGCGCGATCTCTTCGGCGGCGTCGTAGCCCCTCCTGCGCAGAAGCCGCCACCCAAGGCAGGGCCGTCACGGACCACAACGAGCGGTTCAGCCGGGTCGGCAGGAGGAGCAGCAGGCGAGACGAGGGCAAAGGTGCGGTTGAGCAAGACGTGGGATCCCGCAAGCTTCGCCAGGCACGGCTGGAGCAAGAAGAATGCGGCGGTGGCCAAGGCCAGGGCGAAGGGGAAGAGCGGCAAGGGGAAGCAGCGGGCGTACGCTTCGGACGAGGACCCTTGGGACGAGGAGGATGTGTTTGACGATGACGACGAGGACTCGGGTGGCGAAGAGTTCTTCGTCGACACGACGTACGACCCCAGCGCCCCGATACTCCCGATCAAGTGGCCGCCTGACGAGCAAGCCGCCAAGACGTTCATCTACCCCGTCCAGGCCGACAAGCCCCTCCGAGTCTACCAGTACAACATCGTCCAGCGCTGCCTGTACGAGAACACGCTCGTCAGTCTGCCGACCGGTCTCGGCAAGACCTTTATCGCCGCTGTCGTCATGTGCGCACAGTCCCTTCCCGCTTCTTGCGACTCTAGCTGACCTCCCGCCTCGCAGGCTCAACTTCTACCGCTGGTACCCTCGCGGCAAAGTGCTCTTCCTCGCGCCGACTCGCCCACTCGTCACGCAGCAGATCAAGGCGTGCCACTATATCGCCGGGATTCCCCAGTCCGACTGTGTCGAGCTCACAGGAGGGACGCTGCCGAAGCTGCGAACCGTCGGCTGGGCGACGAAGCGCGTCATCTACTCGACGCCTCAGACCGTCGAGCGCGATTTGGCGAAAGGACGACTCGACCCGCGCGACGTGACCTGCATCGTCGTCGACGAAGCGCACAGGGCGAGCGGAGACTACGCTTACTGCGGCGTCATCCGCTACATGATGTGCCGCAACCCGCACTTTCGCGTTCTCGCGCTCACGGCGACGCCCGGCTCGAGGGGAGATGCGGTCCAGGAGGTCATCGACAACCTGCATATCGGACGCATCGAAGTTCGCGCCGACGACTCGCTCGACATCCGCCAGTACATCCACAAGAAGTCGTTCGACCTCGTCGTCCTGCCGCTCGGCCCGCAGCTCAGCGCCCTGCGCGACAAGTGGGCGGAGCTGATGAAGCAGTACATCAACCCGCTCTACGCCGCCCGCCTCCTGTGGTCCAACGATCCCGTCATGCTCGCCCCCTTCGCCGTCCAGCAAGCGTACGTCAAGATCAACGGCCTTCCCGGCGGCAAGCGAGCGAACGGCAAGTTCTTCCCGATGATCAAGACGCTCGCCATGATGGCTCGCGCGATGGAGTACCTCGTCATCCAGTCCGTCACGTCGTTCGAGTCGAATCTCAAGGACATCGAGGCCGCCGGCTCGAAGAACCTCATCAACTCGGCGGGCTTCCGCGAAGTCGTCCGCGAAACCGCTGGCTTGCGCAACCGCGTAGGCTATGTCGGCCACCCGAAGATGGAGAAGCTGCGGTCGATGTGCCTCGACCACTTCAAGTCGGCGCAGAACGAGCGCGACGAGTTCACGGGCGAGAAGCGCGAGACGAGGGTCATGATCTTCTGCAACTTTCGCGCCGTCGTCGAGGAGATCGTCGCTTGCCTCAACACTCAACGGCCGCTCATCAAAGCGACGCCCTTTGTCGGCCAGGCCTCGGCAAAGGGAGTCAAGGGCAAGTCACAGAAGGAGCAGCTCGAGGTGCGTTCATCTGAACTAATTCTTGCGTGCCGTGCTCACGGCTTCGACTTTGCAGACGATCAAGAAGTTCAAGGCGGGCGTCTACAACGTGCTCGTCGCCACGTCCATCGGCGAGGAAGGACTCGACATTGGCGAGATCGACCTCATCATTTGCTACGAGGCGAATAAGTCGCCCATCCGCATGCTCCAGCGCGTCGGTCGAACAGGTCGTGCGCGCGACGGTCACATCATTGTCCTCATGGCAGAAGGTCGCGAGGAGAAGAACTGGGACAAGGCGAACGACGCGTACGCCGAGGTCCAGAACGCCCTCACCTCGAACAAGATCTTCGACCTGTACGTCGACGGCGAGCGCATGCTGCCCGACCACATCAAGCCGGCGTGCGAGCAGGTCCAGATCAAGGCTCAGCCGCTCGATATCGAGAAGATGACCATGAAGGGACAGACCCGCCTCGAGCGCAAGGCGTTGACGGAGAGCAAGAAGGAGAAGCGCAAGGTGGACATCCACGCCAACGCTCCGGACGACGCTTTCCTCGGTTTCCGCACCGCCGGGCAGATGGCCGCTGCCAAGAAGGAGAAGCCGCTCCCGCCGTCGCAGGTCCTGCGCAATCGCAAGGCGGCTGCGTTGCTCACGCTCGAGGAGGAATCGTACTTGCGGTCGCGATGGCAGCACGACTCGAGCGGCAAGTCGGTCAGCCCACGAATCTTCGACCTGGAGGATCTTCCATTCGAGCGCGGCCTGTCAGGCGGAGCGCACCGGATCCCCCGCCACGGCGAGCGGCATCTCGATCTCCTCACCGCCATGCGCGCAGCGGAGCAGCTCGCCGACTCGAAGACGACGGCTCTCGACGCCTGGCACGACAAGCACTCGAAGGCGTTCAACCCAAAGCTTGTACAGGTCTTCCGCGCTGAGGATCGGCAAGGTCTTCCGCCTCGACACAAGCGACTCAGGCGCCCTCCGCCAGTCGTCGAAGACGAGCCTCCGGCGAGCTTCCCCGTCATGACTGGTTTTCCGGCAGCGCCGTCATCCTCGATGTTCGGCACGGCGGATCAGCAGAGCGGACGGCCACTCTTCCGGCAGCCTTCTGCTCAGGAAATCGACCCCCTCGCAGCCGAACTGTTCTCGTCGCCTCATCGGCGGAACAAGCGCGTCTCCGTCTCGCCCGTTCCTACCCCCTCTCCTCCAGCCAAGCGCGACTCTCGCTCGACGCCTCCTCATGTCTCGTCTCCAGTCCGACACGCCAAGCCGCCGTCGCGGCCAGCTAGTCGCGCCTCCCAACACACCAAGACTCTCGACCTCTCCAACCTCGACTCGGATGACGAGCCGCTCGTTCCCCAGCCCAAGAAGGGTGCTCCTCCGCCCCAAGAGCCTGCCGCGCCGGCCAACACGAGCTTTTCGATCGACCTCGACGATGACGGCGACTTGGTCATGTCGGACAGCGAGCTTCTTGCCGGCGCTGTCATTCGCGGTCCCTCCAAGTCGACCTCGCCCCCCAAGCCCGCCCTTGCGAAGCCGAATGGCATTGTGCTGGCAGGTCCGAGCAAGGCGACTGGCTCCGCCATCATCATCGAAGATTCGGATGACGAACCGCTCGTCGCCGCGCCCGCGAGACCAGCAAGGACAGTCTCCGCGCCCATCCTTCCCGCCCCGCAACCCGTCCGTCCCGCCGCCGCAGCCTCTTCCGCCTTCCGTCCTTTCGTCCCTCCCCGTCCTTCACTCTCCCAACCAGCGGCGACGACCGCCAAGCCCGCTTCACCGCCGGCCGCTGCCCCTGCTCCTGGCGCCGCGCCGTCTTCGTCCACCTCTTTCGATGCAGGCGATGACTTCTCGATTCTCGAAATTGCGGAAGACGAGCTCGATGCGTGCATCGCTCAAGCGCAGGCTAAAGCGCAGCAGCCTCAGCCGATTCGCGCCGATGTCGACCGCGACCGCCAGGAAATGCCTCCTCCGCCTGTCGCTCGCCATGTCGTAGCCGGCCCGAGTACCGCAAAGGCCGCCTTCCGACCTGCCGGCTCATCGCCTGCGGTCCCTGCTGGCGGCGCTCGAGCAGTACCGATGCGCCGACTTGCCGTGCCCGACTCGTCTTCATCGCCTGTCCTTGCGAAGAAGCGGCTCGGGCCGCCAAGGCGGGACGTCGAGGTTGTGGTGGAGATCACCCAGCGGGAGCGGCCGAGGGAGAAGAAGGGCAAGGCGAAGCTGAAGCGTGGGAAGGAGGCGCGCGAGGATGCAGCGCAAGGTGAGGACGAGGACGAGCACGTTCGAGCGAAGAAGCGGCGAAAGGGCGTTGTCGAGGATGACGAAGAGGAGGAGAATGGCGAGGATGCGCGGCGGAAGAAGAAATCGAAGCGCAAGGACAAAGGGAAGCGCAAGGCGCGCGAGGAGGAGCAGGAGTCCGAAGAGGAGGAAGGCGACGACGCTGAGCGACGACGCAAGAAGGCCAAGAAGAAGGAGATCCTCACGCACAAGCAGGCATCTCGCTTCGGCATCTTCGACATCGAAGCCGTGAACTCGTCTGCCTCGGGCACAGAAGCTTCGTCTGAGGGCTACTCGTCTGAGAACTCGATCGACCGCGAGTTCGTCGCCGCGACCTCGTCCGACGTCCATTCAGACGACGACGCGCAGCAGCAGTTCTACCGCGATAGTCTTGCGACGCAGGCTCCGCCTGGCTTCGGCACACCCGTCTTGTTCGGCAATCGCGCCGCGAGGTGGCAGGAGAGGATGGGCAGAGGGTTGAAGCCGATACCAGTCACGCCCGGCTCGCAGGAGGAGTTTGAGCGCGAGGACTGGAGGTGCGTTTGCGGCACCTTTCCCGTGATCAATTCACGCTCTCGTTGTCGAAGCAAAAACTGATTCATGGTCCGCACTACCGCACAGCTACGATTCCTTCGTTGTGCACGACGACGAGGAAATCGAGTACGAGACGAGCAGTCCCGGCGCGCCAACGAGATGACCCACAACCGCATTCCGCAACCTTCGCATGGCTTGTTTGAGACCTTTCTATCGTTCCCGCGTTGTTGTACAACCAACCTGCATCCTGCAAAGACAGCTCGATTTACTCGCTCCCTGTTTTGGGTCTGTCCAGCGCAGTAACGGGCTGGCAAGAGGAGCACAATGAGATCGTTACAACAAAGCAAGAAGTACTGCTGCTCAACAAGACGAACGGACGACAGATGGACGAAGGAGAAGGTGAGGGGATCAATGCTGCCGGCTGCGTTTCCGCCGGAAGCTCGCCCCGTCTTCGTCGCTTTCTGGCTCGACACTTGCGCTGGCTGTGTGTTCTGCCGAGCGGAGCTCGATCGACTGCGAAAGACGAGATCGAGTCGGGGGTCAGTCGGGAGAAGCGCTTCGAGGAAGACGAGGAGGTGGGCTGACCCGCTGATACGTCGCGCTGCTCGCGCTAAACATCCTCTCTTTCTCTGCCGCATTGTCACCAGGCCTCCCGCCCCTCTTGCGGTCTCCAGACGAGCTGCTCGGCGCCTTGAGGTACGAGTCGTAGCCGCGGATGATGTTGCCGAATTGTGCGGCGGCGGCGGACGAGGACTGGGAGGTGGAGGAGGATGGAAAGAGCGAGTCGGAGAGGTAGGAGCCTTCGAAGGCGTAGATGGACGCTTCGAGGGTAGCCTAAGGAGGAGGAAGGGGCGAGTTGGGAGGGTCAGCACCGCCTTGTCGGAGGTAGCGCATGTCGAACCGATTGTATGAAGCTAATTTGTCACACCCGAGGCACCAGTGCGCCCACCAGTGCCCTCTTGGGCCCGCAGGCCGCGCTCATCTGTTCGCGGAGGAGGGGAGGAACAGCCTCGACTCACCAAGTCGCGGTCGATCTTGCGCTTCTTCTCGAGCATCCCACGCAAGTCCTTCCTGCTCTGCTCGAGCTTTATGCGCAGATCCGTCGGTGAGAGGCCATCCAGCGGGTGCGGCTGTTTGGGAGGGTCGTTGGCGGTGGGAGGAGCAGCGGCGCTTGTCGGATCTGGCTGGGGTGCTGCTGAAGTCGATGCTGTAGCTGTGCTCGTGCTCATCGTGGCCCTCCCCGAGCAGCAGTGAGTGGTGGAGACCCAACTCTCCTCCTCGCTCTCCTTGATCAACAACTGCACGCATACTTGCTCTCTCCCGCCGTCGTGACCGTGGGCCATGTCTCGTAAGCGCTCTACGGCATCGCCAATGCCGCCAGCGACCAGCACCGGCCTCGAGCTGGCTCTCGCCGCGCCTCTCGCATCCTCATCTCACCAACTCACGGTCCCGGCCTCGGCGCTCCCGACAAAGCCCAACAAGGCGACCCAGCGGGCTGTCCCTGCGTTCTTGAACAAGCTGTACAGGTGAGCAAGAGCGCAACTCGTCCCGAGGATGTGTTGTCCTTGGCTGGCGGGGTCGAAGCTCGGAGGTGGGATGCGAAGGCAGCTTGTACGCGTCTGGCTGGCCTGTTGTTTCGATGGAAGCTCGGAAGGAGCTTCTTGAGCGAGGTCCGAACGCTTCCCGCAATCCAGGAAGCGATTCCACCTCGAACAACACCTTCTGACGTTATGCCTTCCCGAAACTCGAACAGCATGGTATCGGACCCAGAGACGGACGACCTGATCCGATGGAGCGAGGACGGCGACTCGTTCTTTGGTGCGTCGCAAATTGACCGAATCGAGCCGACGCGAGCTAACCTCGTCGACTTCCGCCAGTCCCCTCTGCCGACCGGTTCGGACGCGAGTTGCTGCCCCGCTTCTTCAAGCATTCGAACTTCGGGTCCTTTGTGCGGCAGCTGAACATGTACGGGTTCCACAAGGTGCGCAAGCGGAAGCGCCTTCGATTGAGGAGCATATGGAGATTGACTTTCAGCACCTCTCCGCGGCACGACATCGTCACAGGTCCCGCACATCCAACAAGGTGTGCTGAAGAAGGACAGCAACGAGGAGGCGGACATGCGTGCGTTCTCAGCTTGTCCTCGCTTTGCATTCCCGCTCACAAGCTCTCGTTCGCAGTCGAATTCTCCAATCCACATTTTATCCGCGGCCAACCCGACTTGCTCAACATGATCAAGCGCCAGAAAGCCGGCAAGGCGGACGCAGCCGCCGCCCTCGCAGGTGAAGGCTCAAACTCGGCGCTCGACATCCCCACACTCCTGACCGACCTCGCTGCAATCCGGAAACACCAAACCGCCATCAGCGCCGACTTGAAGGACTTGCAGGCGCGCAATCATGCGTTGTGGCAGGAGGCGCTTACGAGTCGCGAGAAGCACAAGAAGCAGGAGGAGACGATCAACAAGATCTTGCGATTCCTGGCGGGCGTCTTTGGCGGTCAAGTGTTGGATGCGGGACAGGGAACGGCGGTGGGTGCGGTTGGGAACGGAGGCACAAGCGGAGGGACGGTCGGAGCGAGCGCCTCGCCTGGGCGAAGTACGGATGTCAACGCGAACGGGGTCGTCCTGATGCCGAAGAGCAGGCTGCTGTTGATGGACGTCAAGGAGCGACAACAAGAGCGCGCGGCGGCGCTCAAGGAGTTGGACGGAGACGAGGACGACGAGATTGAGGAGATTCCGCTGCTCAAGACGACGGAGGACGACGACGACTTGCCGACCATCTCCAGCTGTGCGTGCAAGCTTTCGCAACCTTATTGCGGATCTAAACTGACCTCGTAGCGCTCGCAGCGCTCATAGCTTCAGCCCCAACAGCGAACATGGGAACCCTCTCTCGCGCCTCTTCTTCCGCCACGCCCTTTTCGCATAAGAACCGCTTCGCCGCCATCCCTTCTCCCTCTCCCGCTCCTTCAGCGACGCCAGGCGCCAGCTCGTCCCTCATCGATCCAGCACAATATAACCTCTCCCCCGAAGCGCTCAATGCGTTGCTCGCAGCTGCCGGCAACAACCCCGACGCGCTGTCGAGCTTCCTCACCTCGGATCGGAGTCCTGCGGCTTCGGCGGCTTCGACTTCGCTCGCCCTCGCTGCGCCAACTTCGAACCCGTTCGCCATGCTCAGCTCGGCAACACCCACTCCTTCCTCTTCCCCCTCTTCCTCCCTTCTCCCCTTCGCGCCGACAGCCACCTCCAACCCTCTCGACCTTCCTCTCGCATCTACCTCTACCGCACCCACCCTCTCGCCCTCGTTCGCCTCCGCCTTTGCCGAAAACAACGACGCGCTCACGTCCGTCCTGAGCGAGAAGGCCAACATTGACCAGCGCACAGCGGCGCTCGAGTCGCAGATCTCGAAGCTGTTGCAGCACTTGCCCGAGGACGCGAGGGAGCAGGTCGAGTCGGACTTGCCATTGCCGGAGGGGTCGGACCCGAATGACTGGGCGGGCGTCAACTGGTCGAGCTATGTGGGAGAGGGCGGAGCGGTCGACTTTGACAAGATGCTGGCGCAGTTAAGCGAGATGTGTGCGTCCTGATCCGCTTCGTGTCCAGCGAGTTCCCCCAAGCTGACAGCTCTCGCTTTCCGCGAATAGCTGGCGGTGCCTCGCCTTCCGCCTCAACCTCTGCACTTCCCGCCATCGACTACGCAGACTACCTCAATCCCGACGCAGCTGTCACATCCGGCGCAATCGACCCCGCGCTCTACGCCGAAACGTTCCCCTCCACCTCGACTTCGACTGCGACATCCACCCTCTCTGCCCTTCCCTTCCAGCTGCCCTTCTCTATCACATCGCCTGCCGGAACCGGATCAGACCAGATGGGCTCGCCCGCGTCGACCGTCACGCCCGAGAGCGCGAGTGCGGCCAGTACGCCTGCAGCGGATGGAGCAGCAGCAGGTCGCGGTGGCGCCTCTTCTCGCGGCAAGAAGCGGAAGAGCGATGCGCTCGGGGCGCAGTCGCCTGCCGCCAGCGAAGGAGGGGCGGCGAGTCCTGAAGAAGCTGCAGCGGGAACGAGGAAGAGCGTAAGGCGGAGGAAAGCTTGAGCGGTCTTGCGGGTCGTTTGGCGAGGCTTGTCAAGGATGTGCTGCGGCGGGATGTGGAAGATTCGCTTTGCATGGGCTAGTTTAACTGTTGCTATCCACCTGTTTTCTTCTGCTCCGCTCTCGCTCTGTTGTGGCTGTCTCGCCAGGTCGCCGGGTGACTGCCGATGCGGAGAACAGTCGGAGACCAGCAAGCACGCCCTCAGGAAGAGCGGAGACCGGTCCAGGTCAAAGGCTACTCAAGCTCGCCGAGGGTAATGAGCGAGAAGAGAGGGGGCGAGCTCCAGTTTCTCGACGCCGAGCGGGTCTCGCATTGAGGAGATAAGTTACTAGCGCAGATAGAGTCGCTGTTAGCATAGTTACGAGCAAACCTGAGTGAGGCGAAGTGAGAATAGAGGAGCGAGGCCGCAGCGACAACCGCTCGTACTGTACGCATTCGTTCCAGGGGGCCGGGTCAAAGCCGGCTTCAGCAAGTCGTCCAACCAGGCATGCTGTAAGATGTGCAAGCGCTCTCGTACGCATGCAGAGGAGGAGGACGGTCGCCAGCAAGCCTCCTCCTTGGCCTTCTCAAGCCGCGAAGAACGGGCTCTCTCGCCACGCTCAGTGCTCACGAGGAGTCCGCAGGCGCATTAGGTACTACCATGAAGTGGCCTAGTACGCGGGCGGCGTGTGATAGGAGCAGTACACTTGCGAGCGGAGAGCCGGAGCAATCGTAAGTAGCCAGGGGTTGAGACAATGCAGTGCTCGCTCCCGCTAACTTATTTGTTCATACGCCGAAGTGGCAACGCCACCGTGTGCGAACGAGAAGGGCGGAGCAAGTAGTGCGAGCGAAGGAGTGGACCGAAAGTTCTTCGCACCGTACCTCCTTCCCAGAGCGGCGGCGAAGTTGTCGACGGCGTTGCCAGCCGGACGTCGGAACAGGTTCGCCACCGTACGCTGCGTGGAACCCCGGGAGATGTTGATCTCCCTCGTGGCGATCCGGCTCGAGATGGCTCGACCTTGCCTCGAGCAGAATCGCCCAAGCCGGACGCGGCGGGACCGTCGTCTTTCCCCTTTGCGCCGCTTCGCCGCTCCGCTTCTCACATACAAGCACCCTCGACTTTCTCGCGCGGACTTCACCGGGCCCTGGTGAAGCCTGGTGGAGTTCCGCCGCTCGCCTCCCCTTCCCTTCGTTCTGCGTTCTTCCTCCCGCTCTTCCATCCTTTGCTTCTCTCTTCCGCTCGGCTTGCGCGGTGCTTCGTTGCATCGTCTCCTTTCGCCGACCCACGGTTCACAGTCGCCGATAAGATGGGCTTCGCTCCGTCACCGGCTTCTCTCGCCTCCCTCAGCCCGCTTCTTCACTCCCAGTACATTCTTCTTGAGGAGATTGGCGTCGGCGGGACTGGGTTCTGCCTCAAGGTGCAGCGAAGAACGGACGGCGCGGTGTTTGCGGCGAAGTTGATCGCGAAGACCCGTCTCTCCAAGTCGTCCCTCATCCGCACATCGAGCTGGGGCGCGGTACCGCCAGGTTTCCAGCCGGATGTCGATGGTCTACTCGTCGTGCCGCTCGAGGCGTACGTCTTGCGCAAGGTCGACCACCCTGGCGTTTGCGGTTTCGTCGACCTCTTCGCCGACTCGCAGTTCTTCTACCTTGTGAGGCTCCTCTTTCTGATGCGCGCTCCCCTCTTCACTAGCACTGACCGCTCCTCGCAACGCAGATCATGGAACACCACGGCACCTCATGGCGGTCGGACGACGCTTCTTCGTCTCTCCCTCCTTCTCCACCCATCACTCCTCCTTCCCGTCACCTCCCACTCGACTCTTCCGACATTCCTCAGCTCGCTCTCGCGCCGCCTGCTCGACCAGCACCTCCACCCATGCTTCGCCGCTCGTCCTCCGACCTCTTCGACTGCACCGAGCGGCATCGCCGTTTTGGCGAAGTTCTCGCCCGCTTCATTTTCTGCCAGATCGTCGCAACTGTATGTGACTTGGCTCGCATTGGGATCATGCACCGCGACATCAAGGACGAGAACGTGACGGTCGAGGAGGGGAGCTGGAAGGTGCGTTCACGGGCCTCCTCTGGTCCTCGGGCGCAGCAGCTCACTCTTCCACGATGTGCGCAGGTCAAGCTTGTCGACTTTGGCTCAGCGGTCCTGTTCAACCCTGCCGGGCCCGTGCCTATACAGAATGAGAGTGCGTCGTCTTTCGCAGATCCCTCTTCCTGCTCTCAAGCTGACAGGAACTTGTCCCTCAGAACGCTTCCACGGCACCTGCACCTACGCTGCGCCCGAAGTCTTCGCCGGTCGAGCCTACGCCATGCCACCCGCCGAGGTCTGGTCACTCGGAGTTCTCCTTCACGTTCTCCTCACCGGCGAACTCCCCTTCAACTCGCCGGCCGACGCGATGGCAGGTCGTCGGCGACACACAAAGGCGGTTCTCTCAGCGCCGGCTGTCGACGTGTTGGACCGGTGTATGGCGGTGAGGGCGGAGGAGCGGATCTCGCTGGACGAGCTTCTTGCGCATCCCTGGGTTTGCGGGCAGTACCTTCAGTGAAGCATGTCGTTGATGGAAGTATGGGCATTAGCATGTTGTTATCGTTATCGCATAAGTACACGACGTTGTCCCTCGTCGACTGAGTCGCCGTCTGAGAAGGTTGGAGGAGGTGATTCAGAGCGACCAGCACACAACGCTGCAGGGAGACAGCAACTTCCTCCTGCTTGCTGCAAATGAAGAACGTTCTGCCCAGCTTCGCCCAGGTCGGACGCAACACCTCGTCGAATCGAGGAGGCGGACAAAATGATGTTGGGCTAATAGGTATATAGATTGCAAAAGACAGCCAGCTCACAACAGCGGGCGAGATAGTATAGTGGTTAGTACAGCTGGTTCTGACGCAGTCGTTTCCAGCTAACCTGGGTTCGATCCCCAGTCACGCCTTACCTTTTGCCCTCGTCGCCTACCTGCAATGGAAGCGGACAAGTGCTTTCTCTTTTGCCGCTCGCAGCTGCCAAGCCGTGACGAAGAAGCTGCCTTACAGCGACCGTGCTCGACAGACCTCTCAAGCCGCGCGCAAGACGAGCGCGTTGTGAGCAGATGAGCGAATCCAAAATGCGATGCGGACAGTAACCAAGAGACCGGTGAGCACGAGAGGCAGTACAACAACACAACAAATCTTGCGACAGACCCGCAGTTCTCCCTCGCACCGTCACTCATGTCTTCGTCGCTTCACCCACTGTGACCCGCTCCTGTCAAATCCGCCTCCGCCTTCAACTCGCACTTCAGCACTTCTTCCGCTCCGCACTTATCCTACGCTAGGACTCGCCCAGCACGATGCGCTCAAAGAGCTCCTCCAGCTCGCGCTGTTCTTGCTCGTCAACGGGCGGCAGAGGCGGTAGCGATGGGAGGTTGTAGTGTGCGGGAGTGGGCGAGTCTTCGGGCAGTGCGAGGAGAGAAGAGCGAGAAGGGGAGGTGGATGGAGAGTTGGGAGAGTCGGGAGGAGGGAGAGGTTGGCTGAGTTGCGAGGGCTGCGAGACGGGACGTCAGCCTGGTACGCTGATTGTGCGTGAAAGCGATATACCTTTGTGAGCGAGCTGAATGTGTCCGCTTTGCTGAGAGACGTCGCCTTTCGTCGCGCTCGACCAGGTGTCGGCGGTGCGGACTAAGGTACAAACAACGGGAGAGTGGTCAGCGTGAAGTTCCGGCAGACAGACGCTAGTGATTGCACGCACCTTCGCGCTGGCCTGCAGCTTCTCAATGAACGTCTGCGTGACAGCACCGCTCCGAGCAGGCGTCGAAGGCTGCACGAAACCCCCTTCATCAGCCCGACCTTCGCAAAGCACACCTCTGCCGCGACGCACCGGCTGCTCCTTCAAAGCCTTTTGCAATCTCTCCCACTCATCTACCTTCACTGCGTTCAGCCAGCCGGGCAGCAGAACGAACAAGTGGTGTTCGACGAATGCCTGGACAGTTCGGAGGGCGAGCGATTGTTCTTCGTACGAGGAAGAGAGGGGATCGCGGGAGATGAAGAAGGTGAGCTTGTGCGAGGGGATGAGGGAGGGGACGGCGGAGAGGAGGCGGGTTAAGGTGAGGTGGTCTGCGAGATGGAGGTTAGCGAGGAGCTTCGGTGTCAAGAAGGGATGCGTACAAAAGCCGGCTTGCACCTTGAAGTTGGTGTAGATCTAGCGGAGAAGCGCCGTCAGAGCGCTACTTCCTTCAGAGAGATTGGCCGTCACGCACAAACCCTCGACTCTTGCCCGAGTACTTGACCTCGACGACCTCCCACAAGACGAGACGTTCTCCCTCCTCTCCCTTGCGCTTGACCTCCTCAAAGCGTATCAGGTCCGGCCTAAAGACGCCGAAGCGGATCCCAGGCGCCGCCCATTTCCGCTGGACGTACTCCTCCGTCCACTCGACGCTATCGAGCAGTCCAGGCGAGACGTAGACGGGCTTGCCGGTCTTGCGCGTCTGTTGCATAGCTTTGCGGGCAACAGCGGGCAGGGATGCGAAGTCTTTGTGGCGGAGGAGCTGGCCGCGCTGTTTGAGCGAGCGCTTGATCGTCTGTTCGGCGAGGACACCGCGAGAGATGGCGTCGAGAGGGACGAAGCGCTGTCGCGCTTCGTCTGACAAAGGATCTGGCGACTCGGCGTCTGCATTGGGCGAATCGTGCGTCGTTGCGGTGAGGATCGACGGAAGGGTCGAAGTCGACGCGGCGGCGCTACTCCTCCTCGTCCCGTCCGAGTACGTCTCCTCCTCTCCGTCAAGCAAGAGTTCCAACGGCTTGAAGCGCGAAAGCATCCCCATGAGCCACTCCTCGCGGAACAAGTCGACCCTGTCCTGCCTCGACGACTCCTTGCCCGTCCTGCCGTCCTCCTCCCACGACGAGTTGAGGTCGGCGAGCAGGGTCGCGAAAGCAGATATCGTGACTGCTGTCGAGCACTGCATCGAGTGCCTCGAGCGGATGTCGACGAGCGATGCCGGGCGAGGAGCAGAGGGAGGGAGAGAAGGGCCCGCTGTCCCGCTCCTCGCGGGTGTGTGCATGATCGAAGCGCGTCGCTAGCTCTGTCTGCCTTGTGTGAGCATGCCTGGCACCGTCTCGGACCCGCTGGAGGATGTCGCGGGTGCAGCCAGACGCGAAGAGGCCAGTCGACGTCGGTTGTTGCTGGACACACCCTCCGCCATCTCGCTACGAGCTCGTTCTTGCACCCAGAGTGCTCTGCTGTGACTGTCTTGATCGCTGGCCACCACGAGCCACCCACCCGTTGCACGCGCTCGCCGCCACGGCTTCATCAGCACAGTCCCCGAGATCCTCGCCAAGGCATCGGCTCGCGTCCATCAAACAGGTGCGCCGCAGAGACCCTCGGTAACCGAAGCGACACACACTGACACACTGGTCCCGCAGATGACCAAGCGAAAGAGCGCCGGCGCGAGTCCTGCGACGTCTCCGCTGTCCAAAGGCCTCCCGACCGTTGGCAGCATGGTGCGTGCCACACAGCGCCTCGCGGGACTGTGTGTGCGGGCTGACAGGGTGTTCGCATCGTACAGGACGCGGCTACCTACCTCTCGCAGCTCCAGTCGCGCGATTCGGCGGCGTCGCCCTCGCGCACCTCGAGCCTCATCTCGTACGGCACAGGCTCGACCATGCATGGCAGGGACCGCTCTGGCTCGGACGCCGGGCGCTCAGACTCGTCGGGTGACTCGGAGCAGAGCACGCGATCGTCGACCTGGCGCGGCGTCGGCAGCCTCATGCCCACCCCTTCACACATCTCGGCCACTCGGCCGCCGACGACTTCGTTCGACGTCGACTTCATCCCCAATCCTCAGGACCCCTACTCGCTCCGCCACTCTGAGTACGGCTACGACCTCGACCCGGCACACCGCACCATCTCGCAACATACCCCCGGCGTCAGCCTCAAGGCGAGCGAGGAGGAGCCGTCCGTCTGGGTCTACCTGCAGACCTACCTCAGCTGTGAGTGCGGCCCGAGAACCTGGTACTAGCGCTCTTACTGACATCAGGCTCCCGCAGATGCCATCCTGATCGTCATCGGCCACATCCGCGACTACGTCGGCAAGCGACTCTTCCCCGCCTCGTACTCGCACCTCCGACCAAGCCACGGCTACGCCCCTCTCTTCTCCGATTTTGATTCGTTCTACACCCGTCGCCTCAAGCTCCGCCTCGAAGACTGCTTCGCCCGACCCGTCACTGGCGTCGCAGCCCGTACGGCCACCCTGATCGACCGCACCCCGACCGACTTCTTCGCCGACTTTGTCTTCACGGGCGAGACGACGCAAGCGCTCAACGTCTCGTCGTACAACTACCTCGGTTTCGCCCAGTCGCGCGGACCTTGCGCCGACGAGGCCGAGACGATCGTCCGCGACATGGGCGTCTCGCTCACCGGCTCGCGCAACGACGTCGGCACGTCGACGCTGCACGTCCAAGCCGAGCGTCTCGTCGCCCGCTTCCTCGAAGTCGAAGACTCGATGATCGTGTCGATGGGTTTCGCAACCAACTCGACGACCCTGCCCGCGCTCATGTGCAAAGGGTGCCTCATCATCTCGGACGAGCTCAACCACTCTTCGATCCGCTTTGGTGCGCGTTTGTCTGGCGCTATGGTCAGGCAGTACAAGCACAACGACATGGAGGACCTCGAGAACCTTTTGCGCGAGTGCATCAGTCAGGGCCAGCCGCGCACCCACCGCCCGTGGAAGAAGATTCTCCTCATCGTCGAAGGCCTGTACTCGATGGAGGGAACGCTCGTCGACCTGCCGCGCATCCTCGAGCTCAAGGACGTCTACAAGGTGCGTCTCAATCGCTCTTCCCTTAACTCGCTCGTCCTGACTCGGCTTGCCCCGTGCAGTTCTACCTCTACGTCGACGAGGCGCACTCGATTGGGGCTCTCGGACCTCGCGGACGCGGCGTTTGCGACTACTTTGGCATCGACCCGCGACGGGTCGACATCCTCATGGGCACCTTTACCAAGTGTCCGTCCCGCTTCCCCCGTTCTCTCTCCTCCTTTCATTGACAGATTCGGCTGCTACAGCCTTTGGCGCGGCCGGCGGCTACATTGCCGGGTCTCACGAGCTCATCTCCGCCCTCCGCCTGACCTCTCACGCCCAAAACTATGCCGAATCGATGTCGCCCCCGGTCCTCGCGCAAATCGTCACCTCGATGGGCTCGATCATGGGACCCGAAGCGGTCAAGCTCGTTCCGGCGCTGCAAAAGTTGCCCCTCGAAGTCATGGACGGCCGAGATGGACAAGATCGGTTGCGCCGCCTCGCGTTCAACTGTCGGTACCTTAGCAATGGACTCCGCAAGTTGGGGTTCATCGTCTATGGTCATCAAGACAGCCCGATCGTGCCCCTCCTCATCTTTGCGCCTGCGTGAGTCTCGCCTTCCTTCTCGACGAAGAACGGACGCTGACAAGGTCGTTCACGCAGCAAAATGGGTCTCTTCAGTCGCATGATGCTCGAGCGGTACAAGATCATCGTCGTCGTCGTCGCTTACCCTGCGTGAGTGCCGAGTTCTTGGCCTCCTATACCGGACCGTCGACTGACTTGTTCTCGCTCTCCTCTCCTTCTCTGCGCCTTTCTCAACCCTGCAGCACGCCGCTCGTGTCGTCCCGCGTGAGGTTCTGTTTGTCCGCGGCACAGCACGTTTTTCTCCTCCTTTTTCGCAGTCGCCTCCCATACTTACCCGCTCTTATCTCCTCGTGCAGCACGAAGGCAGACCTCGACCGTATCCTGAGGGCGACAGACGACATCGGCGGTATCCTCGGCCTCAAGCTCTCGCCGCACGGCAAGCACTACAACATCGAGGAAGTCATCGCGAACGGCGTCGAGGAGGTTCGGGAATCTGAGCGACGCTACGAGCGCGCCGTCGCAGCATACGAGCATGCTTAGAATGGTTCCTGGCCTGTCCTGTCCTTCCTCTCGTTCATTTTGCATAGACTCGTCTTGCGACTCCCCCATATTCCCCTTTCGACTTTCTTTCCCTCCACGACGTTCTTTTCGTCCTTCTTCTTAAGCCGGTCTTAGCATCAGCCCGATTGTTTAGCTTTCTTGTTATCGCGCCCTCTCTCCATCCTTGGTACATCTAGTCTCCTTGTAATCGGTACGCCCGGCGGAAGGGCATTCATCGCGCACCACACTCGCTCTCAGCGCGAGCGACGTCAACAACCTGTGTCGCGCTACAAGGACAACAAGCGGCGGGACCCGCCAGCCCTTGCTCAAAACTGGCCACCCCCAATCACCAACCCAAACGCCTCGCCCAAGCCCTTCGTCTCCAAGAAATCCCTCACCTCGCCCATCTCTCCCCGGTTTCCGCGCTGCCCTGTACGAGGGATGAGCGAGGTGATCTCGTCCATTGTGGTGAAGATGCGGTGGGCTGTTGGGTCGGTGGAGGGAGTGGAAGAGGGGAGGAGAGGTGTGCGGTAGCGTTCGGAGATCTGCATGAGCGAGGTGTTAGTGAGGGAAGGGCAGAAGAGGGAGGGAGGGAGACGAACCTTCTTCTGGAAGGAGGGAATGTCGGCCTGTTTGATGCGGGCGGTCAGCGCACGAAGAGAACGGCGGGAAGCGAGCAAGTCCTACCCAGCTCTTGGCCTTGATCTCCGCCAGGTAGGTCTGCACGTTGCTCTCCGTCCCTTCGAGGCAGAGCAAGGCCGGCTTGCCTGCGAAAACGACAAAGACGCTTCAGTTTCGCTCTGAAGCTGTTCTCAAACGACACGCGCGACGCACCCGCCAACACGAACCCCGTCAAGCCGTACTCGGGCGCCCAGTTGACGATGTCGTCTCGCTTTTCCCGCGTCGAGAGCGACGGGAACCACAACCACACGCGGAACTCTGGCTCGTCCGCCTTCGTCGGGGTATCTGTCGGTGTCGGTTCCGACGAGAGGGGTATCACGCTGGCGACTTTGTCTCGAAGAAAGTCGATTGTATGGAGGAGCAGGTCGGTGTTGGACGTAAAGGTCGAAGGGTTGCAGGAAGGAAGGGAAGCAGCGAGTCCGTCGTGCGTTGTTCGTGACATCCACGGGGGCTGCTGTAATCGAATCGTCGCTGCAGGTGATCCGTCGGCGAGGGTATGCGCAAAGTCGAGCGGTTTCGTGAGAGGGAGGCGGATCGCGAGGACGAGGGTGTGGATCGAGGCAGGGTTGGCGGCACTCGTCACTTCGAGGGTCACGGTGAACGCGATGTCGTTCGTAGGCAGTACATCGTCCCTCCCAACCTCCATGTCTCCGCCGTAGGGTGTGTGACCCTCTGTAATCCATCTCCGGAGCGACGGGAGGATCACGGCTGTCTCCTCCTCCAGTTCGAGTTCGCCTGGCAAGGGAAAGAGACTCTGCGCAAGATCAAACGACTCTAGCTGGAGTGCGAGCAGCTCGAGCGGCAGCAGCGGTGCCATTTGGATGTATGCTCCACCCGAGGACGAACCCGTCGCGCGACTTCGCGGCTTGACCTCGTTCCCCTCACTTCGGCCTCGACGAATGACGATGGTAGGGCTGTTTGAGGGCAGCAGCGTGCTCGACGAGGGCTGCTGGGCTGTGCGCTGTCGACCGAATCGCTCCCGGACCGCGCCTCTTCGTCCCGCAACTTTTGCTCGCTCGCTCGCTTTCGACGAAGCTGGAGCGCTTCTTGCAGCGACGGCGTATCCCCAGGATACCTTCGACTACGCTCAGACGCCTTTACCTTAGAGATCGCCCTTCCCGACCACTTCCTCCCGACCCTCTGCCCTCCTTCAACCGCCCATCGCGCCCGGACACAGCTCTTTCGTTCGAGGTTGACCTCTCACAGTCAACTCCATCGAACGAGGCTGATTCCCACCAGGAAAGGCGCAAGAGGAACCTTGCGGAGTCTCGTCTCTTTTATCGTCCTTGTGTGCCGACGGTCTTCCAGGGCGCACGAGGAGGGATTCGACGAGCTACAGCGATGCTTTGGCTGGACGGTGCAGCAGGACTGCCGGCGGACCGCGCTTCCCGCTGATGAGGATCCGCCGGCTCTCGAGATGCTGCTGTCGCCGCGCCTTCTTCGCCAAGTGCTTGTCGCGAGCTTGTGCCAGGTTGCTGCCAGGCGTGCGACGAGCCAGTCTCTCTCACTATTTAACGCTAGAGAGTGCCAAACGCTGGGATATGTTCACCGCGACCGCTACTCAAGCCGCGTCTTCTCCAAATCTAAGCTACATGCTCCTCCCTGGGCATACTCCTGCTCAGATCCCCGACGTCTTTGCCGCGCCCTTGTCACCCTTGAGCGACGCAACACCCTGATTGAACTCGTTGATGCCCTTCTGCGCAACAGATTCCTCGCCCCGCGCAGATTCACGCGACTCGACCGTTCCTTGCGGGCGGCCGGCAATCTGTGCGCTCCGCACGTCAGCTGCGGGTCAAAAGGGAAACTGGGAAACGCCGCAACGCACGCCGTCGCCGACACCGTCCAAAGCAGAGTTGATAGTCCCACGAATCGCCTCTCCCGCTCCATGAATCGCTCCGAACGCTCCGCTGATGCGTCCAGCGATCGATGCGCGAGTGGTGTCGGTAGCGGGTGTTGCAGTCGACGCAGACGTCGCAGGAGTCGAGTGGTCGACGGGAGCAGGATGGTGAGGAGGAGGAGGGTAGGAAGTGGTCGTCGTCGCAGCAGGGGACGAAGAGAAGGGGGTTGCGGTGTCGGTAACGGCGAAGTCGCTTCAGTCAGCACGGAAGAACAAGTCACCCTGCCGTCCCTTCCACTCGCTCTCGAGGTTTGAACTCACCGCGACTTCTCTCCTGCCTCGGTTCCGACGCGGTTCGATTCGTTGGCTGCGGTGAGAGTCGTCAGCGGTATCCTGTAGCTGGCGTGTGGCTCCACTCACTGGCCATGCTGTTCACTCGAATGGCTGGTGGACGAGGTCCTATCCCGACGTCACCTCCGGACGAGTCCAGCTTCGGCAAAGCCCCTGTCTGCTCGACGACGAGTGAAGGGGATATCTCCTTGGACGAACGAGCGAGTGAAGAAGTTGTGCAATACGAGTACAGTACAGCCAGTGACGAGGGTAGGGTATCCAGCGGAAGCGAGTGTCTGAAGGGAGGGAAGCGGATCTACAACGGCAAACGGGTTCTAAGGCGATGCAATACGAGCACGAGAGGACCACGACGAAACTACATGGCGTAACCGCCGACCGAGGCATAAGACGGCTGATGCTGGTGCGAGGGCGAGAACGAGTGCTGGCCGGGAGGAGGCGACGTCGCGGGCGACTGCGAGGCGCTGTGGAAGCTGTCGCCCGTCGCGCTCGACGCCTCGCTCCGCCACTGCCTGTGAGCCGCTTCGAGCGGCGAGCGAGCGAAGAGGTCCGCCTCGGTCACGGGCGGCACGCCCTGCGCGACCCACTGCGAGTCGCGGTGGTTCGCATAGTCGAGGACATCAAACTCGCCCGACTCGCTCGTGACGTGGTGCGAGCTGGGCTGCGAGCTGAGGCGCGAGACGTACGACTCGCGAGGAGTGGCGTCGTCGACGCGGATGGCGGGCACGCCGGCGGGTGAGGAGGTCATGGGCGGCGAGCCGAGCGGCGTCGAGGTGGCCGAGGCGTAAGGGGGAGACGATGCGTAAGAGGAGGGACCGAAGGGCGAGGGAGGGGCAGGCGTGTGAAGCGAGCGAGGAGAGTGAGGAGAGTAAGGTGAATGAGGCGAGTGCGAACCGGTTTGCGGCGTGACTGGCGAGCGAGGGACAGGTGTGATGCTCTCCCATGGTGTAGTCGGCTCCGAGTCGAGCGTCTGAGCGGAGAAAGTCCGCTCGCGCAGCTGAACCGGCGCCGCCTTATCCGTCGACTGGACGAGCGGGAGGTGCTCGCGCGTCTCGACGCCGTGCGTCGGCTCGATAGGCAGGAAGCCGCCCGACTGACCCGCCTCGAGATCGCCGCGAGGTTGACCGGGTCCACAGGTACCGAGGACTTGCATCTCGCGAACGACGTCCGAGTCGATCGGGAAGTAGGTCGAGCGGATGTACTTCCACAAGTAACGTGGGCCGATGGCGATGACTTGAACGATGAGGATCGACGTCCAGAAGTTGAGAGTGCCGTACAGGTCTATGCGTGCGTAACGAGGTCAGCGAGAAGGAGCGGGAGGAAGGCAGGACAACTGGTCACGCACAAACGACCTCGCCCTGGAAGAAAAAGGTCGGGAACTGCGAGTAGATGGCGATCCAGACGTGAAAGGCGAGCGTCGAGCCGATGATGATGACGAAGACCATCCAGGTCCAATAGCGGATGTGCAGGCCGACGAAGAGGTTGGCGGCGGTGACGGCGCAGGCGGCGACGGTCGTGCCCAGTTCCCAAATCGAAAAGTCGTGGCCCGTGACGGACAGGGTCGATGACCAGGAGTAGACGAAGTAAGGAACGCCGAACGCGATGACCGACTGGTACAGCCCATCGAGCATGAACCCGAAGAACTTGCCGCGCGTCCACTCCTTGCCGAGGATGCCGCGCCGGTACAGCTGGGGAAAGGCAAGTGCCGTCTTGGCGTGCACGTCCTGGTCGAAGATGCCGAGGACGGCGACGGGGAGCGAGGTGAAGACGAGACTGAAGAGCATGAGGAGCGTGTACTCGTAGAGGTAGGTCGAGTCGAAGCTGGCGGGTGCTTAGAGGGTCAGCATTGTCGACAAAACTACAACTCGTAGCGGGAAGGACGCACTTGCAGAAGAACTGGAAGATGAAGAGGGTGAGGGTCCAGACGATGTTCTTGTAGAAGAAGTTGGCGTGCATGTCGGCGACGCGGATGTAGCACCACCGGCCGTGGACGAGGAGGAGCTTGGTGAGGTAGCGGAACTGCCCGACCGCGTAGTCGGCCGACATCGACGCCTGCGCGCCCTCGAGACCGGCGATGCCAACGCCGATATGCGCCTCCTGGATCATGGCGACGTCGTTGGCGCCTGCGAAACGTGCGCATCAGTATTGACGGAAGAGGGAAGAGAGCGGAGCACACACACCATCTCCGATAGCCAGGGTCATTGCGTTCTTGCCGTCCTTGACGAGCTTGACCGTGAGCGCCTTCTGGCTTGGCGAGACGCGGCAGCAGACGACGGCGTTGCACTGGGTCGTGAGTTCGAGGAACATCGGCTTGAGGGCGTTGTCGAGGGCGTGACGGAGAGTTTCGCCGTCGATGACAACCGCAAAGCCGTCGGCTTTGACGGCGCCCGTGATCTTCTCGCCGTGGACGTCCGTGTCGAGCTGGGCTAGACCACTGCGACTCCGGTTGACCTTGTCGAGGGCGGCCCCAATCTGGGCGCGAGTTCCCTCCTCCGACTCGGCAGATATGATGATCTGCGGCGTGGGCCGTCAGCGGGACGCTTCAAGGCAAAGGTACACACTACGCACAATCTCCATCTCGTTCGTTAGCAGGTTGCAGCTGAAGCCGATCTCGATGGCGGTCTGCAGCTTGTCGCCTGCAAAGATACAGAAGGTGGGGTGAGCTGACGGCAAGAACGCAACGAGGAGAAGGCGCGAACACACCCGTCAGGATCCACAGCTTGATGCCGGCCTTGTGTAGCTGAGCGATCGCCTCGGGCACGCCGACCTGCAGCTTGTCCTCGAGCGCCGTCGCACCAAGAATCGTCAAGTCGTGCTCGACCAGCTCACATGCCCGCTCGATCGCCTCCTCGCGGTCCTCGATGGCCGCGCAAGCCTTGTCGTACTGCTTGCTCCAGCTCTGAAACTCTTCCTCCGACAAGTAACGGCTCGAGATGCAGAGCGTCCGCAGGCCGGCATTCGCAAAGTCTTCAAGCTGCTTCGACGTCGTGTCGATGACGGATTGGTCGTGGTCGTCTCGCAAACGCTGGTAGATGACGCTGTCGGCGCCCTTGCAGATGAGGAGGATGCGCTTTTCGGGCGTGCGGACAATCGAGCTCATGCGCTTGCGAGCCGAGTTGAAGGCGAGGGTGCGGAGAGGGACGTATCTTTCTGGCTGGCCGAGGACTTCGAGCGAGATCTCCTGGTTCGTGCGGTGGAGGAACACGAAGCCTGCGTCTCGAGCGGCCGAAACGAGCGCCGCCTCATCGGGCGACTCGGCCTTGTACTCGAGGATGTCGGGATTCGACTCGTCAGGTCGCTCCGTCAAGACGGTGTGGCAGACTGCGAGTGCCCGCCAGAAGTCGACGAGGCGTTGATGCTGCTCAGTCCCCCGGGCGACAAGCTGGTCCGCCATCGGCGGCGAGATGAGCGTGACCTTGTCGTCCTGGAGGTAGCGGTTCTTGAAGCCGCCGCGGAGCGTCCGAACCATCTGCTCCTTGCGCTGCGTGAGGTGCTCGACGTTCTGCGCCGGGTCGACCGCCGACGTATCCCGCCCTTCTCGCCTCGCCGCGCCGAGCATCGCCTCCGTGATGCCCTCGCCGTACGAGACGCCTCCGACTGCGCACTTCTGGAACTCCATGACGTTCTGCGTCAGGGTGCCGGTCTTGTCGGAGAAGATGTACTCGATCTGACCGAGGTCGTCGCTGATGTTCCACGTCTTGGGCACGCAAGGGTGGTCGAGCGGTTCGTAGTACATGTCGATGTCCTGGTAGATGAAGAACGCCTGGATCGTCTTGACGAGCTCGACCGTGATGACAAGCGAGATCGGGACGATGTTCTGGAAGAGGATGAGGGTTGCGCTGCGTGAAGGAATCACGTTAGCGGCGGCAATCAGCTTGCGAGAGTGCACGCGAGACTCACCCGAACGTGATGAGCCCGTTGACGGCCGCGTAGCTCGAGTACTCTCCGCCAGGCTCGTAATACTGTGCTGACCGGCCAGACTGGTTGTCATAGATACCTCCACCGATCGCGCAACCGACGCACAGCGCGACGAGGACGAAGAAGTTGACCAAGACGTTGAAGTTCGTTTCCTTCTCGATCTTGGACCGCTTCGAAGGCGTCTCGCCTGCGCAACGAGTCGTCAGCAGCTGCGGGCGGCGGTCCATTCGATTGAGCGCACCTTGGTTGAGCATGATCTTGGTGTCTGCGCCGGTGAAAACGACGAGGCCGATCACCCACTTCGTGTTGCGGAGGGCGCAACCTCGAAGCAAGAGCTCGTTGATCGTGACCGCCTCCTGAGAGGTGGAAGACCGAGTCAGCAGGCAATCATGTTTGGAAAGAAACGCGACTCGCCTGCATCTCCTCGCCCTGATCCCGCGTCCGACCCTCGATGATCGGATGCTCGAGTCCCAGCTTCTCCTCCCTCGACCGCCACCGCAGCACACCGTTGTACGAGTACAGGTTTGCATGCGGCGGCTCGCTGTCGACCCAGAACCGCGCATGCTCGACGTCCTCCTCGTTCGCGATGCCCATCGTCGCTTTTAGCGCCTTACGAGGTTTCAGGTTCGTCTCGCCGTCAAGGTTTTTCGTCTCGACGTAGCAGACCCCGTCCGAGTCGGACGTCGCGAGGACGGCGATGTCGGCAGGAATTTGGTCGTTCTCCTTCAGTAGGACGATGTCGCCGACCTCAAGCTTCTTCCACAACGTGCGCTCCCACTTGGCCGTGCCGGGTGTCGCATGTTCATACGAGACAACATCGCTGCTCGAGCGCTTCGAGCGGGTGGAGCGGCCGAGGGCGGAAGGAGGATAGCTGGGATCGGTCGAGGGAGTCGTTTCGAGCGTGTAAGAGCGGAGTAGTCGAGGCGGATACGAGGCTTGACCGGTGCCATATGCGAGACTGTCGACTGTGTAGGTCGAATCGGCCTTGCCAGCGGGTACCATCGTCGAAGCCGAACTGTCGCCCCTCGCCCTTGCGCCAGGACCTGCAATCTGGATCGATTCGCCGCCGAGCGTCATGCTCGACTCGGCCGCTCCAGGCTGCTCGGCGTAGAGGAAGCCAACGTCGTAGCTGCCCTCCTTCTCGCGCAACTTCCGCACGCCCTTCGAGACGCGGTGGTTCGGATTCGGTCTCCGCCAGAACGCCCACCACGGCCTGTCTTCCTCCGGCACGTTCACGTTTGTCCAGTCTCCTAATCGCGTCACAGCCGAGTTATTGACTTCGTTGTCAAGCGCGTGTCGACGGAGATCTTCGACACCGTCTTTGATGCCGGTGATGCAGAGGATGGCGACGAGAGGAAGCATGGCGACTTGGGGAGAGGCGGCGCCGAAGATGGGGAAGACCTGGAGAACGACGAGGCCAAGGAAGTAGACATTGGCGATGCGGCGGAACTGCTCGGTCAAGTTCTGCGAGAGAGAGATCGTCAGCACAGCACACTTCGTAAGATCTTCAAATTAGTTCTGCGACACACCTTCGGCACGAACGACAGCAAGGTGTACTTGCTCGTCCGGACCTTGTTCCGCTCGTACCCTCGAGGATCCGTCAAGACACCCTCGACGTTAACATAGACGACCCGCCGTCCCTTCTCCTTCTTGTCCTTCTTCAGCCAGCCCTTCCCGCTCGTACCACCGTCCTGCTTCTCCTGCCGGCGCGCAGATTCTTCCGCTTCGGCCGCTGCCGCAAGCCTCGTCAATCTACGCTCGACGTTCGCCCGCTCCTCGTCGTCCATCTCGGCAGCCATTCCTCCCTCTTCCGACTGCGCTGCATGTCCATCATGACTCTCCGGCTCCTCAGATATCCGCCGTTTCCGTCGACCAAAGATCGTCCGCCGAGGCTTGAGTGCAGACCCGCTCTCTGCCTTCTTCTGCCGCCGAGACGCGAAGCGTTTGAACCGCCGTCGGTCTTCCTCCTCGTTTGTGACGTTGATCGAGTCAGCAGCGGTTCGGACGACTCGTAGACCTGCACGGCGGGGCGGACGAAGGGTGGAGGTCGCAGAGAAGGTGGGTTGGAAGGCAAGGAGAGAATGCGTAGGGATGCACTGGGTCAGCGCCTTGTACTACCTATCCTACTGCACACCGTGTGCCGCGTATGTGCCCTCGCAAGCCATCCACTGAACCGAAGCGAGTCCGGAAGTTTCGCGGAAGAATCCGCCCATCCTCCCGCAACAGGCATCGCTTCTCCTGCACGTCCTCAGCGAACGAAGGAGACTCACGGAGTTCTGGATCGGTCGCAGGGTCATAGTCGGGGTGCGTAGTGTCGGAGAGGTTCCTCCCATCCGGTGCGAACTGCTCGAGGACGGCCGATTCCGGCCTGCGGCGATCTCGCCCTATCCGCAACATGGACGACATGGCGTCCTCGTCCACTTCGTGCTAGAGCGCGCCCGTCGGCTGCGAGTCGAACGGGAGCGGGAGTGTGGTCGGCTTGGCGGAGGAAGAGGGAGTGTGCGCGGTCTCCCAGGTCGCGGGAAGCGCTGGGGCACCTCCGCAAGCGTCTAGCTAGAGTCTGCACGAGTCTGTCAAGCCAGGCAAGCCACGAAAGCGAGCTGTCGAGCGCGATGTGAGCAAGAGAGAGCTTTCTCATCACTCGGAGACCCTTGCGCGTCCGCCTCTCCTCCCTCGCAGCTTCCTGCGGCTCGCAGTGGACGTGAGTGCTTTGCTTTCAGCTTTACGGACCACGACCGAGCTGCCGCAGCTGTCCCGTGCCGTTCCCGTGCGCTCCCACCTCTTCCTCGTCGCGTTGATCCACGATGCCTCGACGGACGGCCAGCACCCTTGCGGACCCTTACCAAGCGCTGGTATGTGTTTATTGACCGTCAGTTTGGGCACACACGGCCCGCCCGTGTCGCCCTCATCTCCGGAGGGTCCGCGGACACTCCCTTCGTCTCGCTCGAGCCTGCATCCCGCTCTTCGCCCATCTGTACCATTGCTAGACGCCTTACAGGGCGCGAGCTACCTTGCCGAGTCCTTCGACTTGACTCGAAGTGCTGCACCCTGTCTCCGAAGCTACTTCTTCCCCGTCCTTTCCGCTTGCGCAGCGGAAGTATCGGGAGAACCATCTCCAGCCGCTTCATCCCGAGCAGTCTGTGGTCTCTGAAACGGCATGAGCAGCTCTCGTGTTGCCGGGACGGACGGGCTGCGGTATTGGGGCGAGGCGGAGAAGCTTGTCCTTGCCTTCGACGTCGGCAACTCTGCCTGTACGTTGTCTTGCTTCTCTGACAGCAGACTGCGCACGCTAACCTTTCCGGGACAGCCTCCGTTGCCCTCACACATCTCACCTGGTCCTGCGCACCCCTCTCGACCCCTTCCGCCCTTCGCACCGTCCTCACCTTCCCCTTCTCCTCGCCCTCTCTGACGCCAATTCCCTCTCGCACGCCTTCAATGATGGCCTATGACCGCGAAGACACGCCGAGGATGTATGGCGCTGAGGCGCTCACGCCTGAGGGCAGGGAGCGGATTAAGGAGGAAGGGTGGGTTGTCGTGAAAGGTTGGAAGGAGCAGATGAGGCCGATGGACTCGCCTTCGTCTGCAACATCGACATCAGTAGCGAAGAAGAAGCTGCTTCGCAAGGCAAAGCCCGCCCCGCTCTCCTCGCCTTCGCCTTACGCCGCCCGACTCGCTCCCGCTCCCGCCTCGATGGGCACTTCGTCCACCTCGCTCGCCTCGATGAAGGGTTCGACGTGGTCTCTGTCCTCCGAAGGCCTCCTCGACGCCGTCGACGCTCGCGCAGATTACGACTGGGTCGACTTGACGAACACGCCGTCGAACGGATCGGGCGGCAGCTCGACCAAGGCGGTCGCCCCGGTCGAGAAGAAGCGCAAGGTCGTCACGGTGCATAGCGGTCCGAGGTTGCGCGACATCTACGCAGCTTGGCTCAGACACCTGACCGCATGGTGCGCCTCGAACGTCGCTTTCGTCTCCGCTTACAAGACGTTCTGACGTGCTGTGACTTTCTAGCGCCCGCGCCTGGTTTGGCGAACGCACGCCAAACGGCGAAGCGACCTTCCTCCGCCTCTGGTCGACCTGCGTCTTCGTCATTGCCATCCCAGCAGATTGGACGACAGCCGAGACCGACATGATCCGCGAGTCGATGGAAGACGCTGGTCTGCTACCTGAGCGCTTTGCAGTCGGAAGGCTCGTGAGTCGCTCGCGCACCCCTTTCGTTCGCCCGCGAGATTGGTCCGCTCAGCGAGAGTATTCCGCAGATCTTCGTCAAGGAGCCGGCGTCAATTGCGCACTGTGCGCGACGGCACACGAAAGATCCGGAGAAGACGTGGCTGAAAGAAGGGGGTTCATTCGTGCTCTGCGACGCGGCGGAGGAAGGTGTTTCCATCGTGAGTTTGGCTGTTCTTCTCCTCTCCTTCGTCGCATCTGATAGCTTGCCCACAGATCGGCTACACCGTCGCAGCGAATCACCCGCGACTGCGCTTGCGAGCTTATGAGCCTGTCTCCCGTACGTTCTCCGCTCTCGCCTTCGCCCTTCAAGCTTCTCAAGCTGAGACTCGTCCTGCAGGCCTTCCCGCCGGAACAGCCGCCATCACCTCCGCTTTCCGCACGTTCCTCGAGCTACGCCTCGCACGGACAAAGTTCAAGTCTGCCTCGATCGCCTCGCACCTTGTCGAGGAGTTCCGCACGAAGGTCTTGCCCGTCTTCGCCGGCGTCGCGGTCGCACCCGATGCGGAGTACAAGCTGAGGATACAGAAAGACGGGGCGGAGATGGATCACAAGCTCGAGAAGGGCATCGACTCTGGAGCGAGGATCCGAGATGGCTGGATGACCCTCACAGCGTAAGTCTCGCCTATGCTCCATCTCGTTTCACTCTGACTCTCGCCACAGACAAGACGTTGAGGACGTCTTCAAGCCGGCCGTTAACGACATCATCGTCCGCCTCTCGTCGGTGCTCTCGCGAGGAAGCGCCAAGCACATCCTCCTTTCCGGCGTGAGCTACTTGCGTCTCTTCTCGTCTCTCCGCGCTCACTCAGTTTCGAGTAGGGCTTCGGCGAGTCGCCCTACCTCGTCCACCGTCTGCGCGAGACATTCCGTCCTCCACACGCCTCGCTCGTGATCCCTTCGCTCCCCGCGCACTCCGCCGTCTGCGAAGGCGCGCTCCGCTTCTACCTATCCGAGACGCTTCAGCCCCGAACGACGAAGTTCGCGCTCGGAGTGATGACGGCCGTCGACTGGGCGACGTCCTGGGAAAAGGCGATGGCGTCGAGGGAAGTCAGCGTGGGAAGCGGCGGGCAGAAGTACGTGCTCGGCAAGTTCAGCGAGGTTGTCGCTAAGGTAAGAATGCTCCTTCATCGCCTTCTTTCACGAAGTGACGGGTCTCGCCTCTGCAGGACTCGCTTCTCGACCCGTCGACGAGGTGGACCAAGACGTTCAACATGCAGTACAGCCTGAACCGCGACGAGCCGCCCATACTAGCCGAGACGCTGTGGCTATTTGACCCGGACGCAGCGCTGGAAGGAGACGACGGCTGGATCATCGCGCCGGACGGTGCGTCTTTTCCCTTTCCCCCTCCAACGCTTTCTGACTTGGTACTCCGACAGGTCGACCACGACCTGGCTATAGAATCGCTGGCAGAGTCGTCGCTGAGCTCGACAGCCTCGTACTGAGCTTGCCAGAGCGGCGGACGGCGACGGAAGTCTACGTGCACCTGGAAGTGCAGGTGCGTGCGCACATCCATCTTCAGGTAACAGACTGCTCACTCTTCACGATGTAGCTCGTCGTTTACGTGGGCGCAGAGTCACTGGAAGCGAGATTCGAGTGGGAAGAAGAGGTAAACCGTCGCTCGACCTTCGCAACGAGCGATGCAAGCTGACTTGCCTCACGTCCAGGGTCGACCAGCGGCTGGACCAGCGATCAAGCTCAGCCATGAAACCTTCTAGAGTCGTAGGAATCCTTGGGCACATTTCTGATCGGTAGGCATGCGATGCGAGTCAAGCGGTTGCAACAACATCTCACCGGGCTATACAAGATATCTACAAGCTGTTCAGGATGTCGCTGGCGAGAGGTGACCTGAGAGCCAGCGCTCCTCCTCCCTTCCGGATGACCGGCTTCTTCTCCTCGACATCTTCCTCGAGCTTGATCTTGACGTCCTCCTCCACCACGACGGCCGCGATCGCAGGCAGCTCGTACACCCAACCCTTCGCATCGACTAGACGCACAAAGTCGGCCATGAGCTGGACGTGCGAGATGGTCGAGCGAGAACCGAAGATGACGAGTTTCGATTTGGCGCGCGTGAGGCAGACGTTGACGCGGCGCCAGTCCTTGAGCAAGTCGCCGGCCTGTGCAAGCGCTCAACTGGTGAGCTCGCTGCAGGGTGCGGCGACTGAAGGAAATGACTCACGTTGCCAGTAGTGTTCGAGCGGACGAGTGAGAGGACGATGCACTCCTTGTCGCGGCCTTGGCTTCGGTCGGCCGTCAGGATCTCGACGTCGGGGTGCGACGAGAGCTGCCGCGAGAGAAGCTTGATCTGCTGGCGATAGAGCGAGATGACGCCGATGTCTTCCTCGTCAACGCCGCTTGCCGCAAGAGCCGACACCGTCTGCGGGGCGAAGGTCAGCGTGTGAAGCTATGGGATTGCGAGAGTATGCATACCTTTTTGACGAGGACTGCTTCCGAGGGGTTGTCGATCAGCGAGCCGTTGCGGCGTTCCCGCGCTGGCAAAGCGTCCGTGTCGATGAAGATGACGCTTCGACTGTGTGCGATGCGTCAGCGATTCCCAAAGCCGACTTGGAGGCGCTGCACTCACTCCGGATCGACGATGTCCCGCACCCAAGGCTCGACGCCTAACTCCGCCAAATCCTTCCGCACTTCCAGCTTCCGCCCGCCGACACGCTCGTCGCCAACCTTGAGCTGACCAGAGTACACGAGCTCATTCGAAAGCGACATGATGTCGCCGTTCATGCGGTACTGGTGCGTCAGATTGACGACGGCGTCAGGGTGAGCCTCCGAAAGGCGCTTGAAGAGGCTGACGTCGAGGCCGCCCTTGCGAGCGGCGCCGTTGCGGACCTGGAGACGAGCTTCGTCAGTGTAGACTTTGAGCTGGACAAGCGGCTGCACTTACGAGAGGCGGAAGCTGGTTGTGGTCACCGACGAGGACGAACGAGTCGGCGAAGCGAAGCGGGCCGAGACAGGTTGGCAGCGTGACTTGGGACGCCTCATCGACGATGCAGACGTCGAAACGCCGCTTAACAAAGATGGGTCTGCAGGACTCAGGTCAGCAATGCGAAGCAGGCGGACTTAATCGAGCGACTCACTCATTGATGCCGAGACATGTCGTCGCGACGATCTGCGGTCGTAGCAGCTTGTTGTCGATGTCGGAGAGCGAGTGAGCGTAGTCTTCGGAGGTCAGGGTGAAAGGATGGAGCGACGGGAGGACCTGCGGGAAGACATTGTCAGTCAAGCTCCAGGCTCAGTGTGCGGTTGCAGTAAGGTGCACCTTGTCGCGGTTGCCGAGACGCAAGATGCTCAGACCGGCGTCCTTGACCTTGAGAAGGATGTTGTCCACGGCCGAGTGCGTGTAGCTGGTAAGCAAGATGGATCTGCCCGCCTGCGCAAGCGCATTGATGACCTCGGCAGTCGTCGTCGTCTTGCCTGTGCCGGGCATGCCGAGGATGAGGGCGTAGTCTTGGGCTGTCAAGACCTTCGCGACGGCCTGCCGCTGGTCGCCGTTCAGGTGAGAAGGCAGGGCGGCCTGCTTGATCTCCGCGATCGGGCGGAATCGAGGAGCGGCGAGGTCGACAACAAGACTGCGACGGCGTTCATCTGAGCCTGGCGTGAAGAGCTGGACGAGGTTGTCGCGGATGCGACCCATGCCGGCCGCCAACTCGTCCTTGTCTACTCGGAAGACAAGCTCGCCGACGGCCGTGCCGTGCGACTGAGGGCAGGCTGTGAGCGACCGGTCGACGCCAATGACCACCTCGGTCGGCGAGAGGGACAGGACGAAGCCGCGGGAGATGGCGAGGATGGACGGCGTTTCGAGCGAGACGACGATCGGATCGTTGGTCGAGATAGAGCCGCCAAGGAGGGATGATTCGGTCGGCGATCGAGGGCGCAGGCGGTACACGAAGCGATGAACCGAGGTCTTGCTCGACTGCTCCTCCGCCTTCACCTCCGAGATGACCATATTGGCGAAGCAGCTGCGGTGCATGTCGGGCGTCAGCAGAGTTGGTGAGCGGTCAAGAAAGGACGTACCGGCCTAGCTGCTCTCGCTCCTCCGCCTGCAGTGTCCAGATTTCCTTTTTGAAGCGGACGAGCTCCTGCTCCTCGAGGCTGATGAGCCGCTCCCACTGCTTGAAGAACTCGGCGTGCGCTGCAGTGACGTGATCGGTCTTCTCGGCGTAGATGAGCTGGAGCGGGTCCGTCTCGTCGTCACAGATCATGTCGTCGCCATCGACCGCCTGCAGACGCGCAACCATTCAGCGTGACCCATTTCAGTCAGCCCGGACGTTGCGCACCTTGCGATAGAGCATGCACGCATCTCCGACGTAGCACTTCTTGCACGAACGCTCGTCGTCAATCGGCGGCGGGAGAAGCGCAAGCTCGGCGCCCTCGACCTGCGAGGAGACGGGAAAGTCGGCGTCGCCCCACAGCGCGTCGTCCTCATCCTCTTCCTTGCCAATGCTTGGCTCGTCCTTGACTGGGCGAGGACTGCCCGGGTGCGACTGCGACGCCTGCGTAGGCGGGACGAAACCGCTCGGCGTGAGGGTCATCCGCCGGTGCAGAAAGGTTGCGAAGCGGTTGCGAGCGAGGATGAGGCCGCGGATCTCGTTGCGAGCGGCTTGGACGCGGAAGACCTCATTCGACTGGGTGTAGTAGAGGAGGCCGGAATCGATGTCTTCGTCTGCGAGAGGGCGAACGTGAGCCTCGTTCCGCCTCTCACTTTGGGTGCGGCACTCACCGAAGCGGTCGCTCATGAGCAACGTGTACAGCATCGTCTGCGCGCGATGCTCCATTCCTGCGTTGGTCCTGCCGGTCTTGATCTCGAAAGGCGCGGTACCTTTGCGCGAGAAGCCGACCGAGTCGACCACGTTCGCGAGTGTCGAGACGTCGATCTTGCCTTTCAAGCCGAAGCGAGGTGACCAGATGTCGTCTTCGACATCGAGGGTCGCGTTGATCGCCAAGCGGGAACGGGCGGTGTCGAGGGCGCGGGGGTCGGAGAGGAAGGCGTCGACCTGCGAGGAGCGTCAGCGCTCGTCCACGCTCGACGGATCGTGAGAATGACGCACCTTCGGCTTCTCGCCAAGGAAGCGCTCCGCAAACGCCTCAAGGTCCTTGCTCCGGTTCAGCAGCTCCTCCTTCGCCTTCTCGAAGCCGACATCGATAGTCCAGAGCTGTCCGCCGTACTCCTTGACAACCTCATCGATCTTGCCACGGCGGTACTCGTCGTCCCATCGACCTTCCATCATGCACGACTGCATGAGCGAGTGAAGCATGTTCCCGTAAAGAAGGGAGGGAGTTGTGCCGCCGACCGTACGAATGATCTCCTGCAAGACGGCTTTGCGTGTGCAGTGAGACGAGTCGGCGACTTTGGTGGAGGAGACGAGGATGTCAGGGTGGAGGATGAGCAGGCTGTGCGAGCGGGTGAGCTGGAGAGGCGTGTCTTTAGCGGCGAGGTTGAAGTCGCCAACCAGGTTGACGATGTCGCCTGCATGCGAGAGCGTTAGCGCGAGGCGAGCGAACATGTGTAGCTTGACCTTGCCTGTCACGACTGGCGTGTCCACCCAATCGTCGCACAGAGCGACTTGCCGCAAGTCGTCGAATGCTTTGCTCGAGACCGTCAGGAGCTGTTGGTAAAGCGGTGTCAGTACAACGCAGACCCACGTCGAAGATTCTACGCACCTTTTGTGGCCGGCTCGAAGCGCCAACGCTTTCGACGACCTCCTCGACTCGACATCGAACGTAGCGCTTGCTGCGCGGAATGTACTTCTCCTGCGAGCGAAGGGTCAGCCTTGTACTACGTAACAACAGAGTCTCAACTTACGTCTCGATGCACTGCCTTTGCCTCATCGTCAAACGCGAGCATCTCCTTGTCCCAGTCGACATCCTCGAGCATATCGGCGAATTCGTCGACGCGAGGCTTCTCCTCAGTTGACGCGTGCAGCTTCTCATTCTCCTCCTGCTCCTTGAACACAAGCGGCTTCCGCTCCCTCAGCGGACCGCGCCGCAAGACATCTGCATTCTCCTTCCCCTCAATCTCGACCGCAACATGCTTGACCGCCCTTCCCTTCCCCACGTCCTTCTCCTCCCTCCCTCGTTTCATACCCGCGTTGATAGCCTGATCCGCCAGCGGATCCTGGTGCGCCCTGTTTCTTCCCACGACCTTCCGCCCAGCATCTCGAGGGAGAGAAGGGGCGACTCCGATGGCTCTTTCGCGACGGTCGCGTTCGGCGAGCGACTGTTGTGTAAGTGGAGGATGTGCGAAGGGGTTGTCCCAGAAGGGAGCGGGTTGTGAAGGCTGAGAGGACGGCGCGGATTTCGAGGAAGGGACGGGTCGAGGGAGTCGGTCTGTGCGAGTCTGAGGTCGCGGGGACGGCGTGCCCAGCTTAACACGTTTTGGAGGATGTACTGGTCGTGCTCGACTGCCCTGCGATGTGGCGAGTGGCTGGGACGAGGGCGGCGAGGTGAAGCAGCTGGCGTCGAGGTCGGCGAACAGCTCGGCCATGAGGGCCTCTTCCGCCTCGATAGCCGGCATCACAGCGCGTCAGAAATCGCCAGTAAGCAAGAAGTGAACCGTCAGAGCGAGAGCGAGCTGAGAGTGAGAAGTCAAAACAGCCGTGAACCGCGTCTGGTCGCGCTGATGACGGCGCAAGGCCGAGGACAAGAGCGACGAGAGCGCCAGGCTGTCAGGCAGAGGCTGGCGGACACTCTCAGCTTGACAAGAACGCAGCGGGAAGCGGCAGCGGGACGAGGAACGGCATTGCGAGTCCAACTCCTCCTCGTTCCGCTCATGCGAATACAACAAGATGCTTGCGCGTGTGCTCGTATATGGGAGATAATGCGACAGTGTCCGTGTGGGTGTGCTGCGGGGTATAGAGGGCATGCGTGGAGCCGAGTGGATATAGCGTCTAGAAGTCGAGTCGAGCGGGTCGCATGTCGAGAATTAGTGATTTTGCGCGTGGAAGACGAGCAGGCCGGGTACGCCGACGACTTCGAAGCCTGCGCGCTTGGCGAGCTTGGCGAAGCCTTCAGTCTCAACCTGCAGCAGCGGGTGGGCACGGTCAGCTGAAGTCGACCGAGTCTCGGAATCAAGGCCAGCCGGCGCACCTCGTTCTCGAAGACGTAGGTCGGGAAGGTGATCCCTTCGCGGTGCACATGTGCCTTGACGAGGGCGAACGTGCAGCCGATGCCGTCAAGCGGGACGTACGCGAGTCCGAGGTGGGTCGGCATGTCGACGAGGTGCAGGCGGTTCGTCATCAGTTCTCGATAGCCTACACCGATAATCGTCAGCAAGCAGTAAGCGCAGAATCGAGCGAAGAACGCACCCTCGACGAGCATGACGTTCGGCCCGATCTTTTCCAGCAAGTCGAGCGACGCCTCCGTCTCAGCGAAGTTGTTTCGGTCAAAGCCCTATGAGACGTGATCAGAGTCAGCGTGCGCTGATTCGAAAAGCGGGATACAGTCTCTCGAGATGAGCCTGGTCCCGCAAGAGTAGCGAAGCGCGCGACCAACTCACCCAGAAGTCCCAGTTCTTCTCCAGATGCCATCTGCCACGCATCGGGCCACATATCAGCTGTCAAGAGCGTGGAGGCTTATCTCGACGAACAAGAGCGAAACGCACAGGGTGTTCGGCACGACAACGTCCTTGTCGATGCTCATCAAGTCGGACAGGATGTTCGGGTCGTACCGCACGACATCGACGTCGAGCCACAGCACCCACGCATGATCCCACCGCAGCGCCGCCGACAAAAGGTAATTCCGCGCCCGCGCAATGAACGCTCGTCGCACGGGCTGGCCCTCGAACCCGTGCCGCACCTCGGACGCAAGGTTGAAGTTGAAGTCCTTCTGCAAGATCGTGATGCTGTCGTATCCCTGAGCTTTGGGAAGCTTGGCCAATCGAGCTGCTCGTCTCCGCAGTTTCGCGACGGTGTCGTCTGTCGAATCGCTGACGAGGAAGGCCAGTGAGACGAGGTTTGGCGGGTAGTTGAGCCGTGCGATGTTTTCAAAGTACTCGTCGAGCCAGGGCGAGGCGTCTTTAAGCGGAGTGAGGATGAGGAGCTTCTCCTTCGCTTCAGGTCCTCGAGACGTCGCCTGGATGGGCGTCAAGTCGTAGGACGAGGTGAAGACATCCTTGGTCGTGACGCCCTGCTGGACCGCTAAGGATGTGAAGGAGCAGTAGACGAGCGTGACCAAGACGGAGGCGAGGGCGACTGCAAGTCGAGAGGTGAGGAGAGAGAGGATGCGGGCGCGGGCGTCTCGTGCTGGTGTTGGACCGTTGGCCGGCTTTGAGTAGGACCGTGCCATTCCTCACTGCCTGTCCACTTCTTCACACACCTGCACAGGCTTCGCAACTCGATGATGCTGGGTCGATCAGGTGCGGGAGAAGAACGAGGTGAGCACACGATGGGGCGAATTGAGAATGGCGGCGCACCTCTTGTAGCCCCTCAACAAGCCTCTAGAACAAGCAAACCAAGCGAAACAGCCGAAGTGAGCGTCTGCGACGAGGTTGACCCGCGACTTCGCTCCTCTCCTCGAACCTCATCACTGCTTGCTCACTTCAGCTCGTTCCGTAGGCGCTTTCTTGAGTACTGGGGCGCGCAGACGATCTCAATAAACCTGCTGATGCTTTTGACCGCCCCGCTGACCGCGTTGCCCTGCCGCGCAGGCCGTGTGTTGAGCGAGCCGAAGATGTTGGACTACAGCGACCACGAGTCGGAGGAGGAGGGCTGCTACGTCTTCTGGGAGACCAAATCCATCCTCGCCAGCACTGCGTCTGCCCCAGCTCAACCAGGGAGCTCGTCGCCTCGTCCACGCGCTTCTCAGCGCAGCGGCGCCCCGTCTCCCTCGCTCGGCGTCACATCGAACGGCACGCCTGAGCCCAAACGCACGACCACCCTTGCATCTCTCCCGAGTCCGTCCGGCTCGACTAGCGGAACGACGGAGCGGCCAGCACGGTTGCGGAAGCGGCGGAAGGCGCTCGACAGGCGGAAGGGCGGGACCGACAGCTCGAGTCAGCCGCTCGATGCGAGGACGCTGCAGATGGTCAGCCAGCTGGCGATGAAGGTCAATGCGCGAGCGGCGGGCTTGTCGAGTCCTGCCGTACCGCGGCAGGCGGTCAAGGCGAGCGAGGGACTCGACTCGCTGGCGAGTCCGAAGGGCAAGGGCAAAGCGCGGGAGGTGCTGCCTGTCAAGAGTACGTCTTCTCGAAGTCACTGCTCGTCGTGGTAGCTGACGGGATGTTGATGTGGCAGGAGAACCGCTCCGACCTTCGCCCAATACGAACGCTCTTACCGGAACAACGTCCCCGCTTCGCCGTACACCCGCACGGGCGTCTCGCTCGGTCCAGGGCACGCTCGGAATGTCGGCGAGCAAGGTATCGGCGACCAAATCCTCGCCTCGACGAACGGCAAAGCCCTTGCCAACCGTTGCGATCCAACATCAATCGCCTGCCGTCGTTCCTGCCCAGCAGGACTCGCTCACGAACGATGCAGACGACGAAGAGTCGTTCTTCGACGACCTCGACGATACCTTCGAGCTTGCCCTCTCGCAACTCGACGAGACGGCCGTTGCGCCTACTCCGCCCTCTTCTCTCGGCGCATCATCCCGCAAGCCGGCCCTTCCTATACTCGCTCCGACGCTCGCTTCTAAGCCAGATTCTTCTCGCCTCGCCCCTCCACCAGCACGTCCCATCGCCCGCCCCGCTCCGCCCCCTCGCAACGCCTCCGATTCCTCCTCCACTTCCTCCTCCAAGATCGTCCTCCGCACCTCGCGCACCTTCACACGCACGATGTCAGCCGAAGCGCAGCGCGAAATGGAGGAATTGGCGAAGCGCGAGTTGGAGGCAATTGCGGATGCGTTCGGCGCGGATGGGAGTGGGTGGAGTGACGAGGACTTCTGAGCGGGACGGATATCGGGGGGAGGTGTGCGGGCTGCTGCTGTGTTGTTGTACTGCCTCTCGTGCTCACCGGTCTCTTGATTACTCTCCCCAATGCATTTCTGGTCAGCTCATCTGCTCAATACGCGCTCGTCTTGTGTGCGGCTCGAGAATTCGGTTCGAGCACCGTCACTGGAAGGCAGCTTCTTCGTCAACGGCTTGGCAGCTGTGAGCGGCAAAAGAGAGAGCATTCGCCCACCCTCCAGCGCAGGTAGGAGACGCGGGCAAAAGGTAAGGCGTGACTGGGGATCGAACCCAGGTTAGCTGGAAACGACTGCGTCAGAACCAGCTGTACTAACCACTATACTATCTCGCCCGATCTTGTTCAGACCGTCTTGCAGTGCGTACATATCCGCGTTTGGTTGTTACACAGTTATTTGAGGTGAGTCCTCACTCCTCTCCCTGCCTCTCTCCTTACTGGGGGATGCACGTCCGCCTTGACCGTGCCGGAACGAGTTGCAACACAGACCCTGTTCTCTCGTCGACCTTCCCAATTTCTCAGCTCGCAACGCTTCGAAGACTGAACTGATTTTGCGATTTCCGGTGTCTGTAGGTAGCATATGTACAAGCGGGGTCTCCGTCCAAGCAATTCCAACAAGCGGTTCCAGCTTCCTTCCTTCTTTCAAGCGTAAGCAAGCGAGACTCGACTTAGCAGACCGAGTCGTGGCCGACCTGCGCAACGTCAACACCCGTCTTAGCTCTCGCAGCACATGAGGATCGCGAGAGCGTCGGTAACGCACCGGCCTCGTGCCCTCCCCGTGGCTCGCCGCCATTCTCTCCGAGATGGACTGCTCCTTGCCCTTGCCGTGCTTGGGGGCATTGACGTTCCTGCCCTCGCCCTCGCCGGGCTGGCGGACGTCGGCCTTGTGCTCGTCCATGAGCTGCTCGGTCACTTCGATGATGTCGTGGAAGAGGCGTTCGACTGCAGGAGAGTTGGTCAGCGTCGATCAAGGGAAGGGGGTGGGAGACGCACCCATGTCCTCGTTGAAATTCTCGCGGATCACAACGCGGAGAACTTCCTTGTCCTGAGCGTTGGGCGGAAGGTCGTCTGCGAAACGAGTCACAGCTCAGCGGGATCGTCGACGAGCGAGAGACGAAGTAACGCACAGTTCGGGACGATCCAGTTGTGCTCGCGGAGACCGAGCTGGATGCTGCGCTGCTTGATGCGCGGGTACTCTGCGGATACGTTGGGTGAGAGGCAGCCGAAGCGGGAGAGAGCGCCGGGACGCACCCTGGCGGAATTCGTCACTGAACATGAAGGCGACAACGGGAAGCGAGGGGACGTAGGCCTCTGGATCGCACGCGCCAGGGACAAAGAGGAAAGTTAGCTATGCTGCCCACGAGACCGCAAGACTGGCGAAGTTGACGCACCGACATCGTCGACAGCACCAACCGTCTCCTTCGCCTTCTCAGTCAAGCTCCTGTCCTTGAGATGGTGCACCTCCGAGACGACCTTGTAGTCTGCTCGCCACCCGACCGTCAGCCCGTGAGAAAGAGGGGAAGCTGGACGGGGACGCACACTTCGAGCGCTCGAGGGCACGGGCGAGAAGGCGCGCGTTCTTGAGGTCGTTGAGGGCGACGCGGCGGTAGCCCTCGAAGCCGAGGTAGAGGAGGTTGTCTGTGTACGAACCGTCGAGGTACATCGTCAAACCGTAAGTATCCGCTGTCGGCAGCTTCCCGCCAGACAGGGAAGCGGGCTCGCTGACTCACAGTACTGAGCGAGGAAAGGCGCGGCCGGACGACTGAAGTTGAGCGAGAACGAGTACTCGACCGAGCCGAGGTAGTGCAGCTCAAAGACGAGCTCCTTGGGGACTGGTCCGGCAACTCCAGGTCAGCGCTGCACAGCGTAACCGGACATGCGGAGGGAGCGAACGGTGCTGCTTGTCGCGCCAGATGATGAAACCGCAGCCGACATAGCTCTGTGGGCCGCAAGAGAGTCAGCAAAGAACAGGTCTTGCGCGAGGGAAGCAAGCGCACCTGGCCGAACTTGTGGCCGGACGAATTGATCTGCGATTCACGCCGTAAATCTTGAGCGCTAAGTGGGATGCTTGAGAGACCGGTGGGAACGCACCGAGACGACGCGCGGGATGCGGAAGTCCCACTTGAGCGAAGGCGAGGCGAAGGGCGCGACGAAACCGCCCGAGGCAGCGTCGACGTGGATCTGCGCGTCAAAGTGTCAGCCGTCATAGATGGGAGGGGACGACAGAGGAGCGCGTGAGACGCACGGGGACGTAGTGGCCCGTCTTGGCTTCGTACTCGTCGAGCAAGCGAGACATCTCCTCGACGTTCTCGTAGGTGCCGGTGTAGGTCGAGCCGAGGATGACGTAGACGCCGATCTGTACGCAGTGAAGAGGAGTGGGCCAAATAAGAGACCGGAGAGGGGAAGAAGAGAGGGGAGGGAGGCGGTCAGTAAGAAGGTCCGAGGTCAAGAACGAATAGCAGGAAGGACTCACGGTGTTCTGGAGCGATGTCAGAGGAGTAGGGGAGTGCGTCGGAGTCAGTTTCGGGCCAAGAACAGGAGAAGAAGGAGTTCTGGAGACGCACCTCGTTGACAAGCTCGATTGCCCTCTTCGGATCCATCACATACTTCGTCGACTCGTCCACGGGCACTGTAACCATGCTGACGTCGAAATAGCGAGCAAACTTCTCGAGGGCGACCTGAGCGTTGGCTCCCATAATTATCTCGGGCTTCTCCGCGCTCTTCCCCTGCGCCTTGCGTTTCGCCTGCCACATCTTCTTCATCGCGAGACCACCGAGCTGCGCCGCCTCCGACGAGCCAGTCGTGACACAGCCGGTCGCGTCCTCCTTCTTGTCGTCGGCGTGCCAGAGCGAGGCGATCATCGAGACGAGGCGGTTGTGAATCAGCGTCGTGCCGGGGTATTCGTCCGAGTCAATCTGGTTCTTCATGCGGTTCTCGAACATGAGGCGGTCGGCGTACCTGCAAACGAGGAGAAAAGGAGGAGAACGTCAGTCTCGCTCGCTGGAACGTTCCCGCGGCCTGTCTCCCGCCTCCTACAATGATAACACGTACTCATTCATTTGGGTGTGAACGAAGGAGGCCAAGTTGAGCTGAGGGTTGCCGTCGAGGAGGAGTTCCGAGTTGACGAGGTCGTAAGCCGTCTTGGCGTCGGTTCCCTTGGTCGGGATGCGGTACTTGGGGATGGGGTCGGTGTCATAGTTGGCATGCCCGTTATGGGTGCGGTGAAGGTGGCCGCTCGCCTCGCCGCGCTGGAGCATGTCGTGAACGGTCTCGCGTCCGTTGCGGTGCTTCTTCGCGTGCTCGCGCGCCTCCTGGATGACGCGGTCGGGGTTCAAGTGGCGTGAGAGGGACATGGTGACGGTGCTCGGCGGTCTTTGAGTGTGTGCGAGGGCGTGGGAGCGATGGGATGTGGGGAGAGAAGCGGAGAAGGTGCGGGTTTGACGGGTGCTCGACTCGGTTGTCGCTGGGTTGGCTCGAGTGGCTCTGTCTGAGGTTGCTGAGCGTGTCAGTGACTTGGGAAAGAGAAAAGAGAGAAGGGGAGAGCGAGGTGGGTCGTCGTCGGGTGCGTCATTCCTCCTCCACAACCAAATCTCGCAGTCGGCGACAAAGTGCCAAGTTTAGCCATTCACACATCAAAGGGCGAACGTTCGCACTCGCACACAGCCGAACCAGCGCAGCCGAACCAACTCACCGCGTCCGCCTCGCTGTCCTCCTCGCCGAACGGAGCGGACACACTTCGGTCTGTCAGCGCAATGGTGCGTGCGACGTCCCCGTATCGTTACGAGCAAGTCTATACTGACCGACTGCCGCTCCCATCAGGCCCCGCGACGCCCCCGTCCCTCCGCCTCAACCTCATCAGCTTCCCGAGCAAACAAGCGACTAGCCTTGATCGACGCCGCATTCGACGCTGCTGTCTCTCCCACACACACACCAGACTCAGACGCACGGCCTCCGCCACGGAAAAAAGCGAGGAAGGCGGTTGTGCTGGATGACGAGGAGGGCGAGGACGACGAGATGGAGCTTGTTGCGGGCGATGCGGGTGCAAGTGCGGATGCATTGAGAGGAGGGTTCTTGCCGGAGCCGCCTGCGGAAGGCTTTGCGGACGGAGGAGGGTTCTTGCCCGAGGATGATGCGGGAGGAGCAGGAGGCTTTCTTCCAGAGGACAGCGGCGCAGATCTAGGCGGGGGCTTCCTCCCTGATCCCCCAGGCGACACGGACATGCAGGCTTCCAGTGCAGACACGGGACAGGGCGGCTTCCTCCTCGACGACTTCGCGAGCGAAGGCGGGTTCCTCCCTCTCCCTCCTCCTCCTCTCGCCGACTCGGGCGATCCAATGGCAGTCGACTACTCCGCGTCGACTTCCGCAGGAGGTGGCGGATACCTCCCAGAGCCACCTGCCGAATTCAGCACAGCAGGCGGCTTCCTCCCCGACCCTCGTCCAACTTCACGCGCGTCTCCCTCCTTCACCCTCCCCACTCCTCCTCCTCCCGCCTCTCGCATCTCCCTCACCTCCATTCCCTCCGCCCTACGCTCCCTCGGACTGCACCGCCTCGGCCTCGCCGGCGCCGACTTGATGCAGCTCTTCGAGGAAGTCGCGAGCGACGACGAAGAGGTTGAAGGGGGGAGGAGTGTGAGGAGGGAGAGGTTTAGGGAGGCTTGTGAGGTGTTGATGGGTGATACGGACGAGGAAGATGGGGAGGAAGGGGAGGAGTATCGGGATGAAGAGGAGGAGGAAGAGGAGGGCAAGAGTCGGAGGAGGTTGAGAAGAGCTGGAGAACCGAAGGCTTCGGCGGTGGCGGACGAGGAGAACGACGCACCGAAGCTACGGCGACAGCCTGCTCGACGATCAACTCGGGCGAATCCCCTGCCGGAAGACGAGGACGTCAGCGCGAAGGACTTTGGTGCGGCGCTCGATGCCCTGCCAGACGACTCGAACTCATCCTTGAGTGAGGCGGCAACCGACTCGGAGGACGACATCGGCGGTTCAGCGAAAGGGAAGGGCAAGAGTCCTGCCAAAAGCAAGGGTAAGAAATCTCGTCGAGGACGACGCGGCAATCCGGACGACATCACCGCAGAAGACGTCGCCGCCGCTCAAGATACCTTCGACTTGTTCTTTGAGGAGTCGCCGCAGAGTGTGTTGCCGAAGCGCGAGAGGGCGATCGGGTTGATGGAGTTGCAGTGGGCGTGTAGGGTCTTGAAGGAGAAGATGACGGACGGGGATGTGCGTACTCTCCTACACCTTTCACGCTCTGCGAGCTGACGTCTCGCTGGTGCAGCTCAACGAGATGCTTGAATACGCCGCGCGGAGCAAAGGGCTCGTCGATCTCGAATCTTTCGCTCGCATCCTCGTCGAGACAGGCTTGTAGCGGCCCTTGCATTTGGAGGAGAATGACAACAATTGCATTAGACCCAGAGAAGTACCGATGACTACGTCCAACCTGCGCGCGAACGAGAGAACCCGACTCAGTCGCTCCCTCCCTCCTCCGCATCGTCCATCGCCTCGTCCTCCGTGTCGCCCACGTCGCTGACCGCGTCGAGGTCAGCCTTCTTCATCTTACGCGGCTGCTTGAGTCCCCGGAGAGCCTTGCGAGGCTTGGCGTCCGCCCCATCCTCCTCATCCGACGCCGCCTTCTTCCCCTTGGCGCCCTTCTTCGCCGATGACGGAGCGGCAGCGCGGCCGTTCGCCTTCTTCGGCGTCGCAACCTTCTTCTTCGGCGTCGCAGCCTTTGCCTTGCCCTTCTTCGCTGGCGCCGCCTTGTCGACGTCCATCTCGTCCTGATCCTCGTCCGCCTGCTCCTCCGTCTCCGTCCCACTCGCATCCGCGCCGATACCCTTCTCCAGCTTCTTTCCAGGGTCGCTGCGCAGTCCGCCTCGCTGACCACGCGCAGGCTTCTTTCCCTTCTTGTCGACAACAACCTCGTCCGCACTCTCGTCCTCCTCCTCGTCCTCCTCCTCTTCCTCCGACTCCTCATCAGGCGAGTCCTCGGCATCCGAGTCCCACTCCTTCTTCGCTTTCTTCGCAGTCTTGCCCTTGGCAGGTCCGCGCTTCTTAGCCGTCGACGAGCCGGCCTTGGTCGTCTTCGCCCGCTTCGGCTTCGACTCGCCGTTCGCGGCGGCGGTTGAGACGCGCTTACGACCGGTAGGCTGCGATCATGAGCATGTCAGCATACACTCAAGAATGGTCAAATGTTGGCGACGCACCTTCTTCTTCTCAGGCTTCTCCTCAATCTTGCCCAACACCTCCTCGTCGAGGAACGTCGTCTTCAGCACCTTCTTGACCTCGTCGTCGTCGCCAAGCGGCGCAAAGATATCGGTTGGCAAAGACGCTTGCTTCGGGTACGTCGGGATTGGCCAGGAGTGCCGGGCGGCGTGGCGCTTGAGGAGGTGTTGGGAGAGTTCGGAGAGGAGGTAGAGGTTCTGCGGGAGGAGGAGTATGAGCGGGTGTTGTTAAGCGAGCGGAAGACGCGGGACGTACCTTGTCGAAGACGCGCGACTGCTTGTCGCGAACCGTCTTGACCTTGAGCGCGAGGTGGTAGAGGTACGAGACGTTCTCGGACGTCGCGAAGATGTCGATGTACTCCTCGAGGTAGCTGCGGCACCCGGAAGCGTCAGCGAGAGCACAATTCAATGGGAAAGGGACGGTACACACCGCGCCATGAACTTGATGCTCTCGGGTTCGACGTGGTCGACGTCCGGGTCGAGGTCGGGGTGATGCGCGAGGAGGTGGATGAGGCGGAGGAACGGCTGCTCCCACAGGGCTTGGCGCTCCTCTGCAAGCAACCGGCGTCAGCATGGCCAGGTAGGCAAGCGCACGGGAGGGAAGGACGCACGATCGGGGAGACGTTTCCTCGACCGCGCGTAAGTGAGGATCGACTCCTTCAGCTCGACTTCGGGCTCGTGAGCGATGAGGAAGAGCATCATGTTGAAGCGCGGGAGGACGATGCGGGGGAAGCGACCATGCCGCAGGTAGAAGAGCAGCTTCCTGAGGAAGCCCTCGCGGACTTCGAACGTGGTGTCCTGCGCGAGACGGGTGAGCTCGTCTAGGTGCTGCATAACCGACTTGACGAAAGCCGCTTCGCCGGACGCGACGAGCTTGAGGATGGCGAGTGCGCAGGCGAGTCGGATGTGCGAGGCGACAGGCGGGCTGAAGGAGCGGAAGGCGGTCAGTCTCGCTTGACCGGCAAAATCACCGCGAGGGCTCACCTGTACGCGTCGCCACCGCCAAACTGCTGCAGGAGCGGCCACAAGAGGTCGAGAACGGGCTTGCTGACCTTCGCCGCCGAGTCGGTCTTGGCGTAGGCGAGGCAGCGGTTCGTGAGGATCTTGATGCTGAGCAGGCGGGCACGAGTCGTCGCCGGCGGAATGCGCGCGTCGAACCAAGTGGCGCCTTCGTCGGCGGCATTCTGCGCGAGGCAGAAGCTGTAGAGGTTAGCGGAAGGCTTCGCCGGAGCAATAACTCTCGCAGGTCGCGCTAAACTGTCACGCACCTCTTCCTCATCGCCAGCCTTCGTCAGCGTCTGCAACGCCGCCGCAGTGATCGCCTCGCTATGCTTGTCAAAGTTGTCGCGGCTGTAACGGGCTAGTCGAGCGAGTGCCGCAAAGTGCGAAACGAGCTGGTTTTCCGAGGCGGTCCCGACTGCTTCGGAGAGGTGCTGCGGCAGAGACAGGTCGGTTGTTCGTCTTGGGCCGGTGAGCAAAGTCACGCACCTCGACGAGATCACCGACAACGCCTGGTCGACCCGAATCGAGCGCGAGAAGGGTAGCCGCCTGCTTCGCCTGCATCGCGTTGCCCTCCTTCGCAAACTGCAGCGCCTTCTTCGAGAGCTTGGAGTCAATCGCGACGCTCGGCTCGGCCATCTTGAGTTTGGCAAGCGCGTGGAGGACGACCGCGCAGACGTCGACGGGCGGCTCGGTCGTGTCTTCGCCATTCTCGAGCTCGCCCGGCACGCCGTCGGCGAGCAGCTTCGACAGCTCGGCAACGTGGCCCTTGTACAGCGCCGGGCGGTTCTTCGAGACGAAGACGAGGACGCGCCTCGCCGACTGAGCGAACTCCGCCGCCTCGCGGTCATGACCCGTCGTCTTCCCTCCCGCGCCTTGCTGCAACCGCTTGAGCAGCTGCGGGACGCTCGAGCGGTTGACGAGCGTCAAGCACGCGAAGCGGACGAACGCGGTGCACGTCGCGACCATACTCTCGCCCTGCTTGTCGAGGCGGCGGAAGAAGTCGCGCTCGTTCTTGACGAACGTCTTGAGGTCGGTTTGCGGGTCGAGCATCGTCCGCAGTTCGCGGTAGAGTTGCTGGACGTTGTTCTTGGCGAAGGTGTACAAGTCGTCGCTCGCCTTGCCGTCGGGCATTTGGGCTGCAGCAAGAGCGTCAGCTAAGGTGGATGCTGGAGCAGATGCTAGAAACTCACCGGCGATGGCCTGGATGACCTTCTTGAGGAAGCCCTTGATCGGCTCGACCTGGTCCTTGTCGTCAATGATCCCGCCCTATTCGTTCGACATCTCAGTCGCGTCAGCTCACGTAGGAAGCGAGGTGATACAAAGCCGTGGCGAGGCCGACTCACATTGTACCTCTCGCACGTCTTGAGGTACGCCTCCCACATACTCCCCTCTCCCGTCCGCTGCTCCAGCCTCGTAAGACTCATCAACGCCGCGCGCTGAGTCGGGGTTTTGAGGTTCTTCTCGACGAGGAGGAAGCGGTCAGTCCATGAGGCGTGGTCTTCGGCGTCTTTTTCGGAGGAGGGGAGCGGGAGGATCGAGGTGAGGAAGGTCGAGGTGACGAGGTGGCGTTGCATGGCGCTGTGCACCCGCACATGAGCAGCCATCAGCACATGCTGTTCAGGAGCGGACCGTGCGGAGGAGTGCCAAGCGAGACTCACGAAGAAGTGACGTTTGTTCCCTCCGTAAACGCCAGCCCATCGAGCAACAAGCCCGGGATCCAGCCAAAGTGCATCGTCGCATGCTCGTCGTGGCTCTCGCTGTCACGTCAAGCATTGTCAGCAGGCGAGCAGGCGAGGCGAGGAGCTGAGGGACGCACATATCGGGGAAGGCAGAGTTGTAGAGCTTGCCGAGCGCTTTGAACGCGACGGCGCGGACCTTCTCCTGTTCATCCGAGAACACACGTACTCGTCAACCACCTGCCCCACCAAACGCAAATCATTGAACGCGACTCGAGACGAACCTTCTTATCCCTCGTCCGCTCCGCCAAGGTCAGTAACGCGGTCTTCCCGACATGGTGGCTCGCCGTCTCGTAGTCGAGCCCGTCAAAGATCTGGCACGCCGCGAGTCGGACTTTGTCGTCCGTGTCGACGAGGAGGTAGTGCTGGAGGTGGGCTGCGGGCGGACTTGGGTGAGCGACGAGCAGAAGAGTGGGAGACGGCAGGTGCGCACCCTCGATGTCCTTCGCAAGCTCCGGGTGCTCCTTCCACACCTTTCCGAGCCTCTCGCAGAACGCAATGCGGACCTTGACGCTCAAATCGCGACTCCTCCTCAACCACTCCTGCCAAACGCCCGGGAACGCCTTGGCCAAATCCCCATGCCCAACTGGTTCTCCAAACATCTGCCCGAGCGTGGTCGTAGCGAGTTTGCGGTACGCAGGCGAGTTGGTGGTGAGTTCTTCGGCGAGTTGGGGGATCACGTTGAGTAGGAGGGAGGGGACGTGGCGGTTCATCGAGCGGATGAGGTCGTGCGCTTCAACGAACGAAGAGGGGAGATCGTCGTCGTCTGCTCCCCCGCCAGCCGCGCGTCCAGCCTTGTCCCGCCCGTCCTTGAGCTTCGCCTGAGCCTTAGTCTTGGCCTTCCGTTTGCCCCTACCACCCTTCGCCGCGCCCTGCTCACTCGCATCGCTCTCGTCCTCCTCCTCCGCACTCTCCTCACTCTCCTCCTCACTCTCGCTCACCGCGCCCCTCCGTCCTTTCCTCCCCTTCCCCTTCCCCTTGCCCACCACTCCCCCCTCAAGGACCGCCACGATCGTCTCCCCAAAATACTGACTAACATACCTCTGCAACTTGTCCGACGCGCCGCGCGCGACTTCCACCGCTAGTCGGAACGCAGAGGAACGGGATTTGGCGGCGCGAGGGAGGAATTGGGCGGTTAGGACGTCGAGGACGGAGGAGGGGACGGTCGAGACTTCTTCGAGGAGCGCGAGGAGGATGTCAAGGAGGGCGAGTTCGACGTTCTTCGGCGAGTTGGAGCTGTGCGAACGGTGCAGAGAACTTGGGAGGTCAGTTTCCGCTGCTCACATTGACGCAGAGAAGTCAACCGGTGCAGTGCGGCACGCGACGCACGAGATAGTATCGAACGCCATCCTGAACACGCGTTCCATCAAGTCGTCGGCCGCATCGAGGTCGCAGACGAGGACGATCGACTTTACGCTGGCGAGCGAGTCGACGATGTAGAAGTACTCGGCCTGGTGCGGGTCGCTCGGGCTCCCGACGTGCTTGAGCTGGCGGATGAGGAAGTCGAAGATGTCCTGCGGGTGCGCGAGTGGGTGTCAGCGCGTTTGAGAGGTACGAAGTGGGGCAAGGGAGCGCACGGTGAGTTCGGCGGGTGTGTAGGGCGCCTCGGGTGCGTACAGCCTGAGGACGTCCACGAGACACGCTCCGACGTAGGCCTTTACGCCCTTGTCCTTGTGGAGGAGGAGTTTGGGGTCGACGAGCTGGCGTGCGACCTTGTCGAGCGAGCCGGTGTCGACGTCGTCCTGGTCAAAGTTGGACAGCTGTTCGTGGATGGCCTTGAGTCGCTTGGCGAGGTCAGACGTCGACTGTGCGCCCTGGAGCGTGTGCGATGCGGCGAGTCGCTGCTTTGCCATCGCGACGAAGCGAGCGGGCGAACGGGGGCAGCTCGCGGTGTGCGGGTTGGACGGGTCGCCGTGGCAGACGAGTGTGGTCCTAGCGAGAGTCTGAGCGAGGCGAGCAGTGCGCTGTGAGCGAGGGAGTGAGAGAGTGAGCGCGATGTCAACGAGAGAGAGGACGCGACGAGGACGTGCCATCAAAGTGGAAAATCAGCAACAGCACGGGGAATACCGGGAGTAGCACCATCGTATTCAGTACGTTCTCACGAGTACGGCCAGCCTCACAGCGACTCACTCTGCGAGGGTCGAAGGGGACCTCGTCCTCGTCGCTCGTCGCTCTCGCCGTGGTCGACTCGCTCGCTCGCTCGCTCTCCTGGACTCGCCTAGCTCGTGACTGGCATCGCTGTGTGCTCTGTAGCTCACCGCCAGTCTTCGTCCCGCGCCATGCCGCCCCGTCGCAAGCCCACCAAGCCCGCGCCCTCGTCGGCTGCTCCCCCTCCGCCTCCGCCAGCAACCTACGAGACTGGCGTACAGGACAAGTCGCACAACCGATACCTCGACCAGCAGAATGCCCAGAGGTTCAGGGACGTCCTCACGAGGTACGAGGCCAAGGAGTACCAGAAGGGTCTCGACGAGGTGCAGCTCATCCTCGACCAGTATCCCGAGCATGGAGGTGCGTAAGACACTCTCTCTGCGGTGGCGTGATACGGGCGGGAGTGCGCGAGACTCAGGAGACTGCCGCCGCGACTTTGCGCCCCTTGTCCTCGACCGACTCTCCACTCGAAGCACACGACCTGACCGCTTGCTCCAACGTGCACGCACAGAATCCCTCTGCATGAAAGGCATGTTTCTCTGCTGCCTCGACCGCAAGGACGAGGGCTACGAGCTCGTCAAGCGCGGCGTCAAGAACGACATGGGCTCGCACATCGTCTGGCACGTCTATGCGCTGTGTCTCCGCGCGGACAAGAACTTTGAGGAGGCGCTCAAGTGCTACAAGAAGGCGTGCGAGATCGAGAAGGTGCGCGCGAGGGTCCTTCTGGCCGGATGAGTTGCTTCTGCCGCGAGGCTGACCTGTACCTTCCTTCCCTTCGTCCTTTTATCCACAGGACTCGCTTAACCTCCTGAACGACTTGTCGACCCTGACCGTTCACCTGCGACACTACACGGACTACGTCGGCGTCCGCCTGCAAATCCTCCGCTCGCAGCCCCGCCTTCGGCGCAACTGGATCGCCCTCGCCGTCGCCCAATACCTCGCCGCGCAATACCCCGCCGCATGCCAAACCCTCGCCTACTACGAGTCGATGCTGCGCGAGGTCCCCGAGGGAGATGTCGAGTTTGGAGAGGTCTTGTTGTTCCATGCGAAGGTGCTCGAGGAAGCGGGGGAGTATGAGCGCTGCATCGAGTTCTTGAGCGAGAAGAGTGGGCAGATCGTGGACAGGACGGCGTACTCGGTTCAGCGTGGTGCGTCGACCCTATGCTCTCGTGCAACTCCGAGCGCTCCTCGAAGCTGACTCGCCCTCGATCGACTGGTCACGGCGCACAGCCCGCCTCCTCCTCAAGCTTGGGCGTACCGAGTCCGCTCTCTGGGCATGGGAGGTTCTCCTCGAGGAGAATCCCGAGTCGACCGAGTACATCAAGGCGACTGTTCAGGCGCAGGGAGGAGACTGCGGTGCGTCGGGCGCCCTTCCTCGATCCAGTACCGCCACGTGATGAGCTTGTACTGATGGATGCGGGAGAATGTGTACGCACAGACGCAGCCGACTCTGCGACGCGCGAACACGCCGTCACCCTCCTCGACGCGCTCTCCACCAAATACCCCCGCTCCCTCTCCATCCCACGCCTAGCCCTCTCCCTCTGCCCCTCCTCCCATTCCTCCTTCCGCACCCGTGTCTCCAAGTACCTCCTCACCGCGCTCTCGAAGGGCGTCCCGAGTCTGTTTGCGGATGTCAAGGCGCTTTATACGGGTGATGAGGAGGGAGCGGAGAAGGCGAGGATCGTGGGTGAGGTGGTGGAGGGGTTCAGGAGGAGCTTGGAGGAGAGGGGCGCGGTCGTAACGGACGAGATTGGGGATGGTGAGTTTGCGTCCGAATCGTGCTCGCTTCGGTGCCTGTCAGAGGGCTGAGCTAACTACTACGCCGAAAATGTCTGCAGACGACACCGCCGACTCCCCCTCAACTTACCTCTGGACGCTCTACTTCCTCGCCTCGCACTATTCGCAACTCTCTCAGCCCTCCCTCGCCCTCTCCACCCTCTCACTCGCCCTCTCCCACACCCCTTCCCTCCCTGAACTACACACCCTTCGCGCGCGAATCCTCAAGCGTGCAGGGGACGCAGTTGGTGCCGCCCAAGCGATGGAAGATGCAAGGAAGCTGGATGGTCAGGACCGGTTCTTGAATTGTAAGGCGGCGAAGTATAGGATCAGGAATGGGGAGATGGAGGAGGCGGAGAAGGTCGCGGGGTTGTTCACCAGGGTGCGTTCGAGCGAGGCATTTTCGTCGCTTCGCGCGAGGAGAGCAAGCTGACGATTCTAACGGGTCGCCACGCGCGCAGAAGGACGCCCCCTCGCCGTTCGAAGACCTCGTTGAGATGCAGTGCCTTTGGTTCATCCAGGAGGAAGGAGACGCCTACGCCGCGAAGGAGGACTGGGCACGGGCGTTGAGGCGCTACCACCAGATTCTCGACGTGAGTTCGGCTCGCTTCATCTTCGGGTCGTCGACTCCTGCTTTGCAAGGCTTGCGCGCCGTTTTCGTGGCGGAGCGCTCACTCACTATTGCCTCGTCCTTACGCAGATCTTCCAGGAAGTCGAGGAGGACCAGTACGATTTCCACGCGTACTGCATGCGCAAGTACACCCTCAATGCCTACGTCGAGTGCGTCGAGCTTCTTCTTGCTGTCATTAGCCTTCGCGCTGCGCCATCGTTACTGACTTCCGAGGATGCTTTCGGCTCTGCAGGCTTCTCCGCTTCGAGGACAAGTTGCGCGACCACCCTCGGTTCGCGTCGGCCGCGAAGAGCGCTATCGAAGTGCGTTGTCTGAAGCGCTCTCGCCCCAGCGCGTCTCGCTGACTACGGCCGTCGCCACCAGATCTACTGCCGCATGCACGACTCGCCCTCCTCGTTCTCCGTTCCGCAACTCCCGAACGGCTCGGCCGCAAACGGTGTGAGCGCCGACGAGGAAGAGCAGAAGAAGAAACAGGAAGAGGAGGCCGAGAAGGCGAGGAAGGAGAAGGAGGAGGCGGAGGAGAAGGCGAAGAAGGAGGCGGAGGAGAAGGAGATTGCTGCCGCGGCGGCAGGCGGCAAGAAGGACAAGAAAAAGGGCAAGGGCAAGAAGCGTGCGTTCCCGTTTCTTCTTCTCAGCTCGACGACTTCGGCTGACGAGCTTGGAGTGGTGAACAGCCGCCGAAAAGCCCGCAACCGAAGAGCCGGCCAAGAAGGAGCCGGCAAAGGAGGAAGAGTCGGCCGTCGCGCTCAACGTCTACCACGACAAGGACCCGCTCGGCGTCGAGCACATGACGCTCGCCTCGAAGGACCCGCTCGAGCAGGCTCTCCGCTTCTTGCGCCCGCTTGAGAGGGTCAAGGCGAAGGATGTCGAGACGTGGAGGTTGAAGGCTGAGGTCGAGGTGCGACGAGGTGCGTGACAGCTAACCATTCTGCTGGCATCTCGGACGAGACTTTCTGACCAGGGCTGATACGGTTCTGCCGGTATCCCAACAGGCAAGCTGCTTTCGGCTGCACAGGCACTCCGAACCGCCTACTCCCTCGACGCCTCCGCCCCTTCGCTTCTCCCGACCCTCGTCCGCCTCGCCCTCGCTGCCTCATCCGCAACGATTGAGCCCGCGGCCGTCGCGTCCGCCCTTTCCTCCTCTCTGGCCGCGCTCCTTGGCGGCTCGGACGTTCCTCTCGCGCCGTTCGTTGATGCACAGCTGCAGAAGAACCCGGTGAACGCCGAGTGGCTCTTGCAGGCTGCCGAGGCAAAGCGGCTGCTCGGCACCGAGCAGCAGGACAGCGCGAAGGAGCTCGTCCTGCAGCTCGTGAAGAACGACGAGCTCAAGCCGACGATCAAGGTGCGTTCGACTACGTTCCCGCCCTTCTCCCCCGACCTGCTGACATGTCTCGCCTCGACAGCAACTCTCGCGCGGCATGGCTTTCCTTATCAGCGTCTCGGCTTCATCGGCCGACCTCGACTCCTTCCGAACGGTTGCCGCGCAGAAATACCCTCTCGCGCGCGCGTTCAAGACGGCCGAGGAGCTGCAGGCAATGGATGCCAAACTCGGGCAGGACGCAAGCGAGGTGGTCGGAGAGGAGGAGGCGTAGATGCGTATGGGCATAGACGAAGGAAGCGCAATTCAACACTCGCAACTCGCAGGTCTCTCGATGTGACGACTAGAAGGGAGAGCGCGAGAAACAGTGCTGTGTAGAATTGCGTGAGAAGCGAGCCAGGCCAATGGAGGGGAAACTAGGTATGAGGAAAGTACGGATCCAACGGGAACGACGAAGAAGCGAAGAGGCGTGTGCGGTGAGGGACTGAGACAGACCGCAGAGCGAGAGTCGAGTCGAAATGGTCCTTTTGCGGGGGAAATGCTGTAAGGGGATCATGCGGGTGCGAGGGAGTCTAAGCGGTCATGCGATGGAGGGCGAGGGTGAGCCATTGGCCGGGACGGAGGCGACGCTCGTGTCGACGATGGGTTGGGCGGGCAGAGCCTTCGGCGAGACGGTGTTGGGTGCTGAACGAGGCAAGGTTAGGACCGGCACTCGGACGGTACGCAGGAAGGCTACGCACCTTCTCTGGGCGACGATTCTCTTCGAGTGGGCGCATCTTCCTTCCTCGCCGCCGCAGCCTCGGCGTTCGAGTCCTCGTTTTCGCTGTGCTCGGCATGCCCGTTGACTTGCTCCGCGGGCGCATCAGAGGCGGCGGGGTCAGCCTCGACATCCGGTGCATCAGCCGGCTTATCCGCCTCCTGCTCCTCCTCCTCGCCCTCTTTCTCGCCGACATCCTTCTTCTCGCCGGCCTCCTCCTTCTGCTTGCGCTCATGCAGCTCCTGGACCTCCTTCTTCGCCTCCTCGAAGTCCTTCTCGACATCGTCGTTCGCCTGGGCATTCGGGAGGACCCAGTCGGGCCAAGTCTGAGCGAGACGGACGAAGCGACCCTTCGGCGAGACCTCGAGGAGCGGGGTGAAGCGCATCGTCTCGATGACGATCGAGACGTCGGTCGTGAGCTTCTTGATGCGGTTGAAGGAGGCGATGAGAGGAATCGGGACCCAGCCGTTCTTGTCCATCTGCACAACGGCGGGCGTCAGCTACGGCTTGTAGAGACAGGGAGAGAACGTGAGCGCACCTGCTGACGCAAGAACAAGTCGCGACACAGGTTGTCGACCGAGAACCACCACTCGATTTGGCCGAGGAGCCAGTACCTCGTCGGGTCAAGCATGCGCGGGTCGACCGGCGCAGCCTGCTGCTGAGCCTGCTGCTGAGCGGCAGCGACGGGGTAGCCATACGCGTCAAGGATTGGGTAGCCATACGCATCGACGTCGACTGGAACGGGGACATAGCCCGCGGCGGTCATCGCGGCGTGATGCTGCTGCTGTTGGTGGAACACCCGGCCGAAACCGTTGCCGTTCATGCCGCCACGCGCACCGCCCCTCGCGCCACGCATAGGAACGCCGCCGCGTCCGCGACCGCGACCTGCGAAAGCTTGCTGAGCTGGAGGCTGGACGAAGACGGCGTGTTGCCGAGGCAGACCTTGCTGCGGCGGCTGGGCAGAATTGGGCTCGCTGCCGGTCGTAGACGGAGCAGCGGTAGTGGCAGGAGTAGACGAAGGCGCATCGGAAGCTGTGGACGCCGAGTCGGGCTTCGAGGCCTGGGCGAGAGACGGGGAGGCGGAGGTGGACGGAGACGACGATTCTGAGGCGGGGATGTTCGAATTGGGCGCAGCGAGAGTGCCGAAAGGACGGATGATGCCCTCGGAGTCGCAACTCGTGTCGAGCGTGGGAGGGCGGTTGGCCGGAGGAGGCGAGCCAGCCGCAGCGGCCGCCTTCTTCGCCGCCTTGCTCGTCTGAGCCTGCCCAGGCGGCTTCGCCGGCAGAGGGTGCGTACCCTGACCAGCAGGAGACCCCGCTTTGGCCGCTTTGCTCGGCTGCTGACCCTGCTGTGCCGCTTGAGAGGCAGGAGCGGCTGCGCCCTTCTTCTCGGGACCGCCCGCTCCGCTCGCGACTCGCGCGCCCTTCGCCTTAGCCTTCGATGCGCCACCGCTGCTAGGGTTGACCGTGATCTCGGCCTTTAGCGGGACCCACTTCGTCTTGTCGCCTGTGTGAGAACACATCAGTTCAGGATCCCGCTGGCAACGAGAAGGACGGGCACGCACCCTTCTTCTTTTTGCCGCCTGTAGCAGCCGGCTGCGACTCGAGCTTCTCGGCCTGCTCTTTCTTCGGCTTGACCGACTCGTCCTGGCCTTTGACAGCATCTTCCGGCGCCGGCCAACTCGCCGCGTCTTCACCTGCGACGACGACGGGTCCTTGCTGCGACCCCGATGGCGTCCTCGACCATCCAGCCGTGCTCGACGCCTTCGCAGCCTTGCCCTCCTGCTCAGCCTCGCCAGCTCGCGCCTTGCCCTCCTTCTTCGACGCCTGCGACTGCTGCGGTTGTCGCGGCTGCTTGGCCGCCGGCTTGTCCGCCTGCTTCTCTGCCTGCTTCTTCCCCGCAGCGATAGCCTCCTTGGGCGTTGGCGCCTCGCCCTGACCCTTCGCTCGCACCTCGCTGGCCGGCGTGAACGCTGCCGCTTGCGCCAACTGCTCCTTCCTCACGCTCCACACGTTGACCTTCGGCGGCGCCGGCTCCTGCTTCTTGGCCGGCGCTTCCACGGGAGGAGGCTTCTCCGAGGTAGGGGAGGGCGCCTCGGACGGCGGCAGCGCGAGACCTTCGACCGCCGCATCATCCTTGACCGCGGCTGGAGGAGCCGGGGACGCTCCGAAATTTGGAGAGGGAAGCATGCCCGTCCCGTCATCGTCTGCCCAGCTCGCCGCCGGTTTCAGCGATGGTCGTGAAGAGGAAGCAGGCGCCGCTGCCGAGTCCTTCTTCTCCTTCGGTGCAGCAGACGACGTAGCTCGCGCACGTCCTGCCGAGCCCTTTCCCTTGCCTCCCTCGGCGCCGCTCGACTCGTTTCCCTTCTCGTTGCTGCCCGACCTTCGACCCTCACCCTTTTTCGAGCCGTCCTTGTGGCCCTTCTTCCCGCCGCCGAACCGCCCGCCGAACGAAGCAGCAGTCGCATGCTTGTCTTTCTTCTCGACCGTCTCCCATCCGCCGTCGTCCGCCTCGTCGCCGCCCGTATTCGCAGCGCCCGTTGCCGAAGCCTTGGTCGCGCCGCTCGCCTTGGAAGCGTCGGCAGCCGAGGTCGGCCGGGCCGAGGCGCGCCAGTTGTCCGATGCGTTGGCCTTGGAGAGCGACTGTGTTCGCTTCTTGGGTGCAGGAGCGGGCGCGGGAGGTTGCGGCGATGGGAAGGAGGAAGAGGTCGAGGGGTCGGCGGCGGGGGTGCTCGACGAGGCTGGGGACGGCGCGTCGGTCGGTGCCGATGCGCGCTGAGCCCAGGTCGCCATCTCTGCTTGTCTGCAGGCCTGTGTGAGCTGGCGCTGGCCGGGTTGAGGCGATGGGAAACCGGGCGGTCGAAAGAGCTGCTCGCGCGACTTTGCGGGTCGATGGAACGGGTGGTGGCGGGGCTGAGGCGATCTCTCGAGAGCGCAAGCGCACTTCTAGCAGTCCGGACAGCCGTCAAGCGCGAGCTGGTGTGAGCGAAGGCGACAAAGCTTCACCAGCGACGAAAGGCCGCGAAAATGGCTCTCGCTGGAGGGGGCGTACGTTGCATGAGATAGATCGCTCGGATTGCTTTCAGTCTGGTAGTGCTACGGGACCGCCGCAGGACGCGGGAGCCGAGGGCGTTTTGGCGGAATCAGCGTCGGGGGGAGACGATGCGCTCGCAGCACGCCCGGGGAGTTGCGATAGGGTTCAAGTGAGCTCCTTGATCTGTATAGCAACACGCTGAACCGCAAGACCTAGAGAGGATGAGGCAAGCGAACGAGGACAGAGAGAATAAAGAGTCCGCTCCTCCTCCCTCCCGCACGACCAATGCTCCGGCGAGCGATGAATGCGCAGCGCCAGATGCAGAACGTCGAGCACAATCAGGGCATGGCGTTCGGGCCGCTGGACGAGACGATGGCAGCGTGACAGGCCGGTGGACCAAATCGAGAAACCCGTTCACCGGTCCTACAGCGTGTGCAACGAGCCGAGTGATGAATGCAGACTACATGCGAGAATGAAGATGATGCGAACAAGCCAATGCTGTGTCTACCGGCGCCCCCTGGACGATACAACCTCTTCCTCCCTTCCCTCCCCCGTACCTCTCTGCTCACACCTCCCAGTCCCTTTGCCGCCCTATACCACTCTTCGAGTCCCGGACGTCGTCTCCCTCATCGACTGATACCACCTCCTCATGCTGCACCCTGATCTGCAGGGGAATCTGCCCGCCAGGCTGGAGTTGCGCTCCGCGCATGTTGTTGAGCGCGATGGGCGTCTCGGGAGGTGGAGATGTCGCCGCGTGGTGTCGCTTCGGTCCTTGCGCAGGGACGTAGCCCGGACTGACGCTCGAACCGAGTCGTTGGTCGATCGCTCGTTTGGAGGAGACGGAGAAGGTGAAGAGGGAGAGTCCGTAGGCGGCCGGCATGAACAGCCAGAAGCTAGCATTGCCAACATGAGTCAGCAAGTGTCGAAGGCACTGTAGGAAAGAAGGAGGCGAACCTGTAGACAACGAAGCTTCGCACATCGCTATCGCGGTAGACGCTCGAGACGACCGCCGAGACGAGCGAGACGACGGCCGTGTACAGCGCCGTCCGGAAGGCAAGCACGATGAGGTGTCGAAGGAGGGAGTCGGTGCGGGAGTTGAAGCCGGCGATGCGAGAACGGAGGGAACAAGCGCAGGCGATGGATATCGAAACGTCGGCGACAGCCGATCCCCAGAAGTACATCGCTGTGCCTGCGCTGTACGAGATCGCGAGGTCTCCAGGTTGGGCGCCGTTGTAGTAGAAGACGCCGTCTGCGGTCGTGACAGCGCCGCCGATGATCACCAAAGCGATCAAACATCCCATCCAGACGAAGAAGAGGATGCGAACGAGGCGAGAGAGAATGAGCTGCGTAAGAGAGAGGGAGCGTCAGTGAGCGAGCGGAGAACGGATCATACGGGACTCACCAAGCCTGCTCGTGCGGTCAAGTATCCTTCAGTCAAGGCGGTGATTGAGGCGATTAGCATTGGCAAAGCATTCCACGCAACATCGCCATTCTGGAGAGCGAACGATCCTCGATCTTGAGAGACTGCGGGAGGACACAGGCGTCAGTACCGCAGGACGAGAAGAAACGTCGGTTTCGTTCGGCGAGACCCGCAATGAAGGCTCCGACAACGTACTGGCAGTGATATACGACTCGTAGAAGACGAATGAGGTGTAGACGAAGTTCAGGACGAGCGAGGCGACCAAGACGAGTTGGCCGATGCGCTGGTGCCGCCGCAGTTCGCCCGTCGCGGCGTATACGGCGAACAAGGTGAAAAAGATGCCGAAACCAAAGAACTGGACTTGGTAGCCGACTTGCATCGGTCCTGAGAGTGTGGAAAGTTGTCAGTCCGGACTCCGCTACCTCCTATGCCTGCTGAAAGCGTACGCACCGAGCAGGAGGTCTGTGAGGCCCTGAGGCGCCTCCGGCCTGAGCACATCGCCCGCGTAAATGCCTGACGAGTCTGACATGGCTTCGAGGCTGGTCGTGCGTCGTCGAGTTCGATCACTGGTTGGAGGTGGACGGTGTCCGCAAGCGATGCGCCGACGACTGCCAGCGCACTCCCGCCGACAGCAGTCTGCTCAGAGAGAAGCACAAAGCACGGAAACGAGCCAGTGAGCCGCCATGAGCCTTGGCGACCAAAGCGACGACGCTGGAGGCAGGAGCGGGTCGAGGCGGTCCTGGGAGTGCTCGACTTGCGGGGGTGGAAAATTCGCATAAGTATGTTGCTTGCCCGCGATGGGAGGTGATGTGCGCGCAAAGCCGCCCAGAGCCACGGCCTAGCGACAGCCCGGAATTGCAAGAGCAGAGGCACGACGAGCGAGGAGGACAAGGGACTTGTACTGTCGTCTCCCTCGAAGTTTCCTCGGCACGCGGCTGTTGCGCTTTGGCAATCAGGTACTGCAGAGCACTCCGACTCACAGCTGGAAAGTGTGTGTCGGGAGGGGAGGGAGGCTCCGGACTTCGTCAATTATGTCGCGGCGGCGACGACGACGACGAACTGTTGCCTCTCGCTGAAGCTGGCACAAGTGTGAGCATCGTATTGAGTCGTTCGCTGTCCCGCAGCGAGCTGGAACGGCAAGCGAAGCGGTGAGAACTCAAGAGACAAAATCAGGAAGGTCAATGGCGGAAGGGAAGCTGAAAAGCTGAAGGTTCAGACTCTGGCAGTGGGACGGCGGTGTGCACGGGCGTTGCTGCCTTGCTACACCTCCCACTCCGGCCCATGGTGCTTCTCGCTGCTCCCGCCCTTCGACTCCGTGTCGTCGTTGTGATCCACCGAGACCACCTGCTCGTGCTGGACGTGGATCTCGAGCGGCTGCGTCCGAGGCAGCCGGATGGTTTCGAGCGGAATGGGCGTCTCGCCTGGTACGGCGGACGTCTTGAACGTCGTTCGGCGCTTCGCAGCGGTTCCTCCGACGTTGCCTTGGCTGCCGCTCGAGCCGAGGCGCTGTTCGATCGCGCGCTTGCTTGACGTCGCAAAGGTGAAGAGCGAGAGGCCGTAGGCGGCGGGCATGAACATCCAGAAGCTGTGAAGCGGCCGAGTCAGTAAAGGGTCGAAGAGACTGACAAGATCGCGCGCACCAATAGACGATCCAGGCGTTCAAGGTATCGTCGCCGTAGACGGTCGCAAGAATGGCCGACGCGAGAGAGAAGACGGCGGTGTAGGCTGCCGTTCGGAAGGCGATCGAGATCAAGTGCCGAAGCAGGGAATCCGTCGATGGGTTGAAGCCTGCGATCCGAGCGCGAAGCGACCAAGCGCAGGCGATGGAGATGGAGATATCGGCTACGCAGCTTGCCCTGCGTGTCGTTGTCAACAGAGGGAACACAACGAGCCGTCTAGGGAGCGTGGCACGAACCAGAAGTAGATCGAGTTGCCTGTGGTGTACTGGATAACGAGGTCGGCCGCCTCGGCGCCGTCGTGATACAGGACACCATCTGCGCAGGTGACGGCGCTGCCGATGAGGACGAGCGCAATCAAAAGCCCATTCACACCCAGAAGAGGATGCGGACGAGACGGGAGGCGATGAGCTGTAGTGAGGACTGATCAGTAAGCCTGCGTCTTGAACTAGCTCGTGGAACTCACTTGACCCGCCCTCGCCGAAAGGAAACCCTCAGTGATGGCCGTAATGATTCCAATGAGCATCGGGAGGACGTTCCAGGTCAGGTCGTTGTTCTCGAGGACGAAGGAGGATCGGTTTTGCGACACTGTTTTGAGGCAGAGCTGTCAGCGTACGTGGGATGTTGTACGAAATAGTGGGCGAACCTGCGGTGAGATAGCTTTCGTAGAAAACAAAGCCTGAAAAGACCGCGTTGAGAACGCAGGAAGCGGTGAGCGCTGCTTGACCGACGCGAGAATGCTTCTTGAGTTCGCCGAGAGCGGCGTAGAGAATGAACAGGCTGAGGTACACCCCGAACAGGATGAGCTGGACTGTTGCCAAGACCTCCGTCAGCACTGCGGTCGCCGCACGACAAGCGGCAACGCATCCTGATAGCCGACCTGCAGCGGACCTGTCGTCGATGAGTGCCGTGAGCACGCCCGCTTGTTGTCTCCTGGGCAGCGCGGACTCACCGAGCACGACATCTGCGAGCGATTGAGGCGCCGACATGGTCGGGACGTCGCCATCGTACCAAGTCGAGGTGTCGTTCGTTGACATAGGAAGCGGGAGCGGCAACGGGGGTGCCGAGAAGGAGAGACGAAGGGAGGAGAAAAGGGGAGGCTGTGAGATGTAGGAGAGACGATGGAGGGTTGTCAAGCAGCGCGGCAGGGTGGTGAAAAGCTTTGTCGAGTCGTGTGCACGCGCACATCGGCCGATAAGAGCTGGGTGCGAGCGTCGGTAGAATGAAGGGCGAGTGTTCGGGATGAGGAGAGAGAGATTTCAGCATTGAGCGTGCTGGCTCGAGCGCTGCCTCCTCTGATGGGTCGTGCGGGTTGCGGCTTGGCGTCGAGAAGCGAAAGCAGCAGGGCGAAGGAGAGTCGCGCGTCAAAAGATTGCGGGGAGCGAGTTCCGCAAAGCGAAATTGTCGTCAAACGACGAGGGAACTTGGCCGAGGCGGGCGTAGCAGCTGCGGTACCAGGTAACGGCGCGAAGGACTGCTGCAATCGGCCGCGGAGGACTGTGCGAGCTGGACGAGGACGCGAAGAGTCGGAGGCGCCGCGGAGCGCTTCTCCGTATCGGATGTGTCAACCTGGAGAAGAAAGTCGATTGCTGTGCAGCTGAGAGGCGGAGCAGCGAGGCATCAGGCGGGCGGTGCGAGCGGAGGCCTCTGCGCGCAAGTTCCGCATCTGAACAAGGGGACGAGGCGCACGGTGCACAGCGACACAATGCGATAGGTTTGACAACAATACTGCTGGGCGCAGATACGTCAGTTTCACATCGCGAGCGGCCGAGAAGAGCAGAAGAGACGCACGTCTATAGGTAGGACAGGTCTAGAGCATTGCGAGGACGTTGAGGCTCGGCGGTGCGCCTGACAGTTAGAGCGTCAGTAGCGCTCGCTGAGGAGACGAGCGCAATACTCACCCTTGGCGGTCAGGTAGTCTACAATCGCCCACTGCTTCGCCTTGACCGCCGTCTCCAGCATCTCCTTCGTTGCCGGACACCGGTCTTCCACTCGCCGACGCTTCCCTCCTCCACCGGTACTGCCTCGTCGCCGCTTCTTTGCCGAGCCGTTCTTCGCCTTGAAAATCACCTCGTCGTCCGCTATACCGGCCTCTTCGCGATCAACCTCGCGCTCGAGCAGCATCCGCACGAGGTCCTGGTCACCGTTCGCAATCGCCGTCGTCACGGCCCATCCGCCCTTGAGCGAAGGGTCGGCGCCGTGTCTGAGGAGGAGCCGGATGAGGGGGAGGTGCCGGCCGAGGACGGCGCGAGCGAGAGGGTAGCCATCTTGGCTGTTTGGCGAGGAGCGATACGTCTCCAGGAGGTGGGTGATGAGCGGAAGATCGACCTGATCCTCCTGCTTGCCCCTCCCGATACCCTTGAAGAGCCGGCGCGGCAACTGCGGGCACTTGAGTTTCTTGCCTTGACTATGCGCGATCTTTTCGAGGACGTGAACAACGTCCAGTGTACAAATGGTGTACTTGATGGCGTGCGCGAGCGTCTTGCGCTCGTGGCGCAGAAGGAGGAAGCGGGCGCGGTGCCACGGGCTGGTGGCGGAGAAGAGGTTGCGGAAGTGGCGGGAGACGATGGGGAGGGCTGACGAGAGGGAGAACAGGTGTATGTCGAGCACAAGCTGTTGCGAGCATCTCCAAGAACCGTCAGAAGCCGTGCATTCGCTTGTCTCGCCTTCAACTGATGAGAATGGGGAGGGGGCGCACCTCGACCGGGAGGTCCTGAAGAGTCGCCATCCTCGTTGTACACCGCCCAAGCAACCTTCACAGCCTCGCACCAGCCCAGCAAGCGAGAAATAGCTGTGCGAGAGGACTAGTTGAGGCCGAAGAGGCGAACAGCGAACAGCAGGGTCAGCTATTGCCCGTTCGCTGCCACCCTCAGATCGAATCCATTGCTAGCTTGGACTGTCGCTGAAATTCCCTGCTACATGTCTGTGCCGACCATCGACTCTCCCACGGTGCCAGTCGCACCCGCCTCCCGCCCTCTCGTCCTACATCCAAAGCGAGCGCCGAACTACTTCGACAGGCTGCCAGACGAGCTCGTGGACGCCGTTCTCCAGCTCACCGATAGTCAGACCGCTTCCCAGTATCTGAGCTGGCCCAGCGTTGCGCTCGTCTGTCGTCGGTTCCGCGACATCGTCTCCGGCCGCCTTCTCCGGACGGTTGGCGCGCCAGCAGCTTACCACCATCAACGATTGTTCAAGCTGGTCGCGATAGAAGCGTCGCTCCTGTGCCGCGTCCGCCGCCTCGAACTGCAGGGCGATCCGTTGGGCAACTTTCAGCCTCGTCCACACGCACAAGAAGCCGCGCAACTACTCGAGGGACTCGTCGCAGTCCAAGAGCTCAGCGTTCACTCCATGTGGAATGTCGTCGCTGCCCTCTTGCACCCTCCGAACGACGACCTCCTACCAAACTTGCGCGAGTTGTCTATCGGCGACCGATTCGTACCTCTGGCTCACCCTCTCGACCCTACGCACTTTCGCTGGCTCTTGCACCACCGCAACCTGCAAACACTCAGCATTCACATCCAAAGCGCACCCAGTACTTGGCCGCCAGCGCCGCCTTCGTCGTTGTATGAGACGGACTCAAGACAGGGCCGGAACACTCACTCCGATGTCGCCCATCTCCGACCAGCAAGGTGACATCATCTCTTCCTGCGAATCGATGCCCGCAGCCTGCACGGCTTGAGAGCGGCTGATCTCGTCAACTCCTCCTCCCGCACGTACCTCGCGCTGCGTGAAGCGGCATACGACGATGCGGACAGCTTCCTATGCACCTTACTCGACCTCGAGCACCCGGCAACCCTTCTCTCTCTAGCCCTCGACTCTCCGGCTTGGTACGAACCATACACAGATCTCTCGAGTGTTCTCACCTCCTTCAATTCGCTTCAGTCACTCGTCTTCGTCCGCGGCATTGACCTCGACACACTGGTCGACGCCTTCTCGCGATGGCCGCAACACTCACCAATCGTTAAGCTGCCTTACGCTCGTCCTTCCCCCAAGCCGCAGCAGATTCTCGGTTTGATGCGTCAGACGAAGCGGTTCGGGAGGCTCAAGCAGATAAGAACGGAGCGCCTCCCATTCAGCGAGGCGGCACTCGAGACGATACGCGCGCTTGCGGAAGAGTGCGGAGTCGAGCTTCCTGGGGTCAACCAGGCGCATCCCAGCGGACGTCTGAGGACGGCAAATGACCTGGCCGCTTCCTGTAGAGTACGGACTCCCTGCACGAAAGAGCTTCTTCGTGAGACTCAGGCGAGGTACATATTGCGATGCGAACGAGCTACTGTTGGCAACAAAGAGGACGGAGAAGACGACATGCGAGGGGACAACATGCGATAGAAAAGGAGATTCGAAGGAGAGGTTATCTGCGAGATGGCCAGACGAGCGTCAGCAAGCTATGCGAGATGAGGTCGACCGCTGCACGCACCAGTGCAAGAGCTCCTGCATCCACTCGACGGCGGTCGCGAGGACCTGGAGGTTGTGGAAGTCGGCGACCTTGGACGTGACCTGGAGGCGCTTCACGAGGTCCTGCCTCGTCTCGGACATCTGGTACTCGCCCGAGCAGTCGCAATGCGACCGGAGGTTCTCCGACTTCATCGTTTTGCACTTGCTGCAGCGGAGATCCTGAAGCTGGTACGAGACGAGGCGGCGCTGGAGCGAGTCGATGATGAGGGCTTCGATGGCGGCGCGGTCGTACTCGGTCGAGCAGCGTTCGCAGAGCCACGGCTGGTCCTTGACGAGGAAGGCGACGTTGCGGCAAAGGTCGAGGTCTGCAAGACCGACAGAGGGTTAGCGCACGCGCGGGTCGACCGAACACGCGAGAAAGTACCTCGGATGGAGTTGCAACTGCGGCAGACGACCATCGGGACCTTGAACGGTAGGCAGGGGTTGACGAAGATGGCCTCCTTGGCAAACTCGCGCACGCCAATCAGGTCGAGCAAGTTGCGCTTAAGGATGACAACCTCCTCGCTGACGTCCTTCGCCAGGGCGAGTACGGCGCAGGTGGTCTTGATGAACTCGAGGACGGGGTTCTTCGGCCGAAGATGCGAGCCGGGCAGCTCGGGAAAGTCGAAAAACTCGGGATCTTCCTTGTCGGCGTGCGCGTCCTTGAGCCTCGTCACGGCCTTGAGGAGCTGGCGAGTGAGCGTCTCGCTGATAAGTGTCTTGGCCGGATTCTTCGCGTCATCGTCGCCGTCCTTGTCACCGTTCGCCTTGCCGCGGTCGACGGTCTCGAGGCCGTTCTGCAGGATACGGAGCGGGGTGCGGAGGTCGGCCGACTGTTGACGCTTGGCGACAAGCATGCCGTGGACGAAGCGACCGATGATCTTGGTAAAGTCGTCCTGAACGGCGTCGGGGAGGTACGTCGCGATATTGAACTGCATCTCGACCTCGACCTGGTCGAGAGGCTGTTCGTCGAGGTCAGGTCGGGGGCAGACGATGCCGGCAGAGTTGGCCGCGTCCATCCAGACGAGCTGGTCCCAGAACCGGACGATCTCGAGCTGGACGTAGCGGAAGAGCTCGCGCGTCGTGACGGACGAGACGAGGTAGTTGGCGTAGGCGTAGGCGGTCGACGAGGACGGCTTGCTCGTCAGGAGGAAGATGCGGCCAAAGTCGGCGTGGACAATGTCAGATCCGAGGCGGCGGAACTCGGCGAGGAGCTGGGAGAACGTCTTGCGCATGAGGCCGTGGACGAAGCGATAAAGCGCCGGGTCATACAGCTTGGCGGCCGGCGACGACGCCCATCGCCAAAAGTGGTCGAGCATGAGGCGCCAGTGCGCGCCGTCCGGCTTGGCGGCCTCGACGGACCACGCCTTGACCATTGCGCGGACCATATTGAACGTCGACGTCGGCAGAATGGCGTCGCCGAGGACGTGCGGAGCGTGGGCTGTTCCCTTCGCATAATCGTCGAGGTTGTGGGCGGCCTCGTCGATCCCGCCACCCTCTCCACCTTCTAGCTCGTAGACGAGCGCTGACTGGAGCACCGCGTCGACGGCGAGGTTCCGCACCTCGACCTCGAGACAGGCATTTGAGTAGCATCCAGGCTTGCCCAGCTCTGGGTTGACGAGCTCGTCTCCGAGCTGGCTCGCGTTCGCGTCCGCCTCGCGACCGCCGAGGTCCGGACGCGCGGGCGGGG